GAAAGAAACAGAGAGGGACCACTCCTACATCAGCAAGAGCATGGTTGGATTGACTAAAAGGTGCCTCAAAAATCTACTCTTTTATTGTTAAAAAATTCTCGTATCATTCAAAGTACAATAACTCAATTCAATTATATATATAAAAAAATCAAAATACAAGAAAAACTCAGGTAAACACATGATAATAATATTTTTTATATAAAATATTTCCATTTTTGGATTTCTTAAAGAGGAATACTTGTTATGATTTATCAACATAAAATAGTAACTTATTTGAAATAATGGAAGAATCTCTCACACAAGTCACTCTCATGCCATCTTTTGAGCTGCCCTTGTGTCTCATTTTCATATTTAAAACAGTTATAGCATCCCTTCTGTCTGAAACAGTGTTTGGGGAAAAAGGGGTCAGGTTTTTGGACTTTGGCTGTTTTGAAAGAAAGGGCACATGGGAGAGGAGAAGTGTATTATGGTATTAAAGTCTAGTGGTGTGTAGAAGAAGAAGAAGAAGAAGAATCATCCATGACGTTTCTTTGGGCAACCAAATGGGAAAAGCAACACCTCCATTTTCTTCCATTTCCATGAATGGACCTAAAATTCATTATGGCCAAAGGAAAAATATTGGTAGTTGATTGTCCCCATTGCCAGAGAGGGCTGTACTCGTTACCTTGCTACTTCCCACACCCCCACACCCTCTGTGATGTGCCTTTGTCGATGCACAAAATAATAATAACAATAATGCTTCTTCTATCTCATCATATGGGAACACGTCTCTTCGCATGCATCATCATAAGTGCCACAAATTTATACCAAATAAATATTCACTAAGTGAAGTGCAACGTTAAAATTAATTTAATTCAATTTACACTGATATAAAATAAAATTTATTTATGTATATTTGTGTAACATAAAAAGTTAAGATAAACGGTTTTATTCTTTTCTCTTCAACGCTGTGAAGAAATTAAAAGAGAACAAAAAGAACTAACTACTTTTTCATTTTTATCACTGTTATATGCCCCTTTTTTTAAGGTTTGTTTTTTTTATTCTGAGGATATAGTTGTATTTATAAAAAAAAATTATTTTATTTTATTTTCATATTAACTATTTTTTTTAAAAAATTCATCAATTTCTATTTATTTATACTATTTTTATTATTTTTTCTCAAACAAAACGAATAGTAAGAGTTTATATGAACCATTTTCTTACATATAATGTATAACAGACTGCAGATGGATCAAAACCAAATAGTGATTAAGGATTTGTCTGTGAGTTTGGAGGAAGAGAAGGAAAAAAGGTTTAAAAAATTATCATTCGAAAATTTAATAATTTTTTTAAATTAAAATTTTATTTATAAAATTGTATAAAAAAATGATAGAGAGAAATTTCTAAAATAGAAAAATTAACAAAATAAACTTTTGAAGAGTTTAAAAAAACTTCCATAACTCTTTATTCTTAATTAGACAACTTTCAAATAAGATTAAATTATTTTTAATATCTTCCATCTTTTTTCTTTCTTTCTAAACTTAACTTTTAAATATAGTCTAAAGTTAAATATTATTTTAATACGTGTTTGATGTTATATAATAAAAATATAATTTTTTATTAATATTTTATTACACACTTTGAAACATGCATTGAGAAAGTAGAAGATTTGTAGATCCAATTATATATAATGATGATCTTACTTTTGGACTTTATCAAAATTGTATTTATAAAAATTAATAAAATGGTAAAAAGTTAAATTTATAACATAACAATATATTAATTATACATGAAACAAATATGTTTAAAATATTTAAGGGCTATTTTTTATTCTTCCATGAAAATTGAAACAAAATTTTATTTATATTATTTTAAACTAAATATATAATAAAATATTTTTATATTTATAATAAAAATTATTTACTTTTATTTAAATAAAAATTTATTATTCTATTTTTAATAGTATAATTATAGTGTAGTGATATAGTTTTACATAATTTATGATGATATAATTATATAATTTAATATTTTACTATTCTATTCTTAATTTTAAAGGCTAAATTTTTCTATAATTTCAAAAATTAATGTAATAAGTATTTATAATTTTAAAGACCAAAAAATAAATTACTCCCAGTTTCAGGTACATTATAAGGGTTGGATTAGTTGAAAAGTTTGATGAAATTGATCTAACCCAACTTAAATTTATTTGATTGATCAGGACAAATTTATTTCCTACAAATTTGATCCAACCAAATTCATGTACTGCCCTAAAGAGTAGACCCTATTTGAAGAAATGCAAGTTACTCTCCTCACTCCTTTTTCAAAAATTTGCCCCAATTAATATAAGAGGAGAATGGTTGGTGAGATAGGTTGATATGGCCATTGCTGTGCGCAATATGGTTGAAGTAAACAAACAATAATTTCATTATTTCATTCTTAAATCTCACTTAATGTGTATAATTATTGAAGATATATAATAGATGAGCAATAAAAAGAAGTTATTTTTATGTAAAAAAAGTTTAGAAACGATGTTTTTCATTAATACTGAATTTAATCGTTTTGTTTATTAAACACAACGAAGGCAATTTCTATTCTTTAAGATTACACGAAATCACAAATGAAGGAAATATTAATAATTCTAAAAGAGACAGCAAAACTGGAACAAACATAACTTCCAAACAAGGCATAGACAAATTGCTTTACTTCAATTGTATCATTAATCAAGTTTGACCGGTTTCAATTTATTCATTTTAAAAGTAGAAAATTCACTTTAACACAAATATTTCAATATCAGACATAGTTTTACTTTACCTTATTATATTCTTGTTTTTTTTCTTTCTTAAATTATATTTTAATATATATATTAAATATCATATAAAAAAGAAGAATAAATGGAAAATTGATTCTGACAGGTGGCAGTCACCAAACAGCGGAACAGGGTGTGATGGTGACTGGACTTGAAGGATGGGGTCCCTATTCGCCCCTCCTCTTTGAATTTTAGTTCCCAAAGCATTCTGTAGCCTAACCGTTACGTTTCTCTACACCCCCGGATGATGTTTTTTCCCGTTAAATTATAAATTAAAAATATATATTAGTAAAATGTTAAAGAAAATAAATATAAGAAAATTAAAAATATTAAATTAAAATCGTTGCTAACATCATACTTGTAAAAAAAATGTTTTGCTAGTCGAACTTTAGTGAGTTTAATACTGTTGGTTGATTTCATTTTTTCTTGATTTTTAATGTAATAAATAGACAACATTTAGTTTTATTTTTATTTAAAAAAATATAGATACATTTTTTAATGTAAAATTAACAAATTTTACATATTCATTTAAACAAATTATGTTAACTTAAACAAATTTTGTACATAAGTTAGGTGTAAAAGAAAAAGAGGAATAAAAATAAATAGAGATAAGGCGAGTGGTGGCATGGGGTGACGACGAAAAAAGAGGAAAGTAAAGAGTTGAGTGTAGAACAAAGAGAAAGATATAGGTATAAGTTGATGTGAAAGTAAGAAGAAAAAAAGAAGAGTTGTATATGGAATGAAGACAAAAGAAAGTTAGGAGAGAAATAAAGAAGTTTGATACAAAAAAAAGAAAAATGTTGAATATGGAGATTAAAAATAGTTAAATATAGATGTTGAGAAGATAATATTAAGCATGAGGAGAAGGAAAAGAAAATATTAAAAGAAAAAATGTAAAATTTACTTAAGTCAACATAATCTATTTAAGCAAATATGTAAAGTTCACTTAAATTAAAAAATTTGCTTAAATTAATTTTGTATAATTTTTTTTGTCATTTTTTTAAACAAAAATGAAATGACGTTTGGTTCACAGGTTAACTAAATTGAAACTAAATAATTTTTTTCTTGCATTTTTAAAATTTTATTGCAAGATTCGGGTGTATAAATTTATGAAGCTGAATTAGAATAACATGGATACTAATAAAAGTTTATTTAAGTATATAGGTAATATGTTTGATTTCTCTAAAATAAAATAGTAAATTATATATATATATAGGAAAATATTTTTTATATTGGTATAAGTTTAAAAACTCTTACACTCAATCTAAATTTTTTATTTAACTTAAATAAAATAACTCAAATTAAATGTAAGAATAGTTAGATTTACACTAATATTAGTGTAAATTTTGTCATATATATATATATATATATATATATACATGCGCGCGCCGGTTATAAGTTATAAGATACTCCGAAATTAAGGTTTAGTTTTTTTTTTCCTTATATATCTCTTGTTCCCTTGACATCGTCACCTATTCCTTTATCTCCCATTGCTTCTGCTTTACAAATATCAAATCAATTGCACGCATTTAATAAAAATTATATTCGAAAAATGGATTATTATTCAATCTGAAATTAGATATTTGAAAACATTATTTTTTGCATGAATGGGACATTACTTAAATTTTTAGATTCTCTTGTTATATATATTATCCCTCATGGTGTATTTTTGAAATTTGAAAATCCTCTGGACACGAACAGAGGGTCTCTTGTATTATTTTTTGGAATGTACCTTTTGCATTGGCTCTTCAATTCATTAATTCAGTTCTTAACTTTAAAATGCAAATCAGTATTGCTTGCATAGCTAGTAAAACCAGTGTAAATAGAATGAAAAAAATAATAATTGCAATATTAAAGGTTAATTTGGTGAATTCGCATAAAGGTCGCCAGGTATGTTCCAGGCTGAAGCAAGAGTACCCGATATATATTATTCTAATTAATTAACGATGGATTTCCGATCTGCCAACACTACCGTTGCCTTCGTCGTCATAAGCCACCAAATGCAAACAATTCTCCAAAATAAAATATTATGAGATTAGTAAAAGATTACAAATATAATAAATATAAATTTTTTAGTATTAAAATTGAGTTTAATTCTAGCATATACATTATACATGCGAATAACAACGAAACAATGAAAGCAAAAAAAAATAAAAGTTAGTAAAAAAAATAAAACAGAGCAACTGAAAAACAGAGGGGAGAGAGATAGAGAGGTAGAAGGAAAAAGGGAGAGAAAACGAGAAGAAAGGTAAGAGAGGGCATTCAAAACGTTCGGAAAAAATTGGAGAGGGCACTATTCCCACCGGAACCCTAGCCAACGGCCACCGTTGTTCATGGCGTTCTCTGCTGCCGCCACGCAATATTTCCGACGACCTTGAACTTTTTCTCCTCGTTTCTCCCGCCGCCGGAAATGGCTCACGAGCTGCCGTCGGCGGAGAAACTATTGTTGGTCTCTGACAGGGAACCTCACCTAATAGATCTCTCTCTGTTTTTCTTTCTTTCTAACTAACTAATTAACAAATCTGTTCGGACGATCGTAACTAACCGTCCGTCAGCACCGGAGAGGTTGTTAGGGCCGTTACTGGCTGCCGTGTTTGTTCGGTGGCTGTTATGGCGAAGGGAGGGCAATGCTTCTTCGAGAAGCTTCGGAGGTGCGTTCGGACGGTTTTCTTTGTGGTAGCATTGGTGGCGTCGCTGGCGGTGACGTCGCTTCCGGTGGTGGTGGCGGTGGTGGACGTGTTGGTGCCTTGCGTTTTGATATCGAACTTCACTTGCGTCAAGTGTTACAACATTAAGGAGCATTTTCATCGTTACGCTTTCAAGAGCTCCTTGATGGATATTCCTCTGGTTTCGGTCATAAGATCCCTTATCATTCTCTGTGTGCTTCTTTCTCTCTTTTTCTCTCCCCTTTTTTGGCGTTTCGTTTCGTTCGCTTTTCTGCTTCTGTTGCTGCTCTTTCAAGGAATCGTAAAAGCTTATGTTTCCAATTTCTAATCGTACTTCGTTAAAACAATTTTGTTTTTTTTATCGTGCTTCTAATCTTTGTTTGTTTCTTCAGTTTATTTCTCGTATTCATTTCCAGCCCAAGCATATGAATGTAGTTTATACAATCAGATTCTGCTTCAACAACGCCTAGAGCTCGTTGCCTTATTCCAATTCAACTTATTATAAGTTTAAATGACTAATCTTATATTCAGCTGCTCTACTTCAAATTAAAAGGTTGAAGTTAATCAGAAAATGCAGGGTTACTTGTTTTAGCTCCCTTATTTTTTCGAATTAATTAGAAAAATTAAAATTGCGTTAAATTGAAGTGTTGGGTCACTTGGTTCCCTTATTGCGACCCTTTATGGATAAATAAAATATTGATATTTTTTGAAGAATGAATTGCATGTATAGATTGTTAGAAAGAAAAATAATGGGATTATTCCTAGATGTTTGGTAGCGCAGTTCTCATGTTGGGTGTGTCTTTTGATGGCAGGTGTTTATTCCATTTGTGATGGCCCTGCTCTTTCACATGGTCCTTACCTTGGAACTGTGACTCTGTGCTCCTTTCTGTCTATTGCTCTCCTTTCGGTCAAAGCTTGTGTTTTCACTGTAAATTCCCAAATTGAAGCGGAAGCTTCCGCATCCCTCAGGAAGCAGAGACTCCATTTGAAGAAGTCATGGGGAATGCCAGTCCTTTTTCTTTCCTCAGTTGTGTTTGCCCTTGGCCATACTGTGGTTGCTTATAGAACCAGCTGCAGAGCACGCAGAAAGCTCTTGTTTCATCGAGCTGATCCTGAAGCTGTAAGTTTTAGAACAGCTTTCTATTTTCTTGTCTCCTCAATTTCCCAGGCTAGTGCTTATGTTACTACTTTTTGAATTAAATGGTTGTAATACTAAGGGCCTGTTCTAAAGGAATGGAAAAAAATTATAATATTTAGTCTCTTTAATTTCCTAGGCCAGTGCTTATGTTACTTCTTTTTGAATTAAATGGTTGTAATACTACAGGCCTGTTCCAAAGAAAAGGAAAAAAAATTTAAGTGCAAAACTATAGGTGTTTTTTATATTAATTTTTTTTATCAACATTAGTTTCATTTTAGTAATTTACGTCGACATTAGAGCACCGTTATTGCTCGGGTGATCAGAGTAAACTGTAATTTTGTTTACAGAATTTTACAAAAAAATACTTGTAGTTTGTCCAAAAAAATCTGAAATCAGCATTAATTTCTTTATGTTTAATTGAACAGGTCATATCGTGCAAAAATGTTTTCTCTGGCTATCCAAAGGTACCACGATCTCCAACTCCTTCTGGGGGGAGAACCCCCAAAAGTGACAGTGAGATGAAGCGGAGACCTTTTGGGACAACGCGTGATGAAGAACTGCTGGTCAGATTACTTGCAAATTCTGACAGCAAATTCATTACATGCCAAGGACTTACACTCCATTACAAGCTCAGCTTGTCTGGTTCACCTCCACATACATTGTCTTTAACATCCTGCATTGAGTTGAATTCTGGTCGCAGTGCTTTGTTAATGGCTGCTGGGTTGGCAAAATCTAGTAGACATTTGTTAAATACATCTCCAAATATCCAGCCACAGCTATACAGGAGCTATAGCAGTAGAGTCCATGGCTCTTCTCTACATGTTCCTCTATTAGATGGTCCTATAACTTCTAATATTTCTGAAGATATCCCTGTTTTTCGCCTAGATGGTATTTGTGAAGAAGATGAAACTAGTAAATTGGATTTTCAATCTCTGGAGCAAAATGTAGATAATATTGACCAACTAGGTATTGTTTTAATACATGGGTTTGGTGGTGGAGTCTTCTCTTGGAGACATGTGATGCCATCTCTAGCTCGGGAGAGTAATTGCACAGTTGCTGCATTCGATAGGCCTGGTTGGGGATTAAGTTCAAGGCCTCGCCGGGAGGAGTGGGAGGAAAAAGAGTTGCCTAATCCTTATAAGCTTGAAAGCCAGGTAATTATTTTCTAATTCTATCATTAGTGCAAATTCTTTGAGAATGCATTTGGTTATGGTTATTTTCCTCTTCCTTATCTTGATTTAACAAGAGGGTTATGATCAAAATGCTACCCTTTCTATTATGAAGACAAATTCTGGTTTCCAAGGCCTAGAGCTTATCAAATATTGCATATATAAAATTCCTGAATCCTGATAACTATGCTTTGGTGGTCAGAAGATTAAGAAAGTAAATAAAATTTGAGTTAGGTATCATGGATTACTGAACCATGTAAAGTGGAAAAGAATTCCAAATAGAGAGACTAGCAGCACAAACATTCAGTAGTGTAATCCTTTTTCTCTTTCTTATTTTTCTTCGGAGTTGATATTCAATGCCATAAATTTTATGTAACTATCTTTAATTTTCAAATTTTAATTCAGGTTTCATCTGAAATTGAATATCTGATTGATTTTGTTTTATCAGGTTGACCTGCTTTTATCCTTCTGTTCGGAGATTGGATTTTCTTCAGTGGTGCTGATTGGTCATGATGATGGAGGGTTGCTTGCCTTGATGGCTGCCCAAAGAGTTCAAACATCAATGAATTATTTCAATGTGAGTATTTATTCTTGCTTGTTTTTCGGTAAGTAGATAACTAGTGAATTTGATTTGCCAAATTATGATTCTGAGCTTTTATCTAAATGTAAACCACAATATGGGTTCGGAAACATGTTTTTGTAGCTTTACTCTTTTTATTCTTGTCATGGTATGTGTGATTGCTTACAGTTACTTACTTGAATCCTTACCAATTCATGTTTTAGTTGAACATTGTCAGTTTGCAAGAATGGGTGCTCATAATTTACATTTGATTTAGTCTCTTTAGTTCTGATCTATTTTGTGTCCATTCAGGTTACTGTGAAAGGAGTTGTATTGCTGAATGTTAGCTTGTCAAGAGAGTTGGTTCCATCCTTTGCAAGAATCCTGCTACATACCTCACTTGGAAAGAAGCATTTGGTTCGTTCTCTACTAAGGACAGAAATCACTCAAGTGGTGAATCGGCGTGCTTGGTATGATTCTACCAAATTGACACCAGAAGTTTTGACTCTGTACAAGGTATACTTATACCTTAAGCTATAAATGAGAATTGCTCTGTTCTTTATAAGTTTGGATCTGTGAACTAAAATAGTAAATTTTATGGAAGGATCTCAGCAGAAAATTATTACTAGGTAGTTGCATAAATGATAACCTAACCTAGAAATAAATGCTGTATAATGAGCTATCACAAATTGATAATGCCCAAGAACAATCAAGATTTGGTTTCCACTTTGTTTACATAGGCATGATGGATAAATATACAATTTTCTTTAGTTTTTTGTGTTGAATACCTTGTACATTTTTCCTGAGGGGCATGAATGAGTTTTTGAATCAATTTTTCTTTTTAAATCTGCACTTGAGGCTGCAACTTGTTTACATGATCTTTTTTACCCTTACTTTCCTTTATAACTTTTACTGAGCATCATTTCTAGATTAAAAAATTTATTGACTGCTGATGTATGTGGCTATGTGTTTAGGCTCCTCTATCTGTTGAAGGATGGGATGAGGCACTTCATGAGATTGGTAAATTGTCATCCGAAACCATCCTTTCAGATAAAAATGCAGAATCATTGTTGCAAGCTGTAGAAGACATTCCAGTGTTAGTCATTGCCGGAGCTGAAGATTCCCTTGTCTCTTTGAAATCTTGTCAAGCTATGGCCTCCAAACTTGTTAATTCTGTAAGTATCTTTCTTTCACCATATTTTCATAAACTTTATGCAATATTTGTAAATACTTTTAAGTATGTAGTGAGGCTGAAAATTGGATGTGGAAAATGGATAAGGAGAAAATGAGGGCTGAAGCTATACCTGGAACCAATCCCATTCCGTCTTTACTACTGTCCATTTTTAATTTCCCAAGCATTTATCATGTGATTCTGCCTCATTAGGTTTCTAATGCGTTTCTTACCATTTTACAAGCAGAGACTGGTTGCCATTTCTGGTTGTGGTCATTTACCCCATGAAGAGTGTCCAAAGGCATTGCTTGCGGCCATGTTACCCTTCATTAATAGACTCTTGTCTGCATCCGAGTCGCAAAGCCAATAAGTTCATTTCTTTCAAAGCTGATTATACATAGGGTTATTATCTATATTTTCCGTCTTTGTTTTGGTTTTTATCCTCCTATTTCTTTCTAAGCAATATTACTTCAAGAGCAAGAGACTACTAAAGGGTCTTCTCTTCTCTGGGGTGTTTTTGACGTGGTAGTCTTAGGGGTTTTAACCTGTATCTTCTCCATCTTTTCCCCCTTATTTTAACTGTCAATATTATGTTCATTTCATCTGCCTGTCATTTTTCCCACGTAAAGGTGGGGGAGACAACATACATTTGTAAATTCATCGTCAGATTGAGCATGAATATAGTTTGGCATGGCTTTGTTTCTGGCCGCTGAGCGCATTAATTTATACTCCCAACGCCAATAACTCCTTCAGGAGTGAGTTGGGTTTATCAGTTTAATAATTTTGGCTTCCATTTCCTACCAGCAACCAAGGAAATTTTCATTTGGCACCTCCAAAATACAAGATTTGATCATAACTAATAAAACAACTGCAATGAACTTAAATGGGTTCTAAATTACTTATTTATATGCCTAGTGCTGATTAATATTTATTGTCAATCCCCAGGAGTGCACTCAATTGACATAGAGATTTGGCATATAATATTCATAAAATTCTAGTAATTGAAGGGTTCACTGTTTAAATGAAGATATCTAAGACTCGACTTATATTTAAATAATCCATATAAAGCACGAATTTGATCAAATTCAAAGCATTGTTTGGAAGAATCATTGATCTTTTTCATTAAGGGTGCCTTGGCATGAAAGAACAACCAAGGTAAAAGGGTTATTCTCCAGGTTTGTTTGGATAAAAGTGAGAATATATATATATATATGTTAATATTTGGATGAAAAAAAAATGGTTGGAATATGGAAGTTTTGTAGACAAATGGAAGAAAAAAAAAGGTTTAGACGATAAACCAGTTCTTGAAAATACTAAGTGAAAATCACTAATGACGCCTAAACATCTGTTTGCTATGAATTTTCTTTCTTGCCTGGTCATGCCGGGATGGGAGGAGAAATAAACTCTCTTTCACCATTAACTTTGTAGAAATTGCTGGTGCTCCAATACTTTCTTTCTCTGTCATGCTTAATTCTCTCTCACTCTTTGATCTCAATTTTATTTTAGCCACCAATTAGGAATGTAGAAGAGTTTCCTTACTTTTTCTCAATAAATGGAATCAAGAAGTTTTGGATCAAGGGAAATGTGTGACCATGAAATATTAGATGAGTTAGAACTGTTAGCTTTACTGAGGAAAGACATGCCCATTGAATTAACCACAATACAATTCAATTGCTTTTTTTCTCTATTTGGAGCTTAATGAATTGTCCCTGCTTTTGTTTTTGTTTATCCCTCAAAAATATTTGTTTGAAGGCCCAGTTTGCAGGTCTGTCCCGATGAATTAGTGAGTGAACATGGATCTTCAGCATGCCAATTTAAATAATTTAGTTGACATGGCTTAATAATAGAGAATGTTTATGTTAACATGTCAATTTCACCATTTAATTTTCAGGTTTTATGCACTATAAATAAATAGGTATATAATTAGATATTGATCTCAAATTCAATAATTAAAAATTATAAATACCTTTTTTTTACATTTTATAAACACCACCTTAATTAGACGTATAATGTTTTTTTTAAGTGGTGATAAGATAGACATGATAAGGGGGAAACAAAATGGGGACAAGTGATTCATTCTACCACAAAAAAACTGAAAGCCCACAATTTAAGTTGAAAATAATAGTAATATTGCACAAGTGGTTGGGGTATCAAAATTGGCTATAAGCGTGTATCAACATCCTCACAAAAGTGGTCCAAAAAGATAAAAAGTGCACCAAAAATATCACTAATAATATCTCGAAAAAGCGAAACCAAAAAATAGACAGCTGAATAGAACAGTGAACTCCATCTTCAAGACCCTCCACGTGTATTGCCTTATCCACAATCATTATTCCCTGATACGCTCCCCATCATTCTTCTTCTACAACCCAATTCTTCATTCACACCCAAACCATAATACTGTCTTTCTTTATCTTATCAAATAATCGAACCGTTGTAAATACCGCCGGCACTGCAAGCCCTGATAGATCCTCACCGCACCCAACAATTTCCGTACCCCCAACCCACTATGAGTTGCTCCAAAGCAAAACCTGTGACAGCACGCTCTTTCTCTCTCTAATGGCAAACACACTCACGTTTTTCCGACCCGCGATGATGGTCCGGGCCTCCGCTGTTCCTTCCGGGAAGCCCGAGCCGAACAACAGAAAGCCCGGTTCTTCCAATTGGTGGGCTCCGTTGTTCGGGTGGCCCACGGATCCAGACTACATCGGGAGCCCCAATTCATCTCATAAAGTGGATCCGGATCGGGAACTGGGCCGGCTCAGATCCAAGTTCACACCCGGGTGCTTCACGGAGGAAAAGGCAAGAGAACTGCGGAGGAAGACCATGGAAACGTCGTCGTTTCATGACCTAATGTACCACTCCGCTATTGCGTCCAGACTCGCCTCTGATGTTTCCGAAGGGTACGAGAAATAGAAGCTTAAGCTTCGCATGTTTCTAATTCGTCGATTTTAACATTTTCTACCTAATTTGTGCTTAGTTATCGTTAATTTTCTTTTTAATGTCCTTCAACTTTGAACAATTAGCATGTCAATCGTTTGGGACACTTTAATCTATGTGTATGAATATGATTTCTATAGCTGTTTCTGGCTTTTCGTCTCTTCACCCATCTCCTAGTTTTTATTTATCATTTTCTTAGATGTATGATTGAAATTAGATGCTATATGATTTAGTTTATTTGTAATAATATGGTTCTTAAAAGGCCCATGGTCATAGGGAGTGCATATGGGTTCACCCCAAATTGTAAAGCCTAAATAAAATTTCCTGCAACAAATGGCATAGACATCCACTGACATGTTCATACTAAAAATTTTCATTCATGACCAAAATAAATAAATAAATAATTTCATTTAGTATTATTCATTAGTCTACATGTTTCTTCAAATAAATAATTATTCTGTATGTTAACACTTTTTTGTTTCTGTACATTAGGAAACTCTTGTTTAAATTTGTAGCCACCAAAGGGTGCAATATAAGAATAATGCAACTGCAAAGCTCATCACTTACCACAAGTTCGATTTTTATGCTGTTGAAGGGTGCAGTTTAGAGTGAAAATGTAGAGTTTTTAGTTTTAATTACTTGTTGAAAACATAGCGGTTGATATTGTGAATTCTGAAATGTATACTTATGTATAGAAAATCATAAAGTTGTTATTTTTTTAAAGTAACCAATTTATACAATTTCACACATTTCTATTTAAAGTACATTCGTGACTTTAGAGGTGTGATTTATTTATTTGATTCATTCCCCTGCCTAAGTGATCAGTGACGAAAGAGTAATTGCAATATTTGACACACAAGCACTGCTTTTAAGCTTTTATAGAATAAAAATAATTCCTTTTTGGTCAAAATGAAATATAAAAATATATTTAATTTTTATACATTTTGAGTTATTTGATATTCTGACTTTCTTTTCTCCAAACCAGAATGCCTATATCCTCCCCTAAATATTCTTTTATTAATTTTCTTACTACTTTATAAAAAATATTAAATGAGAAAGCAAATATATTTAATACCTTAAAAATGTATACACAAAAATATTCAATACTTTTGTAATTTCAGTTTCTTTATTCGATAGATACAAATACTAAAAAATAACAAAAAATTTTAACTCTTACCTTTTTCAAGATTAAACTCCTTTTACCTACTCCCTTCTCTCTCACATACGTGGAAGATAGTGGTGAATTTATAAAATTTGCTTAAACAATTTCTTTAAGTAAATTTTGCATAATATTTTTTTTTTTGTTATTTTTTTTTCAGGTTTATAATTATTCTTTTCAAATTGCAGGTCTTCAACTTTTGCTAATGAACCTGAATAGATACGACCAAACGAACTAGATACAGAAACACAAACAAGCACGTTAACTGTTGTCTAATATTTGTACATACATGCAATTGTTCTCTAGCTGCCTCTAAATCATTATCATTTGCTTAATACCAAATTTACTCATTTTGTAAAATTTATAAAATTGTTGCCGACCAAATAGGAAAAAACCAAAAAAAAAAAGTTTTTTTAAAAAAAAGAAACCTTATTTGTTGGTAGTTTAAGGTACACTGAAATCAAAGTCCCTTACCATGTCACATGGGTTGCCTCCTGCATAGGATAACATTTGATACCAGCTCCATGATTGCACATTCCCAGGTTTGATGCTGATATATTCTTGTCATTTTGATCCAAAGAACATGGCAACTCAGTCTTAAGAGAAGAATCATATGAACATGATCAAATTCGCAGGACAACATGGTCATTTTCCTTGCGTTTTGTTTTGTAAATTCATTTTTCTAGGTTTTATATAATATCTTATTACTTAAAGTACATACATTCCAATGTTAAAATAAAGACCTCTTTTAATACTTTTTCTTTTCTTCACAATGAATTCCAAAATCAATTTTTGCTCAAATACGGTGATTTCTAAATCAATTTAACATTTTTATTTCCATAATTTATGATGGTGAAACAAATGCAAATCCATGATGGGGCTAAAACTGTAATAACGAAAAACGATAATTTTTTCTATGTATATATATCAATTGTATTCTACATCGAATATAATTTTTTGAAATAAAAATTTAAATTTGAAAATAGTATTTTTATAGAAAATATTTTTTTAAATATTATCCTTGTCTTTTTGTAGAAATATTTTTGCTATTTGTAGATTGGGATTTAACGATGTCTCAATGAACATTAATTTCTTTCCAATTTCTATCTTTCTCCTCCTCTAGTTTTCAGTGGGAATTTTATAAGAACCCTTTCATTAATAGGACAAGAATAGGTAGCAACCGACAATGTAAGTACTCCATTTGAAACTTGGTTACTTTTTTGCAAAGCGAACTATACAAATTTTGTTGAGATTTTAATGTATCATTTTCAAATCAAATTTAACAAACAAGACAGTTATTTATATATATTAAGATACCAAACAACAAAAAATACTATCATTTAAATAACAAAATATGAAGAGAAAATATAAGCACAATGTAATTAACTTCAGCAAGGGCACCATAATTCATAAAGAAAATATTTTACATTGATTCATCATGTATCATAGGGCCCCACTTTATTTATTTATTATTATATGAAAGTGGATAATTCTAAAAATAGCCGCTTTCATAATTTAGAAAGACAAAGTTTTGTGTCAATCTCGTTACTCACCCAATAAAACAGAGGACATATGAGCTGTATTATAACTTTATAACATTAAACAAATAAAATTAATTTCAACGTCGTCGCAGATTTGTTTGGGACAAATGTATCTTCTTGAATCTTGAGAAGTTGATTTTTTAATTTAGAATAGTTCCAGTGGCAATTCATGTAGTTTACCTTCAAACGCAGTGGCGTTTTCAATATATCATTCATTTAAAACGCAATGCTTGCACATGAATTCTTGACAACAAGTGAAGTGCTCTCACATGAAAATGAAGCTTAAACTGCTATTAGTCCTATTCTTCGCAACCTCCCATGTCTCTTTGTCCATCACTGATGGTATATATTTACTCTTTTTTTTATATATTTAGATGCATGCATGTAAAATTACTCCTCTTGTTCTTTTGCACATTTCAAATTCTTCAATTATTATGAGAAAATCAAGCAATTCAATGCATTTCTCGAATAGGTTCAGAATTATGAATGTTTTTCCTAGGCATAAGAATTTTGAAGTCTTAACACAGACACCATATATATATATATATATATATATATATATAATCCGCAGCAAGGTTATGAAGAAGTTGATTCCTCCAATCTTAAATATAATATATACTTTGCTAAGTGGGTAGGTTTGTTAATTATACTTTCAGCTGAGCTTGGTGTTTGTGAGAGCTGAATTGCTACCAACTTTTTCGACGACTAAAACAAGTTTGTGATTATATGTTCAATAATTTCATTCTTGTTTTCAACAATCATTAATTTGCTTGTGATATTGAGATTGATATTTTCAAATTAATAAATAGTATATTACTGTAATATATTACGTAGGATTTGCAGTATTGCATGTGAGGAGACCATGTGAAATGCCAGTCATTTTGCTTTGGACGTAGTTACGTAGATGTTGCATTCTGAATCGGCAAAGCAAAATCCATCTCGTCATCTTTTAGGCATTATCTTATTGTTATTAATATTTATCTTAAATCATATTTTTACTATGACAAAATTGGCCTCTTCTTTTTGTGCTGGATCTCAAACAATTGCCCATTGTTAGTCATAGTCCAATTCCAGATACTTAATTTAGTTCTAGATTGTTAACTTGAGTAAACCCCATTTTTTTTTCACTTTAATTGTTAATTTTACAAAATGTGATTCATTTCAACCGATAATGTGTTGAAAATAAATTAAAGTAAAAACTTTTTAATAAAATCGAAGAATAAAGTAATTGATATTTATAATCTTGGGACTATTTTGTTATAGTAAAGAAACACAATCTTCTAAGAGCTAAAATCGTGAATTAATACAATTTTTTTTATACTTTAAAAACAATATTTTTTTCAGGTTTGTTGCCAAATGGAGACTTCGAGCTTGGGCCAAAACCATCAGAGTTGAAGGGGTCAGTAGTAACTGGGCACAATGCCATTCCCCATTGGAAAATTTCAGGAATCGTTGAATACATAAAAGCAGGGCAAAAACAGGGTGACATGTTGTTGGTTGTGCCTCAGGGTAACTATGCTATAAGGCTTGGCAATGAAGCTTCCATTAAGCAGAAGATTGAGCTTGTGAAGGGTATGTTCTATTCCTTAACTTTCAGTGCAGCTCGCACTTGTGCACAAGAGGAGAAACTCAACGTGTCTGTGGTACCAACCAATGAGAAGAGTGATTGGGGAGTGTTTCCCATTCAGACTATGTATGGTAGCAATGGTTTTGACTCTTATGCATGTGGGTTCCGAGCTGATTACCCTCAAGTGGAAATCGTGATCCATAACCCTGGCATGGAGGAGGATCCTGCATGTGGTCCACTTATTGACTCTGTTGCCTTGAAAGTTTTGTACTCACCCAAACGAACCAGAGGTAAATTCTCTCTTCCCTCCACTCTTGATATACACATTCATAAATAATTCTTACATGATCTTTTTTTTTAATAATTATTCTTTAGGTCTAGCTAACTAGAAAGAAAATTCCGTGGTAACATGTATATACATTTTACTTTTAAGCATTTAAAGGCGAGTGTTGGAGATTTATTGTTTCTTTTTTATTGCAATATTCATGTAGTTCCCACACAACTATGTTGACTAAAGTTGAAATATTGCAATGTGGGTACAGACAGTTTGTTGAAAAATGGAAACTTTGAAGAAGGGCCATATGTGCTCCCCAAGGAATCTTGGGGGGTTTTGATCCCACCCCACATTGAGGATGCTCATAGTCCTTTGCCAGGATGGATGGTTGAGTCTCTCAAGGCTGTAAAGTACATTGATTCTGATCACTTTGCTGTCCCTGAGGGACAAAGAGCCATTGAACTTGTTGCGGGAAAGGAGAGTGCCATTGCACAAATGGTCATAACAACAATAGGCAAGGTTTATGACCTTACTTTTGCCGTGGGTGATGCCAACAATTTATGTGCAGGTTCCATGGTGGTAGAAGCATTTGCCGGTAGAGACACTGTCCAAGTCCAATATCAGTCTAAGGGCAAAGGAGGGTTCATTAGAGGCAAGCTTCGATTCAAGGCTGTGTCAACACGCACACGTGTAAGGTTCTTAAGCACATTTTACACAATGAAGAATGATAACTCCGGTTCACTTTGTGGACCCGTAATAGACGATGTAAGATTGCTTAGTGTACGTTATCCTTAACGTGCTTGATCAAGTTGCATGGCTAGCTAGTTCAATCAGAAGTCAAAATGCATGTTGTTACCTTGATCATCCATTTAGTCGACCATATAAACTACACGTTTCAATCATGTAAGGAGAAAGAGTTGTTGACACTCTTTCAACAATGACACATCGGATTGAAAGGGATGAAAAGATTGAGAGGTGTGTGAATTATGCAGTGTTTTGAATATGAGGGTGAATTTTGTAGTAACAAATAATGATATTCACGCGTCGATGTGTTTTCCAATAAACTTAACTAATTAGAAGAAAGTTGCCATTTCAATTTAATTAATGAATACTTTTATCCATATGTATCTCAAAACAATGTAATGAAAAAAGTTGGCTACACGAATCAAGAGGCACTTTGCTTGAATGAAATCCAAATCTCCCTTGCGAAACCTTTGAATGTAATCATTTGATACTTGAAAATGATTGACAAATATTAATTAATACTAACCATCACTGCAGCAACTCACATGGTTGTTGCACAGATTCATCTTACACGAAAAGGCTTATAGTAAAATGGAACCACCCACTCACGAAAGAGACCCCAAAAAGACAATTGAAAAACAAACAAATCAGTCTATTTCAATAATGCACTTAAAGCATATTAAGAAGTGCATCCAAAGAAAAATAAATCTAGGAAATTATTTATGTCTCAGGGAAAAATTGTTTGACACACTTTTTTCAAGTGTGTATATATATTTTATTAAAGAGGAGATAAGTAAAAGATGTAGAGAAATTAAAGAAAAAGAAATATATGAGAATAAGAGAAATAATTAAATATGAACACATCATAATCGTTTATAGCACAAAATTTCTCCTTACATTTTCATCCATGAGAGAATAATGTATATTTTTTCTTTGGTAACCTAAATACAGTATTTCGGGAGCAGGAATCGTTTTATGCCACAGTTTATTATCTGTGGTTGAATGAAGCGTTAAGATGCCTTTTCATCAATATTGATAGCCAAAGCTAATAATAATAATAATTGGTTTGTAATTAGTGCTAAACATTTTTTCGTTTCATAATTTTTTTATAAAATTAATATACGATTTTGATAAATGTAATTATTGATAACGATGAACGGTAAATTAAAATGGTTGCTGGATTGATGATACTATACCCACTATTGGAAGTTTATTGGCGACAAGTTAAACAAGTTGGATTATTATTATTATTATAACACTTGTTGGATTCAAACACATCCAAACTAGTGTATAGTTTCAAATCTTTCTTTTGTTAAGTTTATAAAGGCATTGGGTAGTAAAAGAAATCATATGCTCCTATTTATTAAGTTCTCTTATAATTATGTGTACTTACAACATACAGAAACAAAGATAACTTCTAGATGTACATAGAGTTACAAAATAGGTTATAATTAAGTAAAACAATCCGTCTGAATAATAACAAGTAATAAATTTTCAAGATAACATGACAATTAAAAAAGAAAGTTATAATAATAAAAAATTATTAGTTACGCTTTTAGTGTCTAAATTTTAATGTACGTATGATTTTAGTTTCTTTAATTTTAATTACTTACATTTAATATCTTTAATTTTTCAAATGTTCAAATTCAGTTTTTCACTCTAAGATTAAAATGTTTATTATATTTTATACATTTTATTTTTTATACTTTTTTCATTTTTCTATTATATTTTTATTAATTATTGGATAAAATTTTAAAATAAAAAATAAATTAATATTTAAAAAATTAAAAAAATACTAAAAGGAGTAAAAACTAAAGACATTAAATTAAATTATTTTATTATAAACTTGAGAATTAATTGAATTCAGAGGGGGGGAACAGTAAGTGGCATATAAGACACAACGTGGCAATTTAGGGACCGTTACATTTCCCCCCCATCGGAACCACTTCTAAGATACGCCGATGGCGTAAACTAAATTTTCAGTGGACCCAGTTGCACTTGCCACAGCATAGTTGAACTAAGTACAACTCCCGGCGCACGTTAGAAAAGACCAACTCGAATCTGAAAATGTTAGTTAATCGCTCGAAGCAAAGGAGTTGGGTGGTTCCATGCGGTTGTCTCCTTATTGTGCCACTGGCAACAGCAATACCACTTTGATGGCATCCGGGTCGGGTTCTCTCTTGTGGTTCCGGAAGGGTCTTCGGATCCACGACAACCTGGCTCTCGATTTCGCTACCCGAGGGGCTTCTCATCTCTACCCTGTCTTCGTGATCGACCCGCATTACATGAAGCCCGACCCGCATGCTTTCTCTCCCGGGTCCTCTCGTGCGGGTCTCAACCGCATCACGTTCTTGCTGGAGAGCCTCCTTGACCTTGACCTCAACCTCAAAAACCTTGGCTCTCGACTTTTGATTCTTAAAGGTGACCCTGCTGAAGTTGTTATTCGGTGCTTGAAGGAGGTATGACAAGTTAACAACCATCAACATGACAACATCCCTATATTGTTCTATTCTATTTTGCCGAAAAGTTTGGAACTTTTTTGCAGATAGAGACAAAATTTAAGGTAGTCATTTCTGTTTGTTGCTTCAGTGGAATGTGAAGAAGCTGTGCTTTGAGTACGACACTGAACCTTATTATCAGGCTCTGGATATCAAAGTTAAGGTACTGTTTATGTTGTCAAAGGGTGTGTTGGTTTTGGTTAGTAGTTATTGTTAATGGGTATGCATCTGTTGACAGAACTTTGCACTTGCTGCTGGAATTGAGGTTTTCTCTCCTGTAAGCCACACACTCTTCGATCCCATGGATATTATAAAGAAGGTGAAATTGAAGCTTGAAGAAATTATTTCAATTTTTTATTCCTATGACATTCCTTGTTGTTTTTGTTCTGATTATATTAACTTGTGATCACTTGTCTATGTTTTTGTGCCAATGCCAAAATAGAATGGAGGGAAGCCACCTCTTAGTTATCAATCTTTTGTCAAGCTTGCTGGGGACCCGCCATCCCCTCTCTCAACCGTGCACTCTTCACTTCCTCCACTTGGCCATCTTGGAAGTTGTCAAATTTCTGAAGTTCCAACAATCAGAGATCTTGGATATGGAGATGATGAACAGGTGTGCATGTTATATATTTCAGATTATATGTCTTCATGAGTACCTAATGAGAGAAGTTGTTATGTTCAGGATGAGTTCTCTCCTTTCAAAGGTGGTGAATCAGAAGCGTTGAAGAGGTTGGCTGAATGCATGAAAGACAAGGTGCTTTGTAAACTCTAGCGTTTGAAAATATAAACTGTAAGCTCCATGCTGCAATGCCAATTCATCGGTATTCTCATATGAAATCGATGTTTCTTGCTGAAAGATCAATTGCATGCAATTGGGAATGTAACATAATTTGGTAGCATGCCTTATTTTCTTATTTTTGTGATCTTAGAAGTGGGTGGCAAACTTTGAGAAACCCAAGGGCAATCCATCTGCATTTCTTAAGCCAGCAACAACTGTTTTATCACCTTACCTGAAAGTAAGTCAAAACCTGTTACAGTTGAGTTTGTTTAATATGTCCATTTTGTTTGATTGCACTATTAACCACACATGAATCTTGGTATCTGTTCTATATATTTTATTTTTGCTAACCTCCTTGGCAGTTTGGTTGTCTCTCTGCTAGATATTTCTACCAGTGCATTCAAGATGTATATAAAAGTCTGCCAAAGCATACATCACCACCTGTTTCTCTTATCGGACAGGTCCTGCTATCTCCTGAAGTTAGTGCTGTATTTTCTCGAATTTTTTTTTAGGAAACTGAAGTTATGGCCTTGTTGACTGGTGCAGCTGTTGTGGCGAGACTTCTTTTACACGGCAGCTTTTGGGACTCCAAATTTTGATAGAATGAAAGGCAATAGGATATGCAAGCAGGTGTGATAACAGTCAACATAAATCTTGTCGAAACATTTACATAGATCACTCATGACGATATTGTGTGAATGGAATAAGGCTTGTTTGTTGTTGAATCTTTGACTATCAGTATGAGGTTGATGTTGTCAGAGATTAATACTGATTTATGAAAGTAAATGTGACACCCGCCTAATTATAATTAATGTTATTTAAAATATATATTATAGATTCCTTGGAAGGATGATGATAAACTGCTAGAGGCTTGGAGGGAGGCTAGGACAGGATTTCCTTGGATTGATGCTATCATGATCCAGGTTTGGGTTTTAACATCCTTTTCCAAATGAGACAATGGGCAATATTTGTATTATTTTGAATTTGCATGCCTAAAAACTAGTCTCTTGTGATACATTTTATTATCAGCCTTCTCACTTAGGAAGTGCATTTGAAATAATCATTTCATGTTGTAGCTACGGCAATGGGGTTGGATGCATCATCTAGCACGACATTCTGTTGCGTGTTTTCTAACGCGTGGTGATCTGGTATATGATTTCAATACTTGAAGCATGCCAATGCCAAATTAATTATACTATAACATTGTTGTTCTATGCTAATGTTATTTGTTTTTACTGAGTCGCTGACAGTTTGTTCACTGGGAAAAAGGACGTGATGTCTTTGAGAGGCTTTTGATTGATTCAGATTGGGCAATTAATAATGGAAATTGGATGTGGCTCTCATGTTCATCTTTCTTTTATCAGGTATGAAGTATACTGCATCAGTTAGTTCTTAATTTTCAGTGTAAAGTGACTAAAATTTTCTGCTTCAGAGGTTGAATCCTGAATTTTGCATGGACCCTTATCTCATGTATTTTCTATCATGGTCAGTATAATCGTATCTATTCTCCTACCACTTTTGGTAAGAAGTATGACCCTAATGGAGACTATATTAGGCATTTTCTCCCACTCTTAAAAGGTATGTTTAAGTTCCCTCATCAATCATGTTCTATCAGCTAGTCAATTTCGTATTTTAAGATGTTAGAACCTAGAAATCAATATCTGTGAGCAGATATGCCTAGGGAGTACATTTATGAACCATGGACTGCACCTCTAAGCATTCAGACAAAAGCAAATTGTATAATTGGCAAAGACTACCCAAAGCCTAGTAAGTTCTGTCGTTCAGGGTGCAATTGTTATATACAAATTAACATATATTGTATGAATATATGCATGTTAATAGCCAGAAAGGCAAAAGCACATGGCTTGAATAAGCTTTTACAATATTTTTTCTGATAAAGTCCATGCTATACTTGCCTATTCTCTTTCAGTTGTTTCTCATGATTCTGCAAGTAAAGAGTGCAGAAGGAAAATGGGTGAGGCATATGCATTGAATAAAGAATTGAATGGCTTGGTTAGTGAAGAAGATCTGAAAAAGTTGAGAAGGAAATTAGATGAAGGGGAAGAGCAACAGGGTAAAGCTAAAAGATCTAGGCAACTGCTGATTGGCTGAGCCAAAATTTTACTACTTTTAAAAACTGTTTTGCTTTGAGTTGCAGTTTATGCATGCTTGAATATTAATTTTCAGTATCATTAGATTTTGCATCACACCTGTATGTAATGTATGACATAGACATAGATGCCAAATTCTCAATGAATTGCATACATAAAATAGACAGAGATGCTAAATTGGGAACAATTTATAATTATTATTTCACATTATATTGCATACGTACATACATATTATAATTTAATTGTATTGCATTATATACAATTTTTTTTTCATTATCAATAATCGTATATTATTATATCATTGAAAATTATTACTTTTGTGATAATGATTTTAAAAATAATATAAAATATTATTTAATTAATTGATAGTGTAAAATTTTTATATTGGCAATATGTTAAAATAAATTTATGATGAAAAAATATATCCGATAAAATATGTCCTTGAGCTATAGTGGTCTAAAATATAAATAAATTTTAACTAATTTCACACTATTTAATAAAATTATCTCTAAAATATGCTTATTTAATTCAAATCTTACTTTAAGTGACTTTATTTATTTTTAAGACATTAATTAATAATTTTATATAACTTTCAAAATGAAAAGAGAAATCTCTTTGAAACTAGTTGTCGGAATTTAATTTTCTTTCATTAAGATGTTAAATGACTTCTTAATTTTTAACATTTAGGATATGAATTTAAACCTTTAACTAATGATATTTACCTTTGATAAATCTTTCTCAAATAATCTAGAAGTTAGAGAATGTAGTTTATTTTTAAAAAATATTAAATAAGATTAATTATTATTTTTAATTAGCGTAATTTAATTATGTATTTATATTTAAAACGTGAAGGAGTATATATCATAGTCCAAAGTCAAATAAATCGGTCCAGTTGGGACTGCATTTGAATATTCATATGTACACGTAAAAGATAATTACATACCAAAAAAAATGTCCAAGATATTTATCAAACCCATACCAATGTGTTTTTATCAAATCAATATTTGTTTTAAATTTATATAAACTATAATATATTATTTCTAATAAGAAAAAACGTATATACCAAATTAAAAGGGCGTGCACATACGACAATTACATATAAGTATGAATTGAAATAAATTTGATATGTAATGCATGTTGGATGTTTCACTTTGTGATTACAGTGAACCATTGAAATATTATGTGAATTGTGAGTTCAACAATTTAACAATCTTTCTAATTTCAGAAACATTAGTTACGCAATGGTTCATAGAAGGTACATGTAACCTGAAATGACAAATCTAAGTTATTTGATTCCTTTATTTTGAGAGTGGTGATAATATAAAATTGAAATTTTATTAATGTACTTTGTATGCAGTAATATATCAACCATTTATTGATTTAATTGATCCATTTTTTTTGTTAATTATTTTTGAATTTTGAGTGAAGAGACCTTTCTTACAATTTTTTTTTTGTATTTGCCTGTTCATAAGTTTATAGAATAAAAATATTAAATAAACTTACTAGATTTTTAATTTTTTTAACTAGGCATCAAATGATTTTTCTTTTTTTTTTTTATATCGTTATATCTCACTTAATTATACTTTTAGCCCTATATTTTAATTTATATGTAATTTTAGTCTCATTAATTTTAAGTATATAAATTTAAGTTTCTTACTTTAAATTTTTATTTAATAATTAATAGAAATGTAATAAAGACCATCTATCTCTCTCTATATATAAAAAATATAATATAGTATAATATCATTGGAAATTAAAGTTTAAGGAAAAAAAATATATGGACAAAAACACTAAAATTTAAAATACAATGAAGTTAATTTTGATTGTGTCCATCAACACACAACAAAAATGGACAAGAAGTGAGTGGCACGTGCTTGGTATCTCTCACGTGGGAAAGTCAATCCGCTGGTCGGTCCCATCTTGGGTTCACCACTGTGTTTGGCTCTGGCAATTGGCAAAGTGAGAATTACAATTTGGGAATCGACGAAGTGAAAGGGAAAGAAGAGGCGTGACCTGAGATCAAACTGAAACAGTGACACCATGTGGCGGAGGCTTCTCTCTTCTCACCTCAAAACCCTAACTGTCGCTGCTTCGTCTTCTTCCACTTCCCGATCTGCTTCCGCCGCCGCCAGATTCGCCGTTCTTCCTCGCTTCTCCCGCTACCTCTCAACCCAATCCGGTACTCTTTCCTTATGCATCTTCCGTTTCTTATTGTCTGATTCACTCATGTTGCTTCTTCTTCTTCTCACAGAGGACTCTACTTCCATCAAAAAGAAGGTTGAGGATGTAATGCCTATCGCTACTGGCCACGAGCGCGAGGAGCTTCAGGCTGAGCTTGAGGTCTCTCTCTCTCTCTCTTTTATATTGAGTGCCAAATGTGCTTCACTTATATTTTTCCGTGTCCTATTTTTAGGGTAAAAACGGGATTTCTTCATTAATGAGTTTTTCTGTGCTTCACTAATACTTTTTTGTTCTCTCACGCACGAAAATAATGTATATATGATCAAAATGCTGAAGAAAGTGCCATTCGACTAAAGTGTTGTTTTCTATATGCAATTTAAACAAAACCAAGCGTTTGCTGCTGTAGAGTTGGTGCTTTCCGCATTTGAAGGGTGATTCTCATTTTGTGTTATTGTTATTCTTTTGGTTAGGGAAGGGATATTCTTGAAATAAACCACCCCGTAGGTCCCTTCGGCACAAAGGTCAGTGTTATTTGCTTGTCTCAATTATATTTACTATAAATGCCTAGTTTTTGTTTTGTAAGAAGAAAACTGTAAGAATTGCATAGCATAGTAGGAAATCGTTCTTTCATTGTATTTTGGCTGAATGAGTGGTGTTCTCTATTTCATTCTTCATTGCATCTTCTGTTCTGGATTTATGCATGTACGGCAAGTTCTTATTTGGAAAGTGTTGAAAACTTCTAAGTTCTAATTCATTATTCCGTGTTATTTTCACTGGCGTACGCAGTACCTTTGACTCTCTCTGCATAAGTAGAGCAAGCTTTGTTGTAACTGTTGAATCTTGGTAGTTACTTATTGGAAAATGTTTTGGAATTTGGATGTTGGTATGACCGAAACTTTTTGCATGACAGAGCATAAAAGTCTTGATTATGAAAGACAGAAGGAGTATTTCTGCTACTTCTAGGGTAGATTACATGGTTTAAGCCTATGGTTCTCATTGTCATAAACCATTGGGTCAGTAGATGATACTCAATGGGTTTAATAAGATTTCTTTGATATTGTTTGAATACAACCACTTCAGACTAAGTGCAAGATATAAAAAAGAAAGGATTTCCAGTACATCTAGCTCCCCTCAGTCACACGATATCTGATGCTATGTTGCGCACAAAGTAGTTACGTATTCTCTCTCTGAGATAGCTGAAAGGATCGCACAAGACATAATATACAAGCACTTAAAGACGGCTTAAGAACTCAGAATTGTTGCAAGGATAAATCAATAGTATTAACTTCTCATAAATGTGGAGATCTGGTATATTTATAATTCAAAGTCTTCAAGATAGCTGTGTCGTTCTTATTTAGAGGTGGAATATGGAAGACTCGAAAAATATCTATTTCTTCAATTGTATTCGTTGGAGAAACTAGAACAGTTTGACAAGTAATTAATGCCATAATTGTTGAAATCGTACTCTTGCGATACAAAACTGTTTTCAAGACAATCTGCAAAATATCTGTCGCTTCGGAATAACTTTTCTGCTTGACTTTTCTCTGTCTATGCAAGTTAACAGTTTGCACCAGTCAAAAGTTATCCTTTTCTTTTGCCAAAATGGTTAATGACAGACTCCTATCACTGAGCAACTTGGACATGCAGAACTATGACCATGCTAGCTTAAAAGCTTTAGCTAGAAGAAATGAATCAGACTTGATCAATTTCTTAAACAAAACATTCTGTCAGAGTTAACGTCTGATGAGCTTAGTCTCTTCTTGGTCTTTAGACATCTTGAGGTCTTCAGGTCTTTTAGACTTGATAGATATAGTCTAGTTGTCTTAAGCACACTCAACGAATCATCAGCTTTGTTCACTCATCATCACAATCAAATATATGTTTGGATCCATAAAAGACCCAGGATAGTGAGACTCCAGACATCTTTAGACTCTATTTATTGATATCCAAAAATATTAATAATGGCAACCAAAATATTTTGAAACTATAAGGTCCTAACCCTAAGGGGTGGGCTTAGGTCCAGGTCAACCCATGGACCTGAACTGACAGTACGTCTTAAAATCTGCTCAGTTCATGCTATTGGATTAGGTTGGGTACAATGGTGTCGGCCCAATGACATCCGGTTTGTGTGTCAAGACTAGGGATTTCAAACCCGTTTGACCCAATCTCAACCCCCCACATTTTATATGTGTGTGTTTGAATTAAACGTTTAATAAAAGTACCTTCTTTCTCTTGCAACCCAATGACTCACCCCGAACTTCCTTAGACCTAATTAGGTTGGTTTGGTTTAGATTGAACGGAAAATTCACCAAAAATTGACCCATCTCAACCTCATTTAATTGATGGGCTCTTATCTAACAGTATCTATGATTGTCTAAGCCTTTCTTATCCTATACCCAACCATAGTGGCTTACTTAAGCTTCCTAATATTTCCCTTTTCATTTTTTTTTACTGAAAGAGATATCTGCCTATCTAAGTATATTTGTTTCTTTCTCTCCTTTTGTATAGTTCATTCAGATTTACATTGCCATAATATTAATAGATAATGACTTTACATATGTTTCATCTATACTTTTATTGTTTGTTTTGGTTCATAGGAAGCACCTGCTATTGTTAAATCTTACTATGATAAAAGGATTGTCGGATGCCCAGGAGGTGAAGGCGGTGAGTATCAGAGTATTCTTTGTTTTTCATAACTTATCCTTGCATGTGAACTTCTTCCCAAGGTGATGAAAAATGCTAGAATTTTGGTTAAGTTGTTGAGGAGGTGAACTGTTTTGATTGCAGAGGATGAGCACGATGTTGTCTGGTTCTGGCTGGAGAAAGGCAAGCCTCACGAATGTCCAGTGTGTGCACAGTATTTTGTGGTAAGTTCATAATGACATTTAGTATATCTTTTACTGTTGCAAAGTTTTTTTTTTTTTTTTTTTGGTTGGCAAGTTGAGAAACATTTGGTATTGAGTAAAATATGTTTTTAATCCCCGTAAATATGGTTAAATTTGGTTTTAGTTCTTTAAATTTTTTATTGATTTGGTTCTTATAAATATGGTTAAATTTTTTTAGTCCCTATCTTCACTTACCAATGACATAATGTGTATTTTGACATGTAACGTCACATGCTACGATCAAATAGTTGCTGACGTGACATGTCTAGATGTATGTGACATCACTGCTAAGTATTGACAACTGACAAGGACCATTTTAAGAAGTTTTAAAATTTATGCAGAGTGAAACCAATTTTAGCCTTATTTATAGGGACTAGAAAAACATATTTAAATCTTGAGGATATCTTTTGTTGTTACTTTAGATAGGTGTAGAGTTGAATCCCAAGATATGTTAGTATTTAGAGTGAATTACGTACTTGTGTGCTTCACCTGTTCACAGTGATTGTCAAGCACCGTTGCTTAGTGATTGTTAATGGCTACACGGACTGAGGCTGCTTGTTTAAAATATGCTTTGAGTGGTTTTTAGTTCCTTTAACTTCAATTATTTCCACAATCTGAATGCCTGTGACTTTTCTGAAGTATGATTATCTGGTGCTGCATGATATTGGGGGGTTTTTGGCTTATTGCTGTGAAATAATTCTCATTTTAGCCAGAACTTAGAAGACATGCTAAATTAGTTAATGCAGAGGTGAGATGATTTCAACCTTTACAATTTAATATTTTCATTGTTTGGCTGCTATTATCATCTAGAGCCAACTTGGTTTAAAGGCATGTTTGGGTAAACAGTTTAAGGTCTCATTCAACGAGGGCATATCATATGAGAACTTATGTCGGAAGCACTTAATTTAATAAGCTTATTTTTATAAGCTTCACTGTTAAGCTTATTGAAATGAGGTGAAAAGAACTTATAGAAAGGTCATCAGTCACTTGCATAAGCTTAACCAAGCACCTTAGTTTTTCTGCTTAACCGCTTCCACTTGTACTAAGATAAGTGCAAACTAATTCAATAGGCCTCCTAAGTTCTCTGGTGCACCTGCTTCCGAAAGCGAATGACTATCAAATAACAAAACATATTGTTAGAATCAAAATTTTATTAGCTCGTGGTCATTTTGAACAAACCAATTTAGTTCTCGCATTATCAACTTAATCCAACAGAATAGTTCAAAATTTTACCAGAATTTTACTTTTGTTTTCTTCTGCCAATGTCATCAATATGCTTTACTGAATGTTAGTTGATGGTTGGTTCAGAAACACCGTATAATGTATGTCTACATGAAAAGTACTAAGCCGATTTTTATTATGGCTGCAAGGGAATTGGGGGAGAATATAACCCAAGTAATGCAGCGCATAGGTTTCTTTAAACTGAGTCCAAATTTTGAGAACAAATTTCGATCAAATTCTTGTCAGCTATTTGGAACATTGATGGACGTTAATCAAATGACTGTTTACAAATTGACGCTAATTATTCTATCCTTTTTTTCCCAAACAGCTTGAAGTGGTAGGACCTGGTGGACCACCTGATGGACATGGCGATGATGATCATCATTGATTGCATACTTCAATTTTCCTTCTGGAATAAATTCTGGAAAGATGAAGAGACATTGTCTAGCATACACTCTGGCCTTTCAAAATCCTGTGGCCTATGTTTGGTTTTGATTTGTCTATACCTTGTGATGTCGCAACTTTTGAGATAGAAAGTTTCTGTGATTACGCAGGATGCTCATTTGCTTGAGCTATCAATTCTGTTAGATTATGTTTTGTGCGTTGCAAAATAATTGATAGAACTTGATGATTCTTTAACTCGGTTTGAATTTCTGGAACGTTAAGCGATTTTAAGCACCTAAACAACGAAAGGAATTATGTTTTGGAGGGTTGCAAGGGAGGGAGGGGCAAAGAAATGAATGGCTAAAAATGTGTTCATAATTATTTGAAAGGAATGAGTGTAATGGCCACGAGGGTTCTCTCGCCACCCTAAACCACACAGTTTTTCCACCTTTTTATTTCGTTCTATTATGTCTCACTTCACTTTATTTTTTTCACGTTTAAAACACCTAAAATATCTTAAACGAATCATCTTGTTGAAGAATCTTTTGCTGATGAAAGGAATCTTGACCAAAAAACAAAAGAATCTTTTGCAGATGAAAAGCCACGTGAAATGTTTGGTTATTTCAACCATGTGGAACGTTCGTCTGGCTGTGCAAAAATTAGCTTTAGAAATTGATGTTTGATGATGAATTCGTAGACTGGAATTAGTATGGAGCAAATGAAAAATGTGACTAGTAATTTGATTACACTACCATTGATGTATGATTTTGAATCCCTTTGAAAATATTTACAAGTTGATAACTACAACCAGTTGGTATGCCATATAATTATAAAAAAGAATTGGCATGCCTTATTAATAAATCTAAGCTGCTTTTGAAGAACAATCATGTCAAGATTAAAGCGTAATTTATGTCCCCAAAATTAAAATGCAGGACTTAAGAATTTATCATTCCAAATCCATATATATGTAGCTTGGGTCCGACCGTGGCAAGGGAATCATTTGACTTCGCTGTAGAAAACTAATCTTCATTCTTGAAACGATGGAGTTCTTTTAGTACAAAAATACAAAATGTTTGTGATGGGAGTATCGGAGCTGTTTATTGCATCCCAATATGTAGAAATGAGAGCATAGTCATTAGTGACCATACATTTTTCCTGTTTTTATTTCATTAAAAAGTATAGCGCAAAGGCTAAATGGAAAGGAGCAAAATATACGAAAGAAAAAGTAACCATTGAAAAATAACGAAATGACAACTATATATTCTTAATTCTTGGGAAGATTTATCCCAAATGCTTTTAGCCGTTTCTGCACCCTTAAAAATGTAATATTTGCATACTGAAGTAATGGAACCTAAATCAAGTAATTGGCATCTGAACAGAATAGATTCAAAGTCTCACACATAACCTCATACTAATAATGATAAAAGACATCCTTCACTTTCCCTTCAAATTGAAGTTACAAGGAGCTACATATAGATTGAAGGAAAATTTGGGAACAGCTCTACCAACAACTATTATAGTATTGTTCCTTCTAGGTGAATCATGTTTTCTTCCATGATGTTTTACTTTACACATCATATCATCTTATATCATAATATAAATGTATGCATTTGTGTGTGTAATAATAATAATAATAATAATATTTTTTTTTTACAATGAAATATTCTATTATTATTCATTAATATAAACTAAATATAATTATCTCAAGACTTAAAGTTTGAATTTTATGTATGAATAAAATTTTTATCAGAAGATTTTTTTTTTCATAAAAGATAGTTATGGTTTAACAAAACAATTACACACCCATACATGCGTGTAACTTTATTATTTTGATGAATAAATTTATTATTATTTGGATAAATTAAAATACATGACATGGAATAATCCAGTTATCAAGGCAGATAAATATAATTTATATTAACTTTATACATAACTAAAATATATTATTACAGTATAATTAAAGTTTAACTTCGTTGCTTTGAGACAATTAATTTTAAAATATATTGAAACTAGAAAATAATATATCATAAATAATGGTTTTAAATTTATATGTTAAAATTAAAAATAAGTTATTTTATGTATTAAAATATTTTTCTCATGACACCAAATCACAAGATTCTCTAAAAATCTAAAACTTTACTAAACTAATGTTTTTGAAGAATTAAAAGAGTGAAAATTTCATTTGAAGGAATAATACGATAACACATGTAACTTTTTTATACATATAAATGTCTCGTCACAAAAATAATGAAATTTATCCTTTTTTTTTAATAAAAATTTCATGTTAACTTTATTTCACTTTTTAAGATTCATAAGATGTATTCTAAAATTTACTTAATGATGAATTCGCATCCACTCTACCACATCAATTGATTCGATATATAGTTGAAACTCGATTAACTAACATGGCAGCAAAATCACATCAGAGTGTGGACCAAGAAAAAAAGAGTGTTATTTTGGGTAATTTTATGGAGAGTTTTTATCCACACACCCTCTTGAAGGGTATCTGACATACCATTTCAAACTATATTCATCATATATAAATATGTAAAATATTTTCAATACAACTCTATATAGATTTATACGTAAATTCAAGCGGGCCTTTGTAAAAAACAACAAATTTGTTAAAAGAAAAAGAAAAGAAAAGATAGGTATGAGTGAATCGAGAAGAATCATTTTTCTGATCGTGCCTTCAACATCATTTCCATCAAATTACATAAAGTTCGTTTTGTCCTAACAAAGATAGAGTAATTTATTTTATCCTCATCGGATAATTAATGTATACTATACTAGTTGTGAGTGACAGAAAGTGAAGCTATAAACAGAATTGTTATGGTTCACAAATGTCTAGTCAATAGATGAGCACCAGCTTCGTAACCTACATGAAAGTAATCCAATTAATACCACAAACGTAACGTGCAAGTTTATAAAAACAAATCCATAAATTGTGTTCGTTCCCAAGTAGAGGGAAGTTTTCAATTTTTGTTCATCAGAAGGAATATATTTGCTGGTGTGCATGCCAGCTTAATGCAAATGAGAGCTCTAAAATATTTGAAAATGGTCATACTCCAGTTGCACTAATTTTATATTTTCTTAGTTTGCTTTCCTTTTTAATTAGGTACTCTATTAATGTTCCTTGATGTAAAGCTTTAACTATTGGTGCTGCCAAATCACCAAAATTCAACAAAATTACCCTTACCTGTAGTAATGAGAAGGTGGTGTCCACAACATCTCTTTCTTTTTCTTTTTCTTCTTTTCTCTTTTTTGAAGGTCGATGAATATAGAGCGTTTTTAAGTTTAAAGGATTTATAATTGATTTTTACTTATGGTTTATAATTATTGTTATTTTTCTTAATGTTGTCCTTCCCTGTATTGAGTATGTATATGAGGCTAGGGAGGAGTTAGGGGCCAAAGGTTGGTCTAACTTCTTATATTAGAAAAAACGCATTATTTTGTTGACCTTAGAAGACATTAGATGCTGAACCATTTGTTGGCCATCAAAGTAGAATCTGCCATGTAAGTGGGACTCACTTATTTGTGGTTTAAGTCAATCAGTTTAATATTAACATTGCTGTTTGTGCTAGCAGTGTCTTCTATGCAATAAACAAGCATATCTTTTATGTTATATATATACAACAAAGAGAGAACCAAGAGAAAAATATAAACAAAATAGTTAATGTGGTAGAGAGAAAAACAAAAATATAATGTTATAAAAATTGTTATTAAGAAGATCTTGTATTAATGATATAATTCACATGAAAATCTTCTCCTCTGTGTACTAAAAAATATTTTCAATCTGAAATTTCCATTTTTTAACCTTTCGAATCATTTTTTAAAAATGATTTCAATATTAAGAAACTATTAATTATATATTTTTTTGTTATCTTCTAAAATGAAGGTAAAAAAAAAAAAACAGAAGTAATCTTTAAACGAGATTTATCTTTCTTCAAGTGAGTCCTTGGTTTTTGACAGCATTAAATTTGAAAGATTTTAATATATCAATAGTGATTTTTTTTTCCACATCATATCATGAGATATGAAATGAATATGAGAAAGAAGGAGATAAAAAAAAAAAAGAGAAAAATGAATATAGAAAATCAGAGTTTTTAACTCATGAATAATACTATACTTTTACTTTTATCTTATTTTTTACCCTTATATTTTACACTTACTCTTTAATGAAACAAATTTTGATCTCTTTTTTAATACTTCGCTTCATTTAAATATCCTTTATCTTTCCCCCTTCTTTCTATATGTGAGATCTCTTGGAATACTAACCACAAATAATATGTGAAGAGTAACGCAGAAAAATAAAATAGTGTGACATATAAAAACAATATTGTTATTACTCTTGTTATTAACATGTAAAATTAATATTAAAACCCCAAATATCTTGTTATTAACATATTAACAAGATACCCACAAAATAAAACCATATTAACAGGACGAAGAAGCCATTGAACATCATTAAAGTTTGATTGACATTATTATTACATCAAGCAGAAGAAATAAAAAAATGTTGGTGGTGGGTTGATTTTCCTAGATTGGGCATATCCAAATTGAATTGTTCACACGTTAGTCCAGAATCTCCATCAATGAAGGCGTAGAACTACAGAAAGAGTGGCACCAATAACCAAACAACAAACCAGTTAGGTGAAAGAAGGAAGCACATATAACACTTTAAGATTTCAGCATGAAAGCTGCATTCTATAGGTGAACAGACATAGTGGTGTACAATGAATGTACTCGTTGACCTATGCATAGTGCCTCTGCTTCCGTATACTTCAAATTTATCTTGCTGAAGATGGGATGGATATATGCTGCTTCCACTTTTCACAATAAACTACATATTTTCTATTACTGTGAGAATCAAAGCTGCAAATATCTGCACACCTTGAGGACACTAAAACAGAAAATCAATATATAAACAAAGTATAAAGAACTGGACAGGGGTGTGTGTGTAATGTGTATAGTTGGAGTCAACTAAAGCCATTTTTTATCATACGATAGAAAAGATAATCAGCAATATGTTAATAATTTAGAAATGTGATTTTGTAAATACTGGTCTTGCTTCCATTGTTTTGGCTTAATGTTGGATGCATTTATAAAGACAAAAAATACATGAAGATTCTAGGATGTTATTTTTCATCTAAACGTGTCTAAGAGCCTATCTCTTTTTGTTTTTGTTTTGTCACAGTACTAAAGAGAAGCTCTAGTCTTTGGACGCATGTAGTTTCGCATGACTATAAACAAACAACTTTTCTTGTGCAACTAGGTATAGTGGCAAACAAGAAAGAAGAGAGAGGTAGGTTATAGTAAAAGGCTTACATGCTTTTTCTTGTCACTTATAATTTGAGATCCAGGTTACTAAGCTTAAATGTTATCCGTTAAGAGCTAGAAAGTAGGGGAAAATACCTAGAAGCTACGGTTCCCTTTCCAATAGCATTTCTTTGTTATTTTTTTCCCTTAAATTTGTTTTTGTCTGTGATAATTTGAGTACACAAAAAGTGAAGAAAAAAGAAAGATTTTAGTTTGAGGTTAATGGGTATCCATCAATCAATCAAGCAGGAATTGATAAACAAATATGATCTTACAAGCATGGTTATTCTTTCTTGTTTTCAGTAATATTCTTCAGCTGCTGTTGCTGTTATCTTTATTTTCTGGCCACTGCCCACAAGCATAGATTCTCTCTATGTGCGAGTCCTCTGTCCTTGCTGTGTGCCTTAGAAATGGATGAATGTGCTTTACACTGCTTGGATTCTCTCTGCCCATAAAAGGTTTCTTGCTTTTCTCTGTCTATACCCTCTCCTTTTCATTGATGCTTTCTTAGGCGGTTCTAGGTACACTCTATAGCTGGTGTAGTGTGAACACTACATGTACATGAGGAGGATGCACACATACCCGTTTTATTCCAACTCCACCTTACCCGTCTTGGTATAAAGAGGGCTCACCATTCTGCATTTTCTTCATTGAAGAACCTCTTAGTCCCTTCGATAGGTTGGAGTGCTTTGAAATTTTGAAACAGCAAAATGAGCTATGCACATTATCATATGGGCTCTGGTTAGTTCTTTTGCTCCCCTTGATAGTCCTTTATCCTTCCTTGCACCTTGCATAAACTTTGGATCAATAGATTGTTATCCCTTGCATTAACTTTTTCTTGCTATTGAATGGTTGAGCGTTTGGAAAGTCATTTTTATAATTCATGCGTTTTCTTTTCTTGTTCTAGCTACTTCTATTGTTAACTTTCATCAATGATAATCTCCTTGGTCCATTTGGAGGATTATCATTACTTTTTTCCCATGTTTTGAAATCTATCAGCTATTTTCAACATTTGTATGCCATTTGCAGGTAGTAGAACTGCAAGGAGAAGTTTGGAGTTTGGGAAGACACATGTGGTGAGGCCAAAAGGAAAACACCAAGCCACTATCGTTTGGCTGCATGGTCTTGGTGACAATGGTTTGAGGTATAGATGCATGTTTTGTACTTTTTCTACTGTGGATCCCTCTCTTCTTGGTCTACCTTATCTCCTCGTCGTTATTTTTTCCTTTACCTAAACCCTCTTTTTGTATTTCTTTTTTTATCTGCTCTTTCAGTGTTAGAAGGTAAGTGTAGGGAGTATTTCTGACAAGAATACTCTTCATAGTGAGAAGGAAAGTTTAATGATATCAGAGGGATCCAAACTTGGGTTTTTCTGATGTATGTTGTATGTTTTCAATGTGGAGTGTTTTCTTTTAGTTGAGATTCTAAATGGAATAAATACTGTTGGAAAAAGTTGCTAATTATAATTGTTGGAAGTTTGATTTGGAAGAGTATATACTAGATTCTCGACTGAGGGACCACAAGATCATTTGTTCCTATACTCAAATGAGCAACTTGACATGATTTGACAGAAGAATATTATATGAATAGAAAGCAATCATTCTAGAATTTTTCATTGAACAGTGTGTTTAGAGTGGTCATAGAAAATATCATTAAATTTGATCATTTTAATCCATGGATTTTTATCTAGCAAGTTGGTGTTTCCCTAATTGATGTCTGCATTCTTCTCATATTCTAATTTATGCGGCAAACATAATAAAGATCTTGAACTTGGTTTTGTGGCAGCTCATATCAGCTGCTGGAATCCCTTCCACTTCCAAATGTAAGAAATGGACTTATTCTCTATTTGCTTTTGAACAGAAATATTCTCACTTCATCTCCATAATATTCTCATAAATCTATATTCTCTGGTGCCGATGTTTCTTATGATGTGATATGTTCAGATAAAATGGATTTGCCCTACTGCTCCTACCCGCCCTGTAGCAATACTTGGTGGTTTTTCTTGCACAGCATGTAATATTCAATCCCTCTTGTATTTCTATTCTTTCTAATTGAATCAGCACTGTGTAACTGTAAGCTCCTGTGATGGGTATGAAAACCTTTCTTGCATTAATCAGGGTTTGATATGGGAGAACTTTCAGAAGATGGTCCAGATGATTGTGAGGGTTTAGATGCTTCAGCAGCACATATTGCCAACTTATTGTCAACAGAGCCAGCTGATGGTACTTTCAAACTCTAAATATAATCCTTGTTCATGTAAAAGAAAAAATTAATCAAACTCTAATTTGTAAGATGATTTTCCAACTTCAAGTATGTCCAATTTGGGACATGCAATTGATATTTTGGGGATTCATTCATTCAGTTAATGAAGTTCAATAAGACTTACAATTTTTTGTAACAGTTAATGTTGGAATTGGAGGCTTCAGTATGGGTGCTGCTGTAGCTCTATACTCTGCAACTTGTTTTGCCATGGGAAGGTATGGAAATGGCATACCATACCCTGTCAACTTAAGAGCAGTTGTTGGACTAAGTGGTTGGCTTCCAGGATCAAGGTATGATTATAGTATTTTTTCTGCAACCTTCCCTACCCCATTAATATAATATGCATATATGATGGTCCATGTAGTCACATGCTAATGATTGTTGCTATGGTTGGCAACTTCTGTTCATGTAGGAGCTTAAGGAATAAGATAGAAGTGTCACATGAAGCAAGAAGGCGAGCTGCTTCGTTACCTATTTTGCTGAGCCATGGAATCAGTACATATCTATACATCTTACATCTTATATGCTACAGAATGTTTCTTTTTTATTAGAGTGGGGTGCTTATAAATTAGTTCTATTTCCATGCATGGACTAAGAAATTTCTAGTTTATGCGGAAATATATTCCTTTTCATTTATGTGACATAGACTTATTGTTGATGTTGCAACATCCTTTTACCACTTCACGTATCATTATGTCATACTCGATCGTTTACTTGGTTGCATTATTTAGTGTTCTATGCTACCTGTGACCAAGTCCCACACTGCTTGTGTGTAAAATGTTACATCCAAGACGTGTATATAAAATTTGAGTCCAGGAACAGTGTCAAGCATACCTTTCTCGGCCTTTTGGCTAAGATCAAGTGTAGTATCTGTTCTTATCAGTTTAATATCTGATACGTGGGCCATAGGCCCACATGATATTAAATTAATCTTTTTAGGGAGAGAGTCCATTACAATAGCTTGCTATTGGGCCTCTCACGCGTCGCCCATGTGTTGCACTACTGCACGGGCGTGGCGCATCCCACCCAAGCCAGTGGAAGCCACTTTAATTATTGATTGCTAATGACAGAGATACGTTGGTAGGTGAGAAATGAATAAATAATGTTTATTTTTGGAGGTTTTGGTGAAGTTGGTTAAGTAATTAGCAAATAATAATTTATATTGAAAATTATTTTGAAATGCATTAAAATTCGTAAGATGAGTGCATTTTTATGTTTTTAATAAGCATGTACTTGCAAATTAACTGCTCGTAAAGCCGTTTGATTAAACTATTGAAGCCAACCTTTAATATTGATCTTGTAGGTGATGATGTAGTTCTCTACAAATACGGAGAGAAATCAGCACAATCCTTAAGTGCAGCAGGATTTCGATATATTACATTCAAATCCTATGATGGGTAACATCTCTTTTTCTCAGCAGAAATAACCTTAACTCAATTCTGAATGATTCACGGATAATTAAAGCAATTATGTTTCACTTTTTCGGTGCAGGCTTGGTCATTATACAGTTCCTAGGGAGATGGATGAGGTCTCCAATTGGCTGAGCTCAAGGCTGGGGCTCGGGGGAACAACATGAATAACATAGTATCAGTCAGGGCATGCCTGTAAAATAACATGTGACTCCATCACGGAACGGTTCTCCAATATAAATAGTATGGTATAGGAGGATTAGTCTTCTAGGTTCTTCAGTCAGAAATAAGATCCGAATGTGTTTTCCAAGTAGTTATCGCTCTCTCTATATTACCATAGAACCTAGAGACAGGGTCAGCTGTACTGTTGGAAAGATTTTGTTTTAAATATTGTAACAATACATAGAACTTAGCTGCTTTATTGCTCAATATCAGTGTTTTCTTTTGCGGGCGGGGATGTGTGCAATGCTTGCTCGGAAGTTTGAAGCTATGAAATCGTACAAACTAGTTAAATTCCTTACCACAAAGTCCCTTAAATCATTAAAGCTAGATGCAGTTTACAGAGTTCTTATTTGAATATAATCCATAAATCCAGGTACAAAGAATTAACATAATTTAATCTTTTGGCAACTCAAATACAACATCTCTTGTAACTTCTGTGTTGATCCATGTTTACTGGCTTTTGAACGTGAATTCAAACACACCACAACTCTTAAAATTCAATCATCTTATGCCCGTGTTTACTGCTTGGGAGTAACATCTTTAAGCTTTTCCTTCAACTCACCAGTCTACATGGATGTAAAATATTTATTGATCAGTACAGTGATAAAATAATAGCCACGAGTGAAAAAAATCAAGTATTTAAACGAAAACAAACCTGGTGCATATTAAGAATAATATCTGATCCCCCAACAAACTCTCCCTTAATGAAAATTTGAGGAAATGTTGGCCAGTTACTGCACAGAAAGAACATGGAGAACACTGGGATCATACAAAAAATTGTAAAGGAAACCAATAATAAAACTTGGAAGTAACTGTACTTTTCCGGTGGTAAGAACCAATCAAATACAAGATCATAGTTGTATCCCATTATTAAGTGTAAAGACAAAATGACATATATCCACAAATATGTATAGATATCTGCGGGTTGACTACTTTCCAGAGATTTTGACATGGCTTGTGGTTCAGATTTTCAGAGACTAGAGGGTTTTTAAGCAAAGAAAAGACAAATAACAACCGGTAAAATTCACTAGGCATTATTAGATCAATTGCTCCAGATTTATGCAAATACAAAGAAATGAACAAATTTTGACCATCTGACTTTCAGTGGACATTCATCCTTTAAATTCCATGGGCATTGAAGAATCTTGCTTTGCTATTTCATTTTATTGAAAAAACTTTGTCATAACATTAATTGTAAAACCCATTCAACTCATCTTCATACTGAGAAGATCTGCTGATAATAATAAAATATTTCTTGATAGGGTATATCCCCACCCTTGGTATTATGAGCTACTGATAGTTAATGATCAAACATTAATGCTCAAAAATAGCCTAATCTATTACATAGAATAAAGAGAGAGAACGAGGATAGAAAGTGGCCATAAATTAAGCTCAACAAGCAAAGTAATAACATCCGAGAATGAGTTAGAGAGAAAGAATCAATATGTTAGGCAGCAGAGAGGTAATAAGATAAATAAGTATTAAGTTACCTGAATGCTTTTACTGCACTTTTCAGTTCAGGATCCTCCAAAATGTTTCTAGCACTTATTGGAACATCTGCAAGAGTAATATATAATGATAATTGCACCTTACAAAATTGTTATCAAGTAATGTGAATTCACAGTGTAACAAATTTTTTTCTACAACTTTACCATAGAATTCTTTAACATGGGGAAATGGAGCACTTCCACCATGAAGAAACAATTTCAGAACATATAAGTCCCTGTGTTTTAATTTATAGTTTTAGTACTACTCACCATAATGTTTTAAAACTTTAACAGCAAGCGAACTAAATCCACATTGTGGAAAATCAGGCACACCTTTCATGTAAACCATAACAGGATTACCGTTGACATCCTGCACATATTAATTACAGTGAACAAAAGTTCAACTTACAGACTACTAAAATTATTAAAGCAAGAAAAAAAAAATTCACGGGTAAAATATTTAATTGATATACCCTTACATGCTCAATAACATTTGTTAAAGAAATGCCAGAACTCTCAAGCTTATTAGCTGGCTTGAAGTCATCATGCGTGTCAGAATCAGTTGACACAGTAGTTGAGTATCTCATGCGATAGAATGATCCATTTAACTGCCAGCATCTTAAAGTAAGACCATTAGAAAAGGAAATTACAATTTGCAGTTTGAAGAATTAAAAAAAACCATTCAATAACAGTTGGCACTAAGTAATGCAATGCCACAAAAGGAGAAAAAATGGGGAAAAAAAATTCCCCAGAACAGTGCAGTTCAACAAACTAGCCAAGACAGATTGAAATCACAAAGTGAAAAAATTCACAAAATAAACGATACCCATTAAGCAGGGTTAAGTAAAGACTGCAACTTTTTATGATTCACACAAGTAGAAGCCAAAAGTAAACTAGTAACGATTAAAATGCACAAAAATGAAAGCTTGAACATCTTACGGGCCTGCTAAGGGAACGAGCTACGATTCCCTTGAAAAGCATGTTTGACAACGACGTCGCCATTCGAATTCACTGAGGAACCAAAATCTGAATGCACCCAACACTGGATTCGCTGTTTGAAGCCACACTTTCTTGGTGTAGGATTAAAAAAAGGATTTTTTAAAAAAAAAAAAAAAAAAGAGTGAATGAGTGTTCATTTTGAAAGGTCAGAAATACCCCTGGATAATATTTCCTATTCCAAAACCCAAAACCCTTTCTGTTCCTCAACTCAACAATCATATTCCGCAGCCTCGTTCTTGAAGACGCCATCAAAAGCAATCTCCTTTGATCGGTTTCCTTACGTTTTGTTTAGGTTAGCCTTTATGTATCATTTTTCTCTTTTACCTTTATCTTCTTTCTCTTCTGTTTATTAAATTTCCTTCAATTTCTTATGCCTCAATTCCATGCTGTTCTCTTGAGCCTATTATATTATTGATATGTTATGTGTGAGCAAGGTTTTGAAAATATGTTGAATTTGAGAAGTTTTGTCATTTATTGTATTGGTTTCACTTGTTTGTTATGGTTGAACTTTCGGTAATTTGTGTTTGTTATGATATGGTTGAACCTACACAATTGGCCTCTTTGTTTGTATAACTACTAAGTTATGATCTTTACTTGGTGCTGACTGGCTTATGTCTGATTTAGGTGCTGTTGCTAACTCACTGTTTGCCTATCCAAAATTGTTTACTTGGAAGAAGAAGAAGAAAATTGACTGAGATGGTGAAGGACAAATTAAAGAAACATGTTCTCACGGCTTTCACTTATAATGGTGACTTTGCGGCCATTCTGTCTCCCAATGGAAAGGCCAAAGTAAATCCATCTTCTTCTCCCCTCCCAAATGAAGTCATGTTTAGTAGTAGTGTACCTGAACTATTCCGGGATAAGTGCTTAAGTTTCCCTTTTGAGCACTGATTGTGGATGATTTTGAATTGCTTTTTTTGTTTTGCTATAGCGGATTAGTCTTACTTTGAGTTTACGGTTATTAGATGATAACTATGTCTTACTTTGGTACTTTATACACTACAAGTCTTCACATTTGCATAAGAACAATTTTGATAAACGGTACCTAATGAGATTTATCACTGATGTACTGTCAATCATTGGCGAGTCAAAATAATGTTAAACAGTCAACATGCATTGCAGTTGAAAGTGAGATTTTGTTGGATGTTGTAATTTTGTGATGGTATTTACCATGGTTCTTGTAAGGTTGTTAGTTTGATAACAAAAAACCATCATATAATTTTCAGATTTGGAACACAAGCACTGGATATTTGTTAGCAGAGTGGAAGGCATCAGATGGAGATCACGATATTCGTTATTCTTGTATTGCATGTAGTTTCATTGGAAAAAAGGTAGTATGGGCTCATAGGAAAATAAACTTAATTGCTACTACTTTTTTATGCTGGAATCTTACTTTTCCCCATCTGATAAGAATTGTATGCTTTTATAATTAGCGTAGAAAAGAACAGGGAACTTGCTTATTAGCTCTTGGCACAGTTGACGGAAGCGTTCTGGCTGTTGATGTTTCCAGTGGTGAGAGAGAGTGGACTACTAACTACCCTGGGTATTGTTGTTATTTCACTTCCTCTTTTTAATGTAAAACTTCAATGTATTGTTATATTTATCTTATAAAGTCTCAACATATAATCATATTGTAACAAAGTAATACAAATGATTTTTTTGTTTGTAAATCTCCATGCATGCTATCTTTTTCAAAAGCTATTGCTGTTTGATTATGAGATTAAAATGATAATTAATACCAGTGTAGAATATGGTTCTTGTAATCATCCAGGGGCGTTTGTGGACTTACATTTGCACAGAAAGGACATATCCTTCGAATTGTTGGACATAATGGGATGGGATACGAGGTTAACACTGAAACTGGAGAGCTTTTAAAAGAATTTAAAATTTCAAAAAAGTCCATCTCTTCTCTATCTTTCTCACATGGTGAGTACTAAATCCATTTTATGCTTGGTCCCTCATGTTCATTGATCTTCTTACACAACAACTGACACATGTCATTTTACTTATCTCTCCAGATGAAAAATATTTAGCTATTGTGAGCACTAAACTGAGGGTAATAAGCTGGGAAATTGGGAAAGAGGTTCTGAAGTTCCCTGATGATTTGGTACACTTCATTACCTATGCTGGATATGAATATTAGTTCGTACAAGCTCAAAGCATCATCAGATTTTATTTTTATTGTTTATCAGGGAAATGCACAGTATGTTTCTATATCCAGTGATGCTAAAGTTTTAGTTACATCAGATCTTGAGTGTAAGCATCTTCAAGTTTGGAGGTGTGATTTAAATTCAGGAACTGTGAGTAGTGGTCCTACACTTCCCATGAAGCATCGACCATTAGTTCTTGAATGCCACTGTGGTTGCAATAAAGAAGAAGATTTTGTTGTCTTAGCAGTTACGAGTTCAGGTTCTGCTTATATATGGAATTTGAATAACTCCTCCGAAGATCAGATACAGCCAACTAAATTGACAACAAATACTAAAAAAGTTGAAACTGATATGGAAAACAGTGAAAGTTCAAAGAAAAAGCGGACATCAATTATTGCATGCAGATTACAATCTGTAGGGGAAGACAAACAGATGAAAGCTCTTGTGACTTATGGTTCTGTTGATCATCCACAGTTTACTGTCTTAAATATTAGCAATTCAGGGGAGAATATAATATTAAATGTAGGAGATGAGGCTGATTCTGTTCAGCTGCATGACAATCCTTCTAGCAAAGGTCTGATAAACTCATAGCTTTTCTTGTACTTCCTTCTGATCAAATATTAGGTGATTCGAATTTTTATTATGTTTTCATGATTAATAAATCTTAAATACTTTTCCTATAGGAATTCGTGATATATTGTTGGCAAGCTCATGGTATTCCCATTTTTCCTTTGTTTGTTGTTTACAAGTTCTCTAATCATTTTAAACTCCTTTGACTTGGAACTATAAGCAGCTGTACCAACAGAAACCAAGAAGGCTAAGAAAAGACAAGCAACATCTGATCCTGATCTTCCGACCAGAACTGACGAGATTGATTTTGGTAAGAATTATAATATTTTAAGATGTTAGTCAGCATGAGATATTTGTTCCAACTTCATCAAGTATCTTTATGTTTTGCACTTCATTTTCTTGGTATGTGTTCCCATTGAAATTTATATTACAGTTATACTCAGGGTTGTTTATTCCTGAATTTTGAAAAGTACTTATATTTTTAGTGTACGCATGATTTACATTACAAATTCCTAAACTCACTATAGTTATGTGGGCTATTGAAATCTGAGTACTATAAGATTTTAAAAAATCATACTAAATATGACAATTTGATTTACTAAAATCTGTCATGTGTTGATTTTATGTAAAATTATTCTTTGGTTTGATCAATGGCAAGAGTATCACCATTCTGAGAAGTGTACATTCTGTATTAATTATTGATGAGTATTTCTTTTACTGGTATTTAATGTAGATCAACGAGAGGCTGCAGAAGGAGTCCTTCTTGATGATGATCTGAATGAACCAACAATGGGAGAGAAACTTGCTAGTCTCAGTCTGCTGGATGAGAACAAATCCATGAGTCAGAAAGAGCCAGAATCATCTATCCCAGCAAAGCCTCCAAGTGCAGACTCTGTTCATGTTTTGCTTAAGCAGGCATTAAATGCTGATGATCGCGCCCTTCTGTTAGATTGCTTGTATACGCAAGATGAGAAGGTTCTCTTTCCCTCCTATTTCTACTAAACTGTGTGTAAACTTAAATAGACATTGCCCACTTGCTCAGTTTCTTGTGTGTTATGCATGTTGTAACACCTTTTGCAGGTTATTAGGAAGTCAATTGCACAGTTGAACCCATCTAACGTCCTCAAACTTCTACACTCTCTCATATCCATTATTGAATCTAGGTAACACATCATAACAATAATCGGGTAATGTATGTTCAATATGCCTGTTAGTGTTGAAGAGATTACTTATTTGATATAAGTCTTCTGTTTGCCTGTGGGAAATGTTTATTAGAAAAACCACATTAACAGAGATAAACTATATTCATAAAAAGTTTGCTACAAAATCAGCACCACATTAACACAATAGCTTGAACAACAATCAACTGCAACCATAATTTACTGCTTATATGTACTACATCAAAACTTTTAACCATTAAAATTACTTTTTAGGGGTGCAATTTTGGCATGTGCTCTTCCATGGCTGAAGTGTCTACTACTACAACACGCAAGTGGAATAATGTCCCAGGAATCTTCATTAAAAGTTTTGAACTCTCTGTATCAAGTAAGTTCTGTGTGATGAATCCACTTGATAAGCACTTAATATGTCACTTGCTCTACCTCTTTCTTCTAAAGAATCTAAACTATCATGGACATGAATTCCAATAGTTTTTTCCTTATTTGATCTTTTGCTTTTTTGTGCAGTTGATTGAGTCTAGAGTTTCCACCTTCAAATCTGCCATCCAACTCTCAAGTTGCTTAGACATCCTTTACACGAGGGTAATCCTCTACACAATTTGTCTACAAGTAGTTAGTAGTTGTGATAAACTTGTATTTATTAGTGGTTTCTTTTGAAAAGGTTGTTGATGAGGAGGTAGATGAAGGTGAAATAGTTCCAGTCATCTACGAGGATAAGGATGACAGTGAAGAAGAATCTGAGGATGCCATGGAAACTGACCAAGATGAACAACAATCAGATGAAGCATTTGATGGTGTTAGTGACATTGATGCAAGTGATGATATATTGGAAGATTGATAGTGTCAAGCACACTTTTTTGTTTCTTCTCAAAACTTGTCTCAGCTCAAGTGAACATTGATTGGTCCTCAATTTATGTTACAACCCCCATATATTTGCCTATGCACATACTAATACCAACACGTTTGAAAATTTGACATTCCTTAGTTTAAATTTGTTTAGTCTCACAAGATCACGTAAAAAGTCGTTAAGAAAATTTACATGGTTTTATATAACTAGTAAATTGGAGTGTGAATACTAACGTGTGTGTGTGTATATATATATATATATATATAACAATTATTAGAAAAAAAATTAAGTAGCATTTTTTTAATACTTTATAGTAGGCAAGTTTTTTCGATAGCTTTGTAAAACATAGTTGAAACTAGATAGTAGAAAGTGAAAATTACATTGAAGAAACACAAATTGCATTAATTAAAATAAAACAGTGTGACTAGTAATCTCTGCCATGTTGGGCTGCGTAGTGCTCCTTCTCTTCATCACGCTGTGGTGCCATTCCAAATGTGTGTTTCACAGCCTCAGTAGCACCTTGGGCCATTCCCTTCACCTTTTCCCCCGTTTGCTGCAGAAACCCACTTGTGTTGTTCTTTCCAGATTGGGCCGACTCCTTTGTCGACTGGCCCATCTCTGAAGCCTTTTCTTTTGTTTTACCACTCTTCTCTTGGGCCTTCTCCTTTGCAGATTGAGCCGCCTGCTGGGTCTTGTCCTTTGCAGCTTGGGCTGCCCCTTTCGTTTTTTCCTTAGCTTCTTGGGCCTTCTGCCCCACATTGCCCATCATCTGGTTGGTCTTTTCCTGATCCATTAATCCATCAACAAACAGACCACTAATAAACTACTTTATATAAATAGAAAAAAAAAACTATTTTTCACTTTTTTTTTCATAAAATTTAAAATTTTAATAATAATCAATAACAACACACCAATCAAATAAAAAATTGTCGTTATTAACTTATGTTGATTTGAATCCTCCTCGAGGATGAAACTATTATGTTTTAAGGTGAAAAAGAAATTACATTATTTATTTTATCTGTATAAGTGAAGTTGCATAAATAATGACTCTGCATCCTATTGATGCAATGCGTAAAAAAAAAAGTGTACAAATAACGTAAGTTGAATGATATATTTGTTACCTCAGTTCGGCCCTTGGCCTCACCAGCACTGTAGCTCTGCTCATGGGATGCCATTTTTTTCTTCTTCAAAGGGTGTAATAAGCTCACTACTACTGTAATACAATTTTTTCTTGTGATATTGCTAGCAAGTTATGTTCATGACGAGGTTTGAATTGTGTTGATTCTTAATCTATAGTATTTTCATGGATTGTGCATTACTGCCACGTGTCCAATTTCATGACACGTGTACGACACGTGCCCCTCTAAGGTGATGGATACAAATTTGAGCACCTTTATATATAAGATATATTTGGATAGGGGGAATGAGCCATTGGAATCTTGCCACGTTGCCATCGGTTGAATGATGATATAATGATAGTTGGATGACTAGTGATAGATTCATTTTTTGAAAAATTTGTAAAAGCAAAAACAAATGTTTAACTAGTGATAGATTTGTGCATAGTAATGGAGAAATTGTCGAAACCAATATGGAAAACAGGGGTATACGAATCAACTATGTATAAATCATTTGATTTTCTGTTTGTTAGAAAAGAAAATTAAATTAGAAAAGAGTTCTGCAAAGTATATGACTCAAAAGCAATTGAAGTACAAGATCAAGAAAAAGAAATTTTGTTTTGTTCTTTTCTTCCTTTAATCTCAAGTGTTGGGGGTTATTTTTTATTAGGAAAGATGACGTGAGAACCAAGGGACAAACGCAGGTCAATCTACCCACTACCCTTGTTCAACTGGCAAGTACATTACAATTAATTAACAATTACATTATTATTATTGTTGTTGAACTAGTAATTGCATTGGAATATTTATTTGAATAAATATCAAACAGAAATAATTAAAAGAACTTTGATCTTAATTAGCGCATCATGTACCCCTTAAAGGGGTATTATCTCCCTCACTAATGATTTCAAACGTGCAACAAATGGATTTTCCTTCGCATGATTTCAAAAAGAAATGAATAGAAACATAGAAGTAAAATTTGACCAAGAATAGTTCTGGTAACACTTTTTTCACGTCCAAAAAACAAAAAAGGAAAAGGAAAATTCTATTAACACTTTATTTCCAGTTATATGAAATATAGATGGGAGGGCAAGTGAAAGCATTGCTCAAGAAGCAGCCTCGCACTTAAGAACATGCACTTTGAGAATAAATAATGAAAACAACATATAAAAGCTACCCAGTGATAGCTAAGCTTTGAATTCTCCAAGTGCTTGTTCAAGTATATAATTATATTATTTTATATATATGTTCTGTGAACATGCATCGATATGAGATACAGTGAAAAACGTGGTGTTCAAATTCACGTCTATGCTAATAATTTTTTTCTAATTTAGACTCGATCAAGGGTCTTTTTATAGATAAAGCTTTGTTCATTACATATGAATTTTGTGAGAATTTATTGATTTCAATTTTCATCTCTATATACTATAATTTCTTGTATATTTTTTACTATTTCAATTTTATTGTTTTGGCACTAATATTTGACTCACAAGAAGTCATGTAAGTTTTTAATTTTTTTAAATTGTGAATTTTGTTTAGGTTAAAATATATATATTGCTTGATATATGATTTTTTTTTTCTTTAAACCAATGATTAAAGAAACTTGTTTGGTCCACCACGCGGTGGATCAATGCTAACCTAGCCCATTTTGATTGTAACATGGCATATAAAGAGCAGGAAACAAAAATCATGGTGTTGTTACATCAAAAGATTAAAATCTGAAATCTCTACACCTGAGCATCGATCTCCCATGCATTGTGTTCAACAAGACTCTCACTAAAATTGGGGCACTTGATTGCTAAATATAATATTTTTTAACTTCGAGATTTTGAATTTTCTGCATGTACGTAGTTCAACTTAAATTATTTTTTACATGAAATTTTTATGTGTTTTTTTTAGGAACTCCATATTAATTTAACACTCACAGGTATATTAACAATTGCATTTATATGTATTGGATTTGACTTTTTAAAATATAGGATGCATTTTAAAAGATAAAATGTGGAGCAATATATAGTTATTAATTAATAAGATAATTTTATGATTCATTATATATGTCCATGTAATTTATCACAAAATCTATCTTTCAAAGGAGCCAAATCCAAACGAATATACTTGATAATGACATAATAAAATTTGGAATTGAGTATTCCTTTCTCGTTATAGAAGTCATATAATTACCAATAGATTTAGTGTGCTTAACTATTAAGTTACGTATAAAACCAAACCATGTGATATGTAGATGATCTTCTCAATGAACAACAAACACTTTTACAAAATAGGAAAGAAAGTGATTGACCAAGAAAAAAAAGTGAGAAAAAAAGCAGATATCCTATAATATTATAACAATTATCAAAAAATAAAAAAGAAACTGAGGAGGATATAGTTAGCAGCAATGAGTAGTAAACATTAAGTATGAATATCTTTGCTTAGCAAAAGTACGCACACAATGACACATAGCAGAAGAGAATGCACATTATGTGGTCGTGGTCTTGCATGGAAACGATTCCCAAGACGAATCGAATCAGCCCACTTCCCCCTTTATTCTTCTTTACAGTTTGCCTACTTCCCTTTACCCTTCCCCAAGAGAATGGAGGCCAGATCTTGGCTCATTCATTCTTACCCTTCAAGAGAGAGAGAGAGATCATAGGCATAAGCATATATACATACATATGCATAGAGATAAAAGGGTGAGGTTAGAGTGAGAGAAAGAGAATAAAATAGTTCAGCAGCAGCCGCAGCAGTGCATCAAGCAAAGAATAGAAAAAGAATACAAAAGATGGTCAAAATGAAACCTCGAAGACTTGTTATTCCATCATAAGCTTCACCTATCTTTATTGAAACTCACCATTTACCTTTTCTTTTCTCTTTTTCCATTTATTTAATCTTCTTGTCTGTTTTGCTTTCAAAGTTCTACTAGCTTGCTTCCTTGCCTCCACTCATATCATATGTATATCTATTACAACTTAATATATATCATACATTTTTCTTTTGTATATATTTTAGCCTTGACCTCTACAGTTCCAAGATTTTTGTTTCAGTTTTTTTTTACCCCTCAAAAAATTCTTGGCTACAAAATTAATGTGTCTATATGCAAGATCTTATATTTATTATTATCATTATTATTGTTTGAGGAAAACTCATATATCCTAATAATTTTATTACTAAACTTTTTACTCATTACCCTTCTTGCTTTTATTAGAGAATAAAAGAATATTCAAATCAATTGTAAAGCAGAAACTATTTTAGAAACATATTGACTGTCAAAATTCTGTTGATTCCCAAAGAGTAATGGACATGAAAGAGACCTAGATCCCCTCGTGGATGTTATTGGGATAATTAGTGGGCCGGAGTATATGATTTTAATGGTACGAATATTCATTACATGGTGGCAAATGCTGATTTGGATTCCACATTGTCCAATTAGAGGCCTCCAACTTTCTTTTCTTTTCTTTTTTTCTTCCTATACAGTTGATTTTTTTCTTTTTGTTGTATACATGGATTCTGTTTGTGGGGCTGCACAATTCGAATTTGATTCATATAACCAAATGCTGTGGTCAAAGGGACTTTCTAGGGCTCATGGTTTATTTGATTGATGAGATCTTTGGACACTGTCTGTTGTGCTATTAGGTTACATGCTCTTTCTGTATGTCTTGAGTTTGTTGACTTAGCTATTTTTGCTAGCAGCTATATAGATCATGAGAAAGTGTTTGCTTATTTAGTGTTGTGCAATGGTTGAATATCAAATAACATATAATAGTGCAAATTCCATAAATAATACTAACAAATAGCTTTTCATAATTAATGTTATTTACAGACTTTGTAAGATGTATAGCTGTACAAATGATTTTATGTGGCTCCATCAGAATTTTTCTTTAAACTCTAGCTTTGTGAATTTAAGAGCCACTTTGCTATTACCTAATTGAAGGAGAAAAATGTTTAAAATTCAATATCAATTTTAAGGTCATACATAAACTAATCCTGCAATTGCGAAGTTGCATATTCTGACATCTTGCTTGCTTATAAAAAGGAATGTAAATCTTTCCATTAACATAATAGTCCGTATGGCCAGGGTTTTAGCTCCCATAGGCCATGTTATATAATGAAAAAAGCTATCAAATTGAATGCGCCTGTTGTGCTTGAACCGTAACGCATGTAATCCTTTTAAGGCTTGGAGACAGAAAATTTGAAAGAATAGAAATACCAAGTTCAGTTCAGACTAGACCTACCAACCCCCACTTCCCCTTCTCCTGTCTGTGTCTGATATTGGAGTTGAAGGACAAATGATTATCCTATATGCACTTTGTATCCATTACCGTACCATTAAAACTTAAACAAAATGAAATTGTAGCCCACTGCCAAAGTATATGTTCAAAATTCAAAGTGTGCTCTCTTTGGAATTGTAGCACGATTTTCCTTTATCTCTTTTCCCTCCTTTAGAATTCATTGATTCCATTTATCTAGGTTGCCACTCAAACAACACTAAAAAGTACTACAACACGGCCCTCCATTTATTCTCTTTTTTCTGTGGTCTCTGCCAGTATATAAACCACCCCTCTATCACCTTTCCTCATCAGCAAATCCTCTTCAGCTTCTGTATCTCCAATAGTTCAAGCAACTCTATTTTCTTGAGGTTGGTCTTTCATTTTTTTTCACTTCCATTATCCACCCTCATTTTCTTTTTCAGTCTTACCTAATCTTCAAAAACTTTTGGCTAACTCTTCAGTTATTAGTAATGTGATCAATCTGTCTAGTGCTCTATTATGTCAGCCTCGTAACTTGTTTTTATAGCTTTCAGAGAAGTTAACCCACCATTTGTTTTTATTTTTTGTCCTTATATTATAATAAGCAGGATTCTAGCTAGCAAGCTAGTACCTAGTACCATTCACAAACACTTATGCAGCCTAATGTGGCAATTATTATATAGGAATATATCAAGTTTGATTAACATAAAATTTAGTTTCGTAAAAATAATGATATGGCACATTAACAATGCATTAATATTTGACTATTTCTGCATCATTTCTGCATGTGATCCTCTAATGAAGATTGCTGGATGCAACAGTAATTTGCAGATAAGTAAAAATGAGTAGGCCAGGAGACTGGAACTGCAGGTCATGCCAGCACCTGAACTTCCAGAGGAGAGATTCTTGTCAACGATGTGGGGACTCAAAATATGGAGATAGAGTTGATTTTGGAGCATTTGGAGGAAGAGGAGGGTCTTCATTTGGGTTGACTGGGTCAGATGTTCGCCCTGGTGACTGGTATTGTGCTGCTGCTAACTGTGGTGCACACAACTTTGCTAGCCGCTCAAGCTGCTTCAAGTGTGGTGCTTTCAAGGATGACTTAGCTGGAGGCTATAACAGTGACATCTTGCGCTCTAGAGGTTTTGGTGGCAATGGAAGACCTGGATGGAAATCTGGTGACTGGATATGCAACAGGTGATTGATTTCTTGTTTCTTAGTTTTTAATTATTGGTTCTTTCGTAGGAGACACCTTACACTTTTTGGTTTATTTCCTGCCTTTGATGTTTGAAGAATATGACATATATCACAAACCAAAGTTATAGGCACAACTGATATCTTTATTGGGTTCCCCTTTCTTTGACTGCTTTTATAAATTTGCATACTTTGAATGGTTGTCCCTTATGCTTAGTGATCATAGGTGCAAAATATGGTTCATTCACTATTTATTTAAATAGGTAAAAGTAAAACAGTAGTCTTTCTATGCTTTTCTTGTCTTGACAATATTTTATTTTATTTTATTTTATTTTTCTTTGAGCAGATCAGGATGCAATGAGCACAACTTTGCTAGCAGAATGGAATGTTTTAAATGCAGTGCCCCAAGGGACACGTACTAGAAATGAAATTATCCCAGCAAGAAGACTACATTAATTACTAGAGATGCTGCAAGATTTCTTTATTAATTTCTTTGGGATGTTAAAGACAGTGTGAATTCTGAAAAGGAGGTTTAAATGCTATGTTACAGAGAAGCTACATCCCTTGGGATTTACCTCAAGAACTACAGCAATGTTGTTTGGTGCTTTAAACTATTTTCTTTAGTTTTTGTGTTAGAGAGTTCATTTATTGTATGGTGCGTGGTTTTCTTAAATGAATATGAATCTCGTCTTTTCTCATGAGATGAACTACTACTTTCTAAACGGATATGTCAGAAGGTGTGATGGAATTATCCATCATTCACCTCACTCACCATCATGGAGTGGACCAGGTTATTTTGTATAATTAGACAGCAACAAAGTTAAGCATGCATGCGAGTTCATATGGTACGCCATTTGTTACTATTTGGTAACTAAAAAACAAAATAGAACTAGACACACAGAAGTCCACTAAGCAATTTATTTAACAAGGATCCTTTTAAACCTTTAAGTTGACCAAGATAATACTTAACTTTGAATCAGCATTCAAACAGTTCAATTCGCTAATAAGGGTAGAAATAAAGAAGACAAAGACCTTTGTCATGTAATTATTAAGTTTAGCATATTTTAAATGGCCAGCGTATAAGAGTCCTAGGGCAGAGTACCCATTACTGAGATATATTCCTTAACCTCTTTTCATTTTTTATAAGAAATATCTCCAAGTCCTGACTTTACTGGTTTAGCTAGCATATTTGAAACACAAATCACATTGGATTCCTTTCACTGAATGTAAAGTATACCTTTAAAAAGGATGTCCATTGCAGATTCAAAAGATGAGCCCAAGACTCCATAACTATATTTGCTTTTATGTAGGACACTTATCTTCCTTTCAGGCAAGCTTTATGTTAGTGAAGTGTTTCCAATTCTTTTCGGGCAAGCTTTATGTTGATGAAATGTCTCCAAATCTAGAATCTCGATTATATTAATATAATGTCTATGGTCCTCCTTATATAACGATTATACCATTATTCTAAATTTTACTATTATTACTATTTTGTTAAAAGCTACATAACTTATCAGTTGGAGGTCCCAAGATGTCCACCTAGTTGGATGCAGTTCGGCAACGGTGCTCATTATTAAAAATTATCCCCTTGAAAATCTAATATACCTATCAATTCTGAAGTTGAATATTTTTTATTCTTCTTTCCAATAAGGGACATTTTCCTTGATTAAACAAGTTTTCCCATTTCTTTTTGGGTTCCTCTCTCTTTGCCAGAGTTAGAATCCATTGATTATTTTCTTTATAGTCATTTATTTGTCTTGTTTAATGAAAAATAAGTAACATTTTGAGTATAAATGAGGGAAATGGAATTCAATGATGAATACAAAATACAAAAAATTACATTAACTCGAAACATGATATCAATGAGATTACAGAAGCAGCTCAGAAAGAACCATAATTTCACTTTCTATTGCCATATATTATCTCCAGATGATCTTGCCCATTTGATAGTTGACCAAGCTAAGGCATCCATTGGATCAACGCATTTCTTAAGAAGAGGATCATCTTTGGGCAATAGATCCCGCATATCATCAGAAGCAAGGATAACAGAGTTCACTGCCCTCACCAAAAGAACTTGAAGTGCAATTCTCAATAGATTGCATGCCCCTTCCATATCCTTTCTGTTCAAAGCTTCAATTGCAGGTATCACTGTATGCTCCATAGTTGCTCTATCAGGCAGCACAACCTCAAACCCCTAAATTGTGATGTAGAAGTAAGCATTGGAGAAAAGCAAAGAAATGAGTGAAATAAGCAAAAGAAGAAATTTAGTCAAGAAATTGACTTGAAAAGCACAGTAAAATACAAAGGCAGGGCTGCACTAACAAAATTTTGCGTGCACATGCTAGACATAGAAATTCATTATAAACATTGTCATTTGCAAATGGTTACTAACAACATTGCACAGATGTAGCTGTAGTTTAATAAGATGTAACTTGTAAGCCTTCCAAAGTTTTCCAAATATTAAGCATGACAATGCACTCAAGCACGTTAGTTCATGTGGCATAGTACTGTCTCTTGGGAGACTACTAGATCAATATTCAAATCCCACCATATTCCAAAATACAGACATAATTGGGTTACAGATAATATAGAAACAGCCAAGGTATCACAGAACTCTAACACCTTATTGCAGGGTTTAGCATAAGACAAATATTGTTGGCACTTGTTTGATGAAGTAAAGAACATAATAGATAAATTATATGCTCATTGCGTACTAGAGCATAACAGAGTTAGTTCCTAGTGAAGAATATAAATTAAGAAATTGAAAAGTCAAAATTTGCTCAAACATTAGAGTTTGCATGTTTGACAATATTTCAAATTCACCTAAATTAAACTTTTAGGTAATTACACCAAAACACCTCAATCACACCATCCATTAAAAGAAGGAGCTTCCCTTTCCTTTTTCTACTCTTGATTTAGAAAATATGAACTGCCATGTAATTCAAATTTTAAATGCATAAATATGTTCAAATTCAAGCAAACCTGCAACAGTTCTTCAATTTCTCGTATGTCATAACCAACCTAGAAGAAATCCACAAATTTTAAAAGAAAGTTTACAAAGATCTACAACTCTGCATCACATGGAATATTTTAAAAGTAATACAGTAAAAAAGCAAGTCTTTAAAATGGGGCATTTGTCAGGGCATCTACTTTTCTTCTTAAGCAGAAGATACGCTAATTGCATTTAATTAAAAATGCTATCTATTAAAAACAATATCACAACATATTATGTGCTAGGGGAAATTACTTCATTGTGAAGCTTCTCCTGATAAAACCCAGCTGCTAGAGTTGCATTAGTTGCAAGCACTCCAATCCGCAAAGAATTACCAGCTTCAAGTGGCTTTAACTTAGCTTCTTTGAGCTTCCTGGCAACACACTCAGCCATGTGAAGAAAAGGAACAGAACATCCCGCTGATATCTCTTTATACCAAGAATGTGATACATGACAAGGCATCACAATGCAACGAGCCCCAGAAGACTCAAGAAAAACCCTTTTATTTATAACGTTCTGCACAATAGATGAAGAATCCAATTTCAAATTTTCCACTTTACTAGTACCAGAAACCAAATAATCTCTTTCATAGGACAAAAGCTCCCTACTCAAAAGAGGATCAGAACACAGTACCAAAGGAGGGGGATTTCCTCCATCTTCAGCACTGAACTCCACAAGTTTCCTAAAAAATTTGAGTGTAGCATTCACAGATACCCCTCCAATTATTCCCACGCTACTGGCCTGATTGACCAAAGGGGTGGCAGATCCATAAAGTTTCTTACCCTCAGAAAATTCATCACTTTCATATGCGTTTAAAATAATTGATGAGGGAGGTGCAGCCTGTACTTGGCAAGACCGTGCCTTGTACAGATTTCTAGGTGAATTTATAAAGCCTAATGTCTGGGACAGACAACATAAGCTCTGGAAAGACGTTGTCAAAATGACATGGAACATCTCCAATGTGTGAAAACACTTTGTAGTTGGAGTTCTACAGCTTTCATTGACAAGTAAAAAATGAAGAACGGTGTACCTTAGAACTTGAACAATCAGGAATTCATCTTTTTTCTCCTCTGATCAAAAAGGGTTTCTCGTGCATGAAATTTACAACCCCGTTTGTGTTCTGGACTGGAGTGTAGTAAGAAACTCAAAGAACAGGAACCAACCAAAATCCCTTGTGCAGACACCTGAATTTACGCCAAAGTAGGCCCATGTACTGAACTTCTATCCAGGCAAACCGATGGCTGTATTTTAAGTTGTAATTCTAAGACGATAACTAAATTCTGAAACCAAAAAACCTTAAGTCATGTTTCTAATCGTCATTTATCACAAAATCAAATGAAGGGTAGCTTTTTAAATTGGTAATTGGACTGAAAATACAAATATAAAATTTAAGAAAACCGTATATTTAAATGCCCGTGTGTAAAATGCAGCTACAATATCTAAAACCACGAAGAATCTTCGTGTCACGTTTCGCATTAGTTGTACTGTCATGTTCTCCGGTTGACTCAAGTTGATGTTGTTCGTCTTCGACTATTCAAGATCCATGGGATAAAATGCAATTATAACAGCTGATCAGAAAGTTAACAAAGTTTAAGTTGTTAAAATCTTAATTATATAATTATAATTATACTTTTGTTTTATCATACAAAACACATCCGTTTCTAAAGAGTCAAATTTATTTAAAATATAATTTAATTTTGATACAATCTTAATGTAAATAAAATTATACTATCAACTAATTAAAAAGTATTTGAAATATGGTTTTAAATAGTTATTGTTAAAAAGCAATACTGTAATATTCTAAAATAACATAATAAACAAAAAAAATTACACTTGCCAATATGAGATTCTTAACAACATCCTCTTCCAAAGGATGCAAATTGGGTAGCCGTATGTTTGGGCCCAGGCTCATGAAAGAAGTTGTTAAGGCTTTTTCTAAACTACTCTTGATCCACTGATCGCCCAGATGGTAGAATGAAATAGAGCTGAGTTACCTTGACCAAAACCAATAAAAATATAGAGCTGACCTATAACAAAAAAAACAAAAAAGCACTTTTTTGTGAGTAGATCACATATTCTTGGTTTGTAAGTTTTTAGATTTTTTTGGGGGGTACTCATTTATAGGCGTGCCCAATTTCTTCCTTTCATCCTAGACATCCATGAGTTGGTAAGCATAAAACGTTACTAATTTTTGTCTTCTTATTCTTTTCATTTAATTATATTTTTATCCCTTTAATTTGAAGTACATGTAATATTAGTCTCTCAATTTTTCTTTCAAGCAAATTATATCCTATTTTTAAAATTAAACAAATTTAGCCCATTCATTAACTTTCAACTACTTTAAACCTCATTCTCATCTTTCACCATTTTTTTTTACAAATTAAATCTGTTTTAAACCTTCTATTTAAATCTCACTAACCAAAACATCAAACTATCCAATTTATATATATTATATATACATTCTTCTCATCTGCAAACTTTAATCACACATCTTGTAAAACATTTTATTAAATTTTCACTAAATTTCTAACTTGAAAAGTTCTAAAACAATTTCTTGTTCCAAATGCATGATAAACCTACACATACTTGAATAGAAAACAAAAACTATAGCTTTAGACAAGAAATTTGATAGATGCTCCAATTTTGCTTGATTTAAAAAAAAATACTTAATGGGCTCAAAAAAAATAAGATCATCAAAATTGCATATAATCTAAACTCAAGTTATCAGAAATACAGTTAAACATTTTTTTTCTAAACAGTCAACACAAGTCATTATAAACACGAGACAGCAAAGTGAGAAACGCAGTCATTGTACTCCACCGGTGTGTTGACAATTCTCTGCATTTGAATGTTTTGTCTATGTTAAACAACTCATTATCTGATATCACGAATATGCTTTGCAAGAATTCAAAGAAGAAAAAACGGTTTTTGTTTGTGCAACTGGCATTAGGACATCAGTTTCAAGACATCTTCCTCAAGTCAAAATACAAGATAAAACTTCAGGCCGAAACATAATTTTTTGCCATTTTTTTATATTATTTTGTAGCTAATCAAAACGGTTATTGTGATTCGTACAGCATTTGAAAATTTAAAATATTAATACCCCTGTTTTCAATTATATTAATTAAAAACTAGCCAATCCAAGTCAGCACTTGCGAAGGAGTACAAGAGAAGAATACACTAAAGATCCTGCTGATGCAACATACATTTAAAGTTTCAAATGTTCTAATGGAAGCATAAACATCAAGCAAAAAAGGAAACTCCATATTTCCTAAAGTTTAACGCCAAATTACAATACTAATTTTCAACCAATTAACTTTCATCTTAGAAAGACAGTACACAATACAGTAGTTATCTGCCGAATTGACTGTCAATTGAAACTGCCTTTCGAGAAAGAATCTGAATTGAGCAGGCAGTATATTGCAAATACTCAAATAATTGGGTAGTTGTCAGTTGCTGCCAAAGAAGTTGTCACAGTTCCAACAAATCCATGAATGGTTCCAGCTTCCCGAAATGTCTACTGTCACATGCAACATCTATCTGGAGGGTAAAAAGTTTTCCAATCCAATTGATGCAGACACATATGATGTTAGAACCCCAACGAAAACAGAGAACAAAAGTCTGGTCTCATCTACTTCAAGAGCAAATATAAATAAGAGCCGAGCCAACAAGATTTTGGATTGGAAACACATAAAGAGCATAAACATCATCGGCACGCTAACTTAACTTTAAAAAATGATGTAAAAACCTAGTTGAATGTTGAGAACAAATCAAACAACAAAATCTCAAAAGAATGACAATAACATCCGCTCCATTGTATTATTTTCATTTTTAAAATACCATAAAAACATCAACAACAATCAAATTAATCTGAAAATGGTTTTCATGAAATTATTCCGCATGTCACAGCATCTAATCTCAGGGTAGGCAAATGCTGGGGTCCAGATCCATAATCAAATACATATTGAGAACAACAAACTTGCAATATTAGCCTACTCTTTTCAATTTTGTGTTAACTTGCAATATTAGCCTCTTAGGTTGGGATGACAAGTAATGGAAACGGGGGATCTATCATAACTCTTGCAGTTCCTAAGAATATCATAGGGACCCTTTTCTACCTGTTCTTCAGTTCACTATCAAGAATTTAACTACGCATAATTCACGCGGTCCTTACACAGTGAAAGCTTGTTAATGATCATAACTTGCATATCTAACAGTCATTGTTTAGTTTCTTCAAGTTAGTCTTTCATAATCAATAGCACATCTAACATGCATGTTTTTGCTTCATCACTTTTTCTTGAGCAAACCCTAAGCACTAATAACTTTTACCCTGAATTTTAAATCCTCATTTAGTCCCTGATAAGATAATTAACCTATAAAGTAATTGAATAGAAGAATGTAATACCTCAACGAGAGGGAATCATGCCGGTGTTCCTAGCATACGCAAAGATACCACCGGCCTCAATCACAGGACCCGCATCGCCGATCGGTTTCAACCGATACTCCTTTCCGGTAGTGTGATTGATCAACCGATTCTCTCCGAGCTCGATCGTCACCACGTCGCCAGTTCTGCACTCCTCGCAGAGGCGACTCTCCGATTCCAGCGGATAGACCTCGCCGGTCGCCACCGAGTTTCGGAAGAAGATGCGAGCGTAGGACTCAGCCACAACGGCAGCGGCACCGGAGGCACCAAGCGCGACGGGCGCGTGCTCGCGGGAGGAGCCGCAGCCGAAGTTAGCGCCGGCAATGATGATCGCGTACTTAGTTTTGGTCTCGCCGGGATCGATGAATCGAGTGGCGTAGGAAGCGGGGAGACCAACGAGGGCGAAGGAACCAAGCTGCTCGTATTCGTCGGGCTTGGAAGGGACGAGGGTGAGGTACTCGGCAGGAATGATCTGGTCGGTGTCGATGTTGTCACCGACGACATAGCAGAGGCCGTGGAAGGATGCGGATGCTGATGCGGAGGCGGAAGGAGACACGTAGGCGCGTGGGGATTGAAGAGAGAGAGCGAGGTTTGATGGAGAAGTGGGAAATGAAAGGAATCGAGAAGAAGAAGAAGATGATGATGATGATGATGGAAGAAGAGAGAAGGAGAGTTTGCTGGAGGAAGCGAATGCGAGGATTCGAGGAACGGTTGCAATTGCCGTTGAAGAGAACAACGCCATCGCCATTGTCGCAGTTCAACAGCACACTCTTTCTCTTCTTTTCCCCCTTTCAGCAGCCCCCAACAAATCGTTGTTGTGTTTATATTCTGTCTTAAAACGAAGTCGTTTTTATGTGCTGCGGTTGGTGAGGTCGCTGCTTTCTCTTCTTTTCCTCGTTTAAGTTTAATTTTTGTAGTTAATTTACATAATGTTTTCTCCTAATTTGGTTTTCATATTTATCTTTATATTATAAAACGCTTTTAGACCAATCTTTGCTATATATCATTGTTATAACTTCGTACAGCAGTATTTATCAAGTGATTCTAACATGTTTTTGAATAATTGTATTATGGCTCGATTTAAGTAAGCTTATAAAAAGTATTTATAAAAAAAATTAATTGAAAATGAATAATTTCTTTTCATAAATTAAAAGCAAATTATTAACTTAAATATAATAAACATAAGTCAACTCAACTCAAGTTTAGGAGCCTATTCAAACTTGTGCCAATCCCCACCTCTAATTTTTAAATGTAGAATCGATAATAAATGGTATTGAGTAAAAATTGAAAGATATTCAAGCTAATTATTTTATAATTCCATAAAATTGTCATATGAAATTGAAGAGATCCTAAACATAAAAAATAGAATTAATAAGGCTAATCCCATTTTTAAGTTCCAATGTGGTGTTGAATTTCAAAAGCTAAACGGACACTTCAATTTAACAATGCAATGAAACAAACTAAATTGATCTTTTAAGCTCTCATAGAAAATGCTGGATTTGCTTTCAAGTTTTGGAAATAAACAACTTGTCATTTAGATTTAATAGATGCAATGGAAGAGCTAAAAGTGCACACAATAAGATGCATTTTGCATTTCCTAAAGAATTCTGCCAATCTTTTATTCAGAACAGCAGCAATGAGGTCGACAAAGACAATAATAAGTCTAAATGTCTACAACTCATTCTGTTTATACATGTCTCCTTTTGGAAAACACCTTTTTGTTTGGATTTGATAATGTAATGAAAGAACTAAAAGTTGACAATAAGCTGGCATTGTGAACATCCTGAAGAATTATGTCAACCCTCTATTCAGAACAGCAGCAATGAACGAACTTAACAATGAAAACCCGAAGGTTATATGCATGTCTACAACTCATTCTCATTCAAAAATAATACACAAGATTTTATGCTGCATATTCTCCAATTCCTAGCCTAAGATTAAGAAGCCTTAAACAGTAAGCAAAACTCAAACATCCTAGCTAGTTAGGCGATGGATGCATGCATGCCATTGCTAGTCTCATTTTACCTTTCATCTAGAAACGTTTTCCCTTCACAACATGCTTTCGAGTGAAGCTACGAATTATCTTCCTGACATCCTTTCTGATAGAGAAGAATGCTGAGATTAGTGCAATATACATGGCTGGATAGATATGGATACCTTTTGCATGAGTGAAACTAGATTTTCCCATAATGGACTCTCTAATCAGACCCCACATAAGAAGAAGTATTCCAAAAAGGCTCATTTTTCCTGATTTTATCAGACCCATGATTGCTCCTGCCACAGACAAATAGCTTCCTGCTAGAACCTGCATGAAGAACCCAACTTCAAAATGAGTACCAAAGTTTAACCTTCAAGGAGTTCATCAATATTCAATACTAATTAATAGAGGCATTAACATTATTTCTCAGTTGCTAATCAACACCTCAAGGCGTTGGAGATCTGATGTGGAAGTGATTGCTCTTGTATTGAACTTGTACAACTTTAGTAGATTTCCAAAGCTTGGGATGGTTTTGTGCTTGCAAATGGCCTTTGCAAGAGCTCCTGGGTAGAGAAGAACCTTCACTATAAAACGAGGGAAAATCTCACTTGCAATTAACTGAGAAGATGTCACTTCTAGTGGTGTCTCACAAATTCCTGTTCTACATGGAACACTGGAAAATGCATAGGACTTGTGTGAGTATCATCACTATAATACAAATAGGATTTTTCTGAGTTATCACTGAAACAGAATTTAAAAGTACTGTTTCAGAACTCAATTCCAATAATAGAGGCAGTGCAATCATGAACCCAAATAATGTTATGATTTTCTACATGCTACTTCAACTGTCTGATACCTAGAAGATTGATTTTACGCTTCTGTTTGTTAGTTCATGAGTATATGATACTGTAGACCAACACATCAGAAACTTACAGAAAATTAAAATATATAAGTAACAAAAAAGGTGGGTTGCCTAAATGTTACATCAACCCTAATTTCAGGAATATTTAATTGAAGATACGTATGATTTCATTAAGGTTATAACCCTGGTATTCTGAATGGGAAATGCTAAAAAGAAAATGACAAGAAGCGTTCTTTGATTATAAACAAAATTTGACCATTGTAGGGTTATAGCTTAAGAAAAAAAGATTCCCGGGTTAAAAATAATATTTTTATCAAATTTTAGGGTGAAAAAAATTAAGGAAAATGATACCTGAAAATGGGTACTTGAAAAATGATGATAAAGAAATAGATTGAAAAAGCAATGGAGCAAATGAGGCTAGCCCATCTCTTAGAAGAAGCCATGGCAACAAATCTTTGAGAGGACCCTCTAAAAGGTCCCGAAAAATGAAACTGATGGAATAGATGTGGCAATGGCAAACAGAGATGTGAACAATTTGACAGTTTCAATTTTACCCTAAAAATCGCATAAAATCCCTTTGAACTTTATCTCTTATTTTATTTACAGTTTGCAAAAGACGTTAATCCCTCTGAATTTATAGGAAATCGGAGTGAAGGGAAATCAACAAGTTTTAACGTAACAAGGGAAACATTTTGGTTTTTCTACGATTGTTGTTTGGTAACTATTTGGTCTGCATTGGACCACATCCACATCTAACTCTCTTGTTTTTATTTTTCATATACTGCCAAATTCTATGTACATATCAACGTCGAGGAATCTTCTTTTTTATAAATTAAATCATTTGAATCCTGATTGAGCATGTGACTCGACAACGATTCCACTGAAACACAACACTTATTTTATTTTTATTTATTTTAAGAGAGAGATCAAGTAAGGCAGGATTTCACCAATTGTTAAAATGGTTTTTATTTGGGCATTGCCGATTAAAAGGTGTAAAATGATGGCATAAAAAACCCAAAAAGAAAAAAAGAAATTCGGGTCATTCATATGTCCGATTATACTGAATAAAAATTTTGGGCCTAGACAAATTGAGCACGTCACACCCTTTTGTTGGTTCATCTCAATGAAAACAATTGAAAATTTTTAATCCCAATCGCAATACGGAGGGTAAGGACCCAAATTGCTAGTGTGGCTATTACCATATTTTTGTTATATAAATAAAATAATGACACATTTTTTAATATACTCTTAATTATTAACCAACTTTATAAAATTATATAAGTTTCTTCTTTATTTAATAATTTGACATCTTAATTCTTTCTCATATTTTTATAATTTTTAACAAATTTCAACTAATAATTGAAAGTGTATTCGTAATTCCTAATCCTCCTCTGTATGATACGTATCACATTGAATAAAAAAAAACTGTATAGCACACAAATTTAAGACGCAACGTTGCCTTTTCTGACAGTAACATAATCTATATCAGTATCACCTCATCTTTGACAATCTTACTTGAGGAAAAGGTTCTAAGCACAGCCGTAATGATGTTTTAATTAATTAATTAAGCAATAGGCGTAGCTTTTTATGCTAAAGCAACACACAGCTTTGGTAAGTTGGTAACAACTTGAGCACTCAAAATCCATAAAAGCCATATTCCATGGTCATTTTCTTTATATTGGTAATCATTATGAATAGTTAACCTCTTGTTTGCATTAAACCTTGAAATTACAAACTATAATTTATAACAATGTACTACTGATAAAGAAAAGAAAATTACAAACAACTAATCTAAAACTAGTATGAATCTTTACATAAAAATTTACTTTCAAAAAATAATAGAGGATTTAGAGTAACAGAATTTATTTTGAAAAAAGATGAGAGGAGTCAGCCAAATTCTTCCTGTGGACGTGAAGAAAAGAAGGGTAGCTAGTATATATTCTCTCACCCTTTGGCTAAATCCAGGAACCATCCAACTTAGGTTTGAAAGCAGGCACAGAGGGAAGATATTAAAATTGAAAAGGAACAAATTCACACAAGTGGGTGAGATGACAGAGCTCCGCATCACATGTGGGTCACACATACCGATGCAATAATTGGCCTCTAATAATTGTATGGGGCCACCAACCATTGTAAAAATACCATGTATAAGTAGCACAACAAAATTTACTAAAAGTGAATCAAATGTTGATGATGAAGTTTTTAGTTATATAATAAGACGGTATGAATGAGAACATGGGCAAGCAAGGTGACATTTACAATCTACTTGTTGATAGATATATGCTAACCATCACCCCTCTGCTTCTCACACATCTATCTCTCACACATGCTGAAACCTTCACTTTTCAACTATGTGGAGCAACCTACCCTTTGATCTATTAACCAAAATCTTCTCCTTTCTGTCCCCAGACACCTTAGCAAGAGCTAGATCAACTTGCAAGAATTGGCACACATGTTCAAAGGCTTATCCTTTGACCCCAACAACCTCTCCATGGTTCTTGGCTTTGCCAATTCGCAACCACAAACCATGCTTATATGTTCACAACCCAGTAATAGATAATTGGCACCAACTCTCCCTACAATTCTTACCCCTTGGATCAATTAGACTAGTTGCTACAATTGGGAACCTCCTTCTCCTGAGGCTCACAAATTCTACCTCCCTGCAATTGGGTCTTTGCAACCCCTTCACAACCCAGTTTAGGTACCTTCCTCGGTTACACGTTTCAAGGACTAACCCTGCTGTTGGAGTCGCAATTTCTGAGCCAAACCATGATGTTCTGTTTCCTTCCTTTAGAATCTACGTGGCTGGTGGCATGTCGGAGGCAGCACCAGGTGGTGCCACCTATGAACACAATGTGGAAATGTATGATTCAAGGTTAGACACGTGGCAGGTTGTGGGGTCCATGCCTGTAGAATTTGCCGTTAGACTTACCGTTTGGACACCCAATGAAAATGTGTACATAGAGGATACAACAACGTTGTATTGGATAACCTCGGCTAGAGCCTATAGTGTGATGGAGTTTGGTGTTGGCTCAAACAGATGGAGGGAGTTGGGTGTGCCCAATGCGGAGAGCCTAGAATTTGCCACGCTTGTTCGGTGGAATGGTGCATTGGCATTGGTTGGTGGCACGTGTGGTGGGAGTGCTTGCATTTGGGAGCTTAATGAAGGGGACACATGGTGCTTAGTGGATAAGGTGCCAAGTGAATTGGGTTTGAGATTGCTCTCTGGGAAGAGAAATTGGGAGAGTGTTAAGTGTGTTGGTAGTGATGATGCTATTTGTTTGTATAGGGATCTTGGAACTGGAATGTTAGTTTGCAAAAGAGTAAGGGATATGTGTAGATGGGAATGGGTTTGGGTTGATGGGTGTGGCTACATCAAGGGGAAACAAGTGCCCAATTGCCCAATAAGAGGGGCGCTTATTCACCCTACACTTGCTTCCTCTCTAATCTTTTAATCCTTAGTCATCTTTTGGTACATGTAAATGTTTGGAAGTGAGATTGTGAGAGTTTTGGAAGGATTAATTTATGTACAACTTCATTAAAATAAATGAATTGAAATGTTATAGAATGTTACTGTCAGGTGAAATATTAGCACATAGTAGGATTGGGTTGGGTTGGATTGGATTGGGTTGAATTAATACAAACTGAGGTCTAATTTAATCTCCACTTAAATTTTACTCTGCTTTTATTATTTCAGTCAACGATGATAAAATGAACTCTTACAATTATGCATAGATATGTAGGAGAAGAGAAACATAGATAAGAGAATAGGAGAAGAATGTATAAAGCTAATAGCTTAAGATGGTGATAGATTAAAGAGGGGGGGAGGGGGAAAGGAAACTTTTGGATGCAGAGTCCACTCAAAAATTTTGTCCTCACTTTTTTGAAGAGTAGAGGCAAAATTAGGGATGAGAATGAGTATGGTACTATCCCATACTCGCATATTAAAAAATACTCATATTTAATTTTATATTTATGTGGATAGTAATTTTAATTTTCATATTTGTATTTTATAGGTACTTACATATCTATACTTATTTTTATTATCCGTATTTGTCTAAAAAAAATATATTTATATAACTTTATATAAATAGTATAATAATATAAAAATTTTGATATATAACTTACGAATAAAATTTCAACATAAATAGAAAATAAATATTCAAAAATTATAAGTGATAGGTGTATTTTAATACATCAAATTTTTAAACTAAAGTACTTAAAAATTATAAGCAAAATTTTACACATATTTTTCAAGATTATCTAAAACAACTAATTCATAAACTTGAAAGTCATGTAATATTACTCTCCAAGACTTAAAAAAAAAGAATCTTAGTTAATTATTTATTATAAAGTTAAAAAAATAGATATAGTTAGGCTATTTTGCCTCTTCATCAAAGTTAGACTCTCTAAATGAGAGCAAACACTTATTTTTTAGATTTACATATTGCTTTGGTCAAACAATACCAAAAGAAACTAGAACATATATTTATATAATAAGAATTAATTTTTATATCAACCATGTAATAATTAAATTGTATTAGCATAATTAAATGATATAAAATTATAAATAAATTATCTATTAAAAATATAAAAAAATTATAGTTTAGTTTATTGATAAATATTTTTTTATGTTAATCTTATAAAATAAATTTAATTAGATAAATTTTTATATCTTTAAATATGTATTCTTTTATTTGAGTAACATAAATATTTATATTAAAAATTTTAACATTTTTATTTTGCATATAAAAATTTTGAAAATAGAAAATTATAAGTTGAAAGATAATATTACCCAAAAATTCAAAATAAAGAATTTATTCATTCAAAAAAATAAAATAATTATAATCTATAAAAAAATTCTGAAATGAGTAAAAAATATAAAATATAAAATTACATAAAATAAATAGTAAAATTTTTATCTTGACCAATATTTTATAAAAGCATCAACAAAAACTTTCTAAAAACTAAAAGTGAGTTAAGTTTTTGTTTTCTTAAATTCTTAGTTGTTCAACTGTAAGTAAAAAATTATTCAAACAAGATTATATGAAATTAGAACAATAAAGATAATTGAAAATATTAATAATTATTATAACATAGTTTTAGACTTACTTATTAAATACTTATTTAGTATAAAAATTGTTGAACTTGATCTCTGAATCCTATGAGAAGTGATGAGTTAGATATTTATCTGTAAATTATACCCTTAAAATACAACTCTCGATAGGATATGAGAAATGATGGGTTAGAAATTTATCTGTAAGTTATACCCCTAAAATATAACTCTCGATAGGACAAGTTGTGAAACAACTCATATGATTACATAATTGTTAACGACTACAGAGTGAACATAACCAAATATATAAAGTATTAAGTATTAACCCTAATTTCTCCTCATAATAGACTTTTGGATTAATGCTTCACTCATATAAGTAGCATTATATATATGTGTGTGTGTGTGGAGGGGGGTATGGGGTGAGTTGGGTACTTAAGTACCCATACACGCACTCATCTTATTAAAATTTGTAGATATTTTTTATACATATACTCGTACTCATGTAACAAGTAAATACTTTATATGTAGAGGATAAATTTTGTGAGTACTAATTGAATACTTTACCTATTTTTATTTCTAAGAATCATATTTGTATTTCATATTACTCTTCATTGGTTTGACAATTATGGTTTGACACATTTAATTTAAGAGTGTCAATTTCTTTTATATAATTTCTTCATTTCTTTTAACTCACTCTTCCACTAATTCAAAAAATCTTTATTTTTTAGTATATGGGCTAAAAAATGTCTATGCAATACTTTCTTTAACGTAGGTTTTGGTGAATGTCCAGTGTGTAAATCAAAATATATTAATAAAAATGATATTTTAATATGAGAATAAAAAAGATAAATTTAAAATGTACAATCATATATAAATAGTTAATATTTAAAATTAAATAATATAGCATAATTTTCACGTTTTAAATATAACCATTTTTAATAAGATTTACCATTAAAATTTATTCTTTTATTTAAAAATAGTCATATCTAATGTATTATACCAGAACGAGAGTATTCGTATGCTTTAACAACTTCCCATGATCACTCGCTAACAAACCATTATATGTGAATATTATTGAATAAGTTAAATTTATATTTTAATGAAAACATGATAGAAATAATATTAAAAATGATGTTATCGTTTCTCTATATAAAATTGGTTTTGGGATCATATTTGAATGTCAATTTCCATACCTATTATGTCAACTTTAATGGCAACCTATCGAAAAGGTTATCTATTATTTGAGCAATCTTTGATTCAGTTGATAACATTGATGATGTGAAGATGATGATCATGACGATGACAACTTTTTGTATTAATTTATAAAAAAAATGTTTTGAATAATTAAAGTTGGCTAACCATGTTTTTTGGCTTCTTTGTCCTCATCATAAGGTAGCTTACCGAATTCGTAGAGCATAATTACGAATTAATGTCATCTCGTATATATTTGTGGACCAAGTCAAAAGGGTTAACATATCCCTTGCTAATTAGGATTACGCTTAAAACATTTTGAAATAATTATACTTTTGTTCTAATATTTTAATTTATGTGTGATTTTAGTTCTTTTAAATTTTAATTGTTTTAATTAAATTTTTATTTAATATTTAGTAAAAATATAATAAAGTATGACATATTTAATAAATTTAAATAAATTGTAAAAATATATAAATATTTAAATAAAATATAATAAAACCTTTTTATTTTATTTATTTTTTATATTTTTAAAATGTATATAAATTAATAATAGATTACATAATTGTTATGTTTTGTTAATTATTAAACTTAATTCATCAAAGCCTACGAAGAGTATTTATTGTTCACGTATAAATCAAATCCAATATAAACCACAAAACTAAACCAAAAAAACAAAAACAAAAAAGATTTGACTGAATTAGATTTTAGATCTAATTTTAAAAATCTATGTTATCTAATTAAAACCAAATTTACATATACGTATATGATTTTATTCCTTTAAAAGAATGTTAGCGAGTTGACATCACATTGATGAGGACATGAATGCATTATATGGCTTTCATTATTGATTGATTATGAGAACATTAGAAGTAACGCACTCGGTGCATTGGTGGACCTAACACAGTAACCCTCATGCTCCCTTGTCCACACAGTCAACATTTTTTTTTGTTTTTAAATAACACCATTATCAAATTTTAAACACCATTATGAGTATCTACCATTTTACAACTTTGTCTTCATCTGTTGATAACATTTAGATTATTCAATCAAACTTTATTACAGTTCAGCTGTTCTAATTAATTCAACTGTTTTTTAGTATTCATGGTTTTACACTATTTATAGTTTTTTATTTCTGTCTTATACTTATTCAGACACGTATTGTTTTTTTTATAATATGGAAGAGGACTTGCCATTTGATAGTTGAAATATAATATATGTTATATGAATCATGAATACATTTAATTTTAAGGATACTCATTTGACATGGATATATAATCATATACGTAAAACAAATTAAACCGTGAACAACTAAGTTCTTAATTATGTGGACTTTCCTGCACTGAAAAAACACTTATAAAATAATTATATTTATTATATCATCCTAAAGGAATAATTAAGAGTTTTATTCAACTATTTTATAGGACAAAATTTAGATTTTTTAATTTTTAACCTGTGTGTTCTACTCTTGTTTAAACATGCACAGTTTATAATTTCCAGCTGAAACTGGTGTATTGAAATTCGTCTTCTGTGCAATTTCCGATTTTGTCTTCGTCAATAATTACCCATTAACGAATGTTTGATTATGACACAAAAATTGGCAATTAATGAATCATATTAAAATAAAACTCTATCTGCGTGCTGGCTTTTCCTTTCTTGATTGATTCCACATACCCATTACGTACTGTATTTATCCTCCAATCTGGGTTGCAAATTCATTGCCTCTTTATAAAGCTACGCAACTGAATGTGCTACGCACTTAGACACAGTAATCGTGCAACCTGCAAACCCTGACATTGATTATTATATATATGACCAACTAAAATATCATTTTGAATGCTTCAAGAATTGATTGAAAGGGCTCAGATTGAGTGAACAATTAACAAAACCAGTTCATATTTGTGGTCCAGCTATATTATAAGTTCAAGACCAACTCCACATTGTTTTCATCACATAACTTTTTAAGAATACAAATATGTAGGAAAGTTATCAGCTGATCCTATATAATGTAAAAAAATATATATGAAAACCTCCCCCTTTTAATTTGGGTTATATTTTAAATCTTATTTTTGAAATTGATATAGTCTAATCTAAATTGAACTTACCTATTTGAAAATAGTCTGAGTCAACACCCAATTTAATTTCCTACAAAAACTATTCAATTTTATTTGGTCCTTAGAAAGAAATAATTGAATAGTTCTCAAGATTACAAGTGTTCAGCCCTTTACTCCTTCAGTTTATTTCCTCCTTTTTAAACACATAATATTAGTTTTTAATTTATTTATTCATATTTAATACAGTAAAATTTATATTCATTTATCTTAAAGTAAAAATATATCTCATTATGTTTTATTTTTATTTTATTTAAAAGTAAAAATACTCATTCAATATAAAAACTTACCAACCAATATATTTAGTTTTAACTTTTTAACATATTAATGACTTTGTTTATATATATATACATTGTGGTTTAAATTTAATCCCCTAGTCCCACAAAAAAAGTGAATACCAAAACAAAACCGTATGTGGAAGCAGAACAGAAAGACAAGTAGAAAACATAACAAAAAAGAAAGAGGTTTAATTGACTAGGTTGTCTTGTTATGACCATTTTCCATTACCCATTAGCTTCCTTCACCAACTCTCTCTTCCATTCCATTTTTCTCTTTCTTTCTCTATCATCATCATTACTCATTCCCATTATATATATATATACTTACACAGAGAAAGTCACACTTGTAGACACACAAATTCACTCGTATAAATCTCTTTAACTTCAGCTATCTACACCTACAAAGAAAGATCCAGAAAAGATACCTAGTGATAGAGAGAGAAAGTGTGTGTGTACGTGATTGTGTCTATGGCTGGTCTTCAAAGATCCGCAGTGTCTTTCAGAAGACAAGGTTCATCAGGGCTTGTTTGGGATGACAGGTTTTTGTCAGGGGAATTGAACAAACTCGATCAACCAGAAGAACAACACCAAAAAACAGAGATTAAAGAGCTTAACCCAGGAACAACGCTTGAACCTATCAACACCGTCCAGAGAAGCCGCTCCAACGGCGGCGCTCGTGGCTACCGGACCGGAAAAGTCTCGCCGGCGATCGAGCCTCCCTCTCCCAAGCTCTCTGCTTGTGGGTTCTGTGGTGCTTTTGGAAAAACAGGGGATAAGGGTCAACGCTCCAAGGCAATTAAGCATCGATCGAGGTAGGTTGCTCAATCATCGTTGCGCCTTTTTCGGTCACCGGAGATGGGTTGTTTGGTTGAAGAGGGTAGGGTTCGAGTTCATCATGTATGAAAAAAAAACTCTTGTGTTTGCGTCTGTGTTTGAGCTTTTGTTTCAATTAAGCATAGGTTTGGATTCATGTTGAAAGAACTCTAGCAGAAGTTACAATTAGTAAAACAACGTTGAAACGTAAATCTTATAAGTACTTAAACGTGAATTCATAGACACTCAAAAGATTGTTTGAGAATGGGTTGGGTTGTAATTATTTGTATATTTGTCGGGTCCACGAAGAATTTTGATCTATGTACAAAGTATATCTCGAATGGGATCTTTCACATGATTATGCTTTTGTTAGTTAGGGATGGATGCGAAATTTGCATAATATTTTACAAGGTTTCCTCATACTTGAACGTGATTGAATAATGGGTACCCCTTTTTTTTAATTTATTTTTGTTTAATAAGATAAAGCATTGTATGTGATCATATATATTTGATAAATAAATATGAACATGTTATGGATGCAAGGAAATTTAGGAAAACGCTATTTAAGATCATCGTCACATTCAATCTCCATTGTTTCAAATCAACCCTATCCTCTAAGTTGTTTGTTTTTTTGTGATCAGCTACAAGTCAAATTTCACGTGGGTGTAACTTTTTTCATTGTTGATTATAACGTTAGTGAATGACAATAGATTGATGAGCATTTTTAAAAAGAATGGGTAGACATCACTTAATTGATGTTGGTGTAACAGGAATTAAATGGGCCTTTTTGGATATACCCATCCAGAAGTAATTAGAGGTAGCAATCTCTTATCCCACTGGGTTTGGGAATTGAAATACTATGCATGCTAGGAAAGGAAAATCTTTATGCATACTCTTCCCTTTCCATTATCCTCTCCCTTCTTAATTTCAGTTATTCTATTTTTATAACTTTTTTGTATTTCTTTTGTAACATCATTTATCTTATTTTGCACTTTTCAACAAGGTTATAAAATTATGAATAAGAATAAGATTCCTTATTATTTTGGTTAAAACATAAAGATGTTTGGTTAATTAGCCATTCAATGTCGGTGGTGCAGAAGGGATTTGATTAATATTTTGTTGGGTCTATAATTGATTCGAAAGTTGAAAAAACGATTTTGTCGAAATCAACATGGGTTTTTCCCCATCTCCATGAGACGACACCTTAGAGCAAGTAGTGTTTTGCCCACGAGAAAGTGAGAGCAATCTTTTATCAGTGATTAGCGATTTGTGTTTCTAGGAATCATTTTCAAACATTCCCACTAACTTCTTATTCTTTTGTTACATCATATTGCTTTCAAATTTTATTTTTTCCTGTTTGCTTTTCACTTTTTTTTCTATTATTTTTGTAGGTGGAGTTTTAGCGTGTCAAAATGCTAGATTCTTCTTATCATATTTTATTATAGAGTTTTGTTAAACTCATTTAAGGAGAAGTAACTAATAATAATAAAATTTTATTAAAAAAAGAAGTATTTATTATATTTTTATAATTTTTATTTTATTTTTTATGCTTAAATTCAACTATAAGGGTCGAGGGTAATAAAATTCTTTTATCATAATACGATTTTATAAAAAAATTTAATATTTAGATATTCTTATCAAAAATTTTATCTTAAAGTTTATGTTTTAACCAATGTATGATAAAATATAATTTCTGTGTTTAAGTTGAAAAATTTATACTAATTTTTACTATATATTTATTTTTAAAAGACAAGTTTCCAACATAAATCAATATTACTTTAACTCAAACACCCACTTATCTTTTTATTGTTACAAAATTGGTCTTAGTAAAAAGATGCTCCAACCCATGTTTGAAAATTATTATTACATATTGTTATTACTTGCTGCATTAAATAATTGTTTTGATTAGTATATGAATATATAATTACATTCATGGGAGGTAGAATATGATTACTTGTATTTGGATTTGTTCATTGGTGAGAAAAGAAAGAAAGAAAGAAAACCGTGAGCTACACATAATGCCAGCGTCGCAGCCAAATTAGACCAAACGACATTATCCAATCCAAGTGTGCTTTCTTTTCTTTTACATTCTCATAAAGACAAGCTTCTGTTTTACACCATTACCGTGTCAACATTTTCCCTGTTTATCTATTTTATTTTGAAAGATAGATTTTGATAAAGTTATTTTATTTTTATAAACTCTATTTTAAATTATTAAACATTACTAAGTTGTCTATTTAATTAATCTTAATTTTAAATTTCACCTTAAACATTGGTTATGGTGTCTGAAAATGATTTTATTATGACATAGACAATTTTTTTTAATCGTTATGATTCTTTTAATGTATTAAAGATGAAAGGGTATTAACGTTTATCTTTTCTAAATGTGTGGAAAGAGAAGGGAGTGGTTTTTTATTTTATTAATTTTTAATATTGAGTAATATTTTACATAATATAAAAATATGCAAGAATAACAAATTATTATTTTACTATCATCGTAAGTATTATATCATATAATAATTTTTATTTATCTAAATTAATGACTTTTTCTTTCTATTTTTAATCCATTTAAATAACATATATTTTTGTATTTTTTTATTTTTTATTACTTCTTTTATCTCTTGTACAAATAAAATGTTAGTATAATTTAAGAAAATAATTAATTATAATATTTTTAGAAGTAAAAACAATTATTTTTACAAAATAATTTGAAAAAATATGCACTTTTTTTCTTTCTTTCAACATATGGAAAACCTTTGGATATTATTTTAAAAGTTTTCTCACTAATATTTATATGAGAATCAACAGCATAACCTTCCCCGGACAGAACCTCCACCATAACTCTTTATAAAAACAAATCAAAACTTCACTATATATACAAAAAATATGGAATAGGTGATTTCATTTCACATTTGACATGACTTGTAATATAATTATAACAATTCAAACCTTATATTAAACTCAAGGTTTTTTATTTTATTCTGTTATGCAGGATTTGCTGAATTTTTAGTCCTATTTGATCATTGACAAGTCTTAGTTCATTCCAAGAAATTAGGAAAATCTATAAATTCATTTAGTAAAATGTTTGAATGTCTGGTACTTAAAGAAACTATCATGAATCGAACAATTGAACTTAGTGATCTTTCATTGAAGAGTCAAGAGAGAATAAAATAAATATTCATGCATACATAACCTAACACAAATATGAAAAGTTAACAAAATTCAAAGAAAACGACTATACAGTTTAGTTATTCGTAATTAACCCAGCTGAATAAAATTAAGGAGATTTTCACCTAAAAAAAACAGAACAGAATAACACAAAGAATAAATTTAAAGAGGAAAACCAAATAATTACTAAGTTATATTTAAAACTTATTAAATAAAATAGATTTGCAATAAATAAGGGAACTAGATAAATTCACAGCTTTTATAGATCACTTTTTTCCTCCTTTTAATAATAATTTACTATTTCTTTATGAAATTTAATTTACTTCTTTGTCATGTTAATATTTTAAATAAAAAATTATTTTATATTTTCCACTTTCCTTATATAACCATAACACAAAAGTATTTAGACAATGACTCTACCCATGACCCAATATTGTCCAAGCACTTCGTAACTTCAGATTAAGTTTTACCTTGTCCATCAAATTTTTTTAAAAAAGGTTATCAGTGTCTCCAATTTTGATTTAATTGAGTTAAAATAGGCTTAGGTTAATAAATCATCCAATCCAAACTGCACATAATATATTTTTTAAATTACTATATTTGAATATATAATCTTTATCAATTTATTTTTTATTTACTCATCAAACAAAATAAATTTAATTTTTAAAATTTCACATTAAACATTTTCTCTCATTCCCTCGTTTACCATGCACCTTCTCCTCCTTTGTTTGTCTCTTTTTCAGCAACATTACTACATATTTAAGACATTATTTTTTATTGGATAAATTATCAATAAACATTTTAGTGCAAGGCTTTAAAAATAGTCTTTATCTTAGTATTTATTATTCTCGTGTTAAAATTAAGTTATTTATTTATCTAAATTTTAAAATTTAATCAACATATGAAGAAAAATCTTAATTCAAGTTGACCTGATTAATTTAGACATATTTTAAATAAGGGTAATTCAGGTCTTAAAACTTAATTTGAAAAAAAAAATTAATATTAGATGGGGATAGAGTATCTTAATCTTGAATCAGGTACCTTAACGGTTTAAAAATAAACATAAAGATCTTAATCATTAAAATATGAATCTTTGTTAATTAATCAGAACCTGTAATATATTAATGTGCACATCCTGCTTTTATAAAGGATCATGTTCCACATAATCACACAATATCTGACAAAAAATGAAGAAGTTGAGATGCTTTTCATCTTCAACATCCACCTTTGTCTTTGTTCATATACACCTTCTACTGAGTTCATTCTTCCCTCAAACAAAAGGGTTTGACTCTGTCATACAGCTTCCACATTCAGCGTTGACCAGATCTAAACGCGTTCTTTCTGTCATTGATTATGGTGCCAAAGGGGATGGTCTTCATAATGACACCAAGGTAGCTTATGTAATCATTCAATTATATGACTTTCAAGTTTCCTTTCATTCCTTTCCATATTTGGTTATCCTTTTCTGCTTCAATGCTCCTTTTCCTATCTTTCCCACCATTCCAAAGATGAATTCATTGCTTAAAAAGCAAAAAGTTCTTTTTTTTCCCTCGTGATTTGGAAAATGTACTCACTGTGTGCTTACTGTAAATAAGCAAGTGTTTCTGGAAATTCTACTGCAAGAGGAAGATCAGTATAATAAGTTAATTTACTGATTTGCTTAAGAACTAGCAGGGTCCATCTTATTCAAATACTTAATGGAGAGGCAATAGTGAGCGCAAAATGTTAAGATATCTCATGTCGACTGAGAAACATGTTCAAAATACTTTTTATAAGGTTTAAACAATTTACTCACTCTAAGTAACTTTTGAGAGTGAGTTTGGTATATAAGGAGAGAATGGGGATAGAGGGGTGGCAGCATTGCAGTAATTTGTTGTAAAATTGTTTAGTTTGACAGAGAATGCTTAGAGCATTACTTTGAGAGGAGCGATGGGCTCCGGGCTAGTTATGTATCTCTACTAAAATATTTGTTCTATAATTTGCATTTTAATCGATATAATTTCTTTTATTGTTTTAGTATACATTTGATAGTTCTATCAGTTCAAATATTTATTATGTTGGGAGATGCAAAAATATAATAAATATTTTCTTATCCAATGAAAAATTCTTACTTTTTCATGCTTAAACTCAAGCTTAAGGAATGAAATTAAGAAAACTGATATGAAATTTCATGCAGCATGTTTATGAACACAATGTACAAGCACCATGATGTTATTGAAACATCAAACGTCGATATTGACTTAATTTGTTTATCTTTTCAGGCCTTCCTGGAGGCTTGGAATGATGCTTGTGCTCACTCTGGACGAATGAATGTTGTGTTTCCACCAGGGAAAACTTTTCTGGTCCATCCAGTTAACATTGCCGGGCATTGTCGATCTAAGATAACTCTGACTGTATGAACCTCTGGATTGTTTTAGTAAATTTTTGCATCAGCTCATAAAGTTTGTTCGTGATGTTGTTTATGGAGAATGTTTATTGCTAAATTCGAAATAACTTATACAAATAACATACACTCTGAAAGGCTCTTTCCAGCTTATTTCAATAAAGTTCTTTCGGTAAATTATCAAAATAAAAAAATTTTAAACTTGTGTCAACAAGTTTCATGATTTAATTTGTAATATAAATCTCTTATGTAATAAGAGTTTCTTGAATAAGTACTTGATAAAAATATTATTCAAAGGTGCCCTATTTTGTTTTCGTGATTCTTGGTAAATGTATGATATGATAGATCTTAGGTACAATAGTAGCACCAAAAGATCCTGCACTGTGGCACGGTTTAAATCAGCGGAGATGGCTTTACTTCCACGAGGTGAATCACCTAACTGTTGATGGTGGAGGAAGAATCAATGGAATGGGACAGGAATGGTGGGCCAAATCATGCAAAATCAACTCCACAAATGTATGGAACTTGGAAATCTTAACTTCAATGTTTTATTAGAAGTGAATAATATGAATTTTGCACTAAAATTGTTACCTCACAATGTCCCTTGTCAGCCATGTCAACCTGCTCCAACGGTTAGTACTTAGGGTGCTTCAGAAAATGGAGTACAATAGTACATTTCCCTGATTATGAAGCCACGATTATACTGCAGGCCATCACTTTTCATAAATGCAAGAATCTGAAAGTCAGAAACCTGATGGTGTTGAATAGCCAAAAAATGCACATGGCTTTCACCGGCTGCATCCGGGTTGTTGCATCCAATCTTGAAGTACTAGCGCCTGCTTTCAGCCCCAATACTGATGGAGTCCACATTAGTGCCACAAGGGGTATTGAGATCAAGGACAGCTTAATAAGAACAGGTTGGTTATCCTCATTAAATGCAACATTAGCTTTACTTGTCTTAAAGGAAAAAAAAAGGCTTCTGGGGTACTTTTAACATGTCATTTTTCTTTTAAATTGTAATTTGTAATTGTTACTAATTATTATATAGTATGCCATATTTCAGAAAACATATACTCCTAAAGATTAGGATGAGTTAAAATGTCTTTTTTGTATTCTCAAGTAACAATGGATTTAGAAACAAAGTAACATCTGAAACTTCTTTTGGCTTGTGGAGGTGTTTGAATATGATACGCAGGTGAATTCTTTCATATTTTGTCCTCTATGCATTGATTTTTGTTAAACCAGACCAAGTTTGGCACAAATTAAAATATTTATCATTCTTCCTTGTTGTTATGAGATACGAAGGAGTAGAAGGAAAATAAATGCACACGCGACTTGATGAACTGACAAAAATGTAATTGTGACACATTGAACATATTTAAGTGAGTAACTTATGATAGTAGACACAAGCAAACAGTAACTAATGAGTAATGATTACTTTTGAGCAATTACTTAATTGGAGTTCATGAATAAATTTTCTTTTTTTGGTCAACAGCTCTCTTCAAGTAGTGTATCTGAACAACAAACATTGAGTCTTGTTCAATTTATTTCAGGAGATGATTGCATCTCAATAGTCAGAAATTCTTCAAGGGTCAGAATCAGCAACATTTATTGTGGTCCAGGCCATGGCATAAGGTGAAACAAGAATTTCATTTTCGCTACATGACATTAAGTAGCATAACAGGAACGTATTCTTTCAGTATTGGTAGCTTGGGAAAATCAAAAGCATGGGAGAAGGTGCAAGATGTAAATGTCAAAGGAGCTTATCTTTATAACACTGATAATGGCGTGCGGATCAAAACATGGCAGGTATTCTTCTTGACAAATTTTAGCTCTTTCTTTCCAGAGATGATCAAGTTGATCGACTTGCCTTGAATGTTCGTTAGGGTGGTGATGGCTTTGTCTCCAATATCAATTTCCAGAATATCTTGATGGAAAATGTGTCAAATCCAATAATAATAGACCAATATTACTGTGATTCAAAAATCCCATGTAAGAATCAGGTATGTGATGCTTCTAGGTGGAATAGCTTGCATTTGCATGGCTCTTTTATTAATTCTGTAAATGATTCTAAAAGCAAGTCTTTCTTTGAAAAACAACAGTTAATTTCATAATTCACATTATCATTAGAATCACGACATACACCTCTCAATATCCAAGGACTACAGTACTTGATGTTTCTCAAAACTCAATTCAAAATAGTCGATAAAGTAGTTTGCTTTTGACATAGGAATATAAGTTTTTTAATTATCCTGATGCTAACATATGTCGCAAGAATGTGATGTTCTCTACCGTAAGAGAATGCAGACTTCAGCTTTAAAAGTGGAGAGTATATCCTTCATTGATATTCAAGGAACTTCAGCAACAGAGGAAGCAATAAAATTTGCTTGCAGCGATACCTTTCCCTGTGAAGGACTATATCTAGAAAATATTTATCTTATACCAGGTTTTGGAGGAAATACAAAATCTTGCTGCTGGAATGCTCATGGTTCTACTAGGGGTTTTGTATACCCTCCTGCCTGTTTTACTAGCGGCAGTGATTTCATTAGGCAAAATGTCTGGCTAGAGATGGACTCTGCTTTGGTTCCATCTGAACAAACATATTCTATTTAGAAAAAAATTGTATATAAATGCCGTAACAACGCATAATTTATGGACAATTGTCCAACTAGAAAGCAGAAATAGTGAATGCTGTATAAAATCCGCATAAATCCTTATACTTTCTTTCATCCGTTGTTGACTCAGTTCCCTTATAATGTATTTTATATTTGTCAAATTTCAATAATATGTTTTAAGTCTCTAGTAGACTATAAATATCATGACCGAATACCAGCAGAGTTAGGCTTAACATAGTGGCAAAAGCAAAGTCACCATAAAAATGGGTAAAAACAGATGATTTAGAACGGATTTTGTATTTAGAACAATGACTTTCATATCATTTTGATTCATTACACCGATCAGTTTTCCCTCATCACTGGAGGATGAAGCAAGCAAGATCTGCGCACACCTGCACTACAGCGAACAAATGAAGTTACATAAATTTCTAATGCCCTATTAACTACCTGAATGCTCCAAATCACCAAAGGTTCAATCTATAGAAAAGTTAGGCACCATCAATATCAAAAGACCATAGTCCACACCTCTACAAAAATTTTCTAGTATAAGCTGTAAAATTGAAACTTACATGAAGTGAATTAATTAATAGTGTATAAAAATGACAATTCTAGGCAAAATGACGGCATTGGAAACTAAGGGAGATTTAACTTTTCTCAATTTGAGACTATTTCTAACATATGGAACCTGGCCTCGATTACAGGATCTAAAAATGTCAACTTTTCCCCAACATTCATACGAAACCCATATTGATGGCCTAATCAGAGGCATCCACAGCCTTAAAACCTGGGTTAACGAGGACCAAGTTTGGGACACCCCTGAGCAAGAGGCAGTTCCATGTTGTCAACAGTTCTGAAAGTTCTAGGTACCATCTTATCAACATATAGAGTTCCATCCAAGTGATCGCATTCATGTTGTAAAATCCGGGCCTGCCAACCAGAAGCATTTATTTTGATTGGCGCACCATTACGGTCCAAACCTGTAACCTCAACGTCAAGGTACCGCTCCACCACTGCTCTAAAACCATCAACACTGCAAAATGTTATAACAATTGAAGATGTTAACGGTACACTGGATAAAGGAATGAGTATATGTATGGTTGCTCACAATATTGCTACCTAAATCACTCAAACGTGGCATATTTACAGTTAGAGGACTACATAACATTAAGATATCATACTATACTGTCAGAGGCCACTTTGGGAACCATGCAATTTTCATGTTTTACACTAAGATAATTTACCGTTGACAAATTATAGTTTAGGATTGCTTAAAATTTAAATTTCACAAAGCTCGTGAATATTGGCATCAAATTATAAAAACAAAACAGATGCAGGTTCACATCAGAATACGTGGTGAGTGTGCTAGATTCAAGCAATACAAAAAGCGTTCAGACTGGTATTTAAGGAATATAGTATTCTGTCAAGTTTGAAATCCCATAACCATATGCACAAATTTTTTAGAGTAACAAGAGATATGCATTAGCTTCTACTTCTCATCTCAAATACTGAATTGTTACGAGCATAAAAAAGTGAATCGTTATCTGACAAAGCAAGAGGGGTAATAAAGAAGGACAAAGTAAAATGTCAATTATTGCCACACCTCAAGCACCCTTCAAAAAATAGGGCAGTCCTGTTGCTCTTCTTCTCTAGCTTGGGATTCAGGATCACCTGCCTCAAGAGGAGCTCATGGATGATGTATTAAACAACAGATCTTAAGGGCAAAACTATAGATTTAAAGTGAACACACTCCATTTCTCAGCATATGAACATACCAAAAGATCAAAAGGTCGTCTGTCTTGAGCCTTAGTCTCTTCCTTTGGTACATAACTAATATATTCTTTGGTATCTTCCAAAACAATTATCTGCATACATGAAAAGAACCAAAAAAAAAAAAACAATATATACATAACTTTATACAGCTCCACATTGTGCAGTAACATCCAGAAGATTTTAACACAATAAACCTCACTGCTTTAAACTATAGGCACATTCAGGGTGAAAAAAGAGGGCGGACTGGAAAGTTTAAATTTTTGCAAGAAAGACCTTCGACACACCTTTATATTAAAGGAATGGCACCAATTCATTTTCAATTATCCCACATTATTATTGTAAGTTGTAACCAAGCAAGCATGAAGTAATTTCATCCTAAAATTGCTACCTTTTTCAAAAGAAGTACCCTCAAAGGCCTTAATCTATAAGAAAGCACAAATTTATAAAGAAAGAAACAGACCCTCAAAGGAATTCCAATCTGGGGGGCAGCTAGGCCAACTCCAGGAGCATTCCTCATGACCCGGATCATGTCATCAATGATCTTCTGCACTCTCTCAGACCCAATCTCATTAGGATCAACATTCTGGGCAGGCTCATGAAGAACAGGGTCACCAGCTTTGACAGTGTCAGGCAAGTTCAATTTTTTGTTATCTGATCCAAGACCCAAAAACCACCCTGCTCTGGCAGTGGTAGTTTGAGAAGACGCTGAGCTCAAACTCAATGGTGGCCTTGCAGTGACAATTGAGGGTAAGGGGGTGGCAGTAGAACGCCAAAAGAGAGATATGGGAAGCACACGGTACAAGTGCAAGGCCTCCATGGCCATTGCCTTTCTGCTTTGAATTCTGCAGATTATCTTCACCACCAAAACCACTGTCACCCGTCTGGTTCAGAGTGTTTATGGGTTATGTTATTTTGGACCCAAACTAAGCCATGAAATGGATTTTGGGTTCATAATCTGTTTTCAACTGAACCCAACCAACGGAGAGTTGAATTGGATTGGACCATGGTTCAGACAATGGATTTTGTGCATAATATTAAGAGACTCAAGAATTGGATCTTATGTGTGGATTGATTCAAACCTTATCTCCCTTTTTTACTTCACTCTTTCCTAGAGATGTCTGCATGGGACAAAGTCCATTACATATATAATAATTATTAAGAGGTTTAAAATTTTATAATTTCAGTCGATTATCATGTGACATATTTTGTATAAGAAAATTTATTAAAATTTAATTACGTTTTATATGATGATTGTTTGAGATTATAAATATATTTCTTTATTTTTTGACAAAAAATAATTATTATTGATCTCATGCTATGTGTAAAATAATTATTATTACTTGGAGAGATTGAGCAGTTAAATATTATTTTCTCCAAGTAAAATAGCTATGTATGCCTATTGATGAAAATGGATATGTGGACTACTACTACTACTCATTATTATTATTATTGTTATTATTATTATTATTATAATAGAAGAAGTCAACTTATTATAAGAGTAAGTTTTGTCTGATTTATTTAATTTAACAATTTTTCATACATATAAAATTTTATTATTTCAAAAAATATAATCTTATCAAACAATTTAATTTTAAAATATAATATGCAATTTAAAATACAAACAAAGATCACTTGTAAAATTATATAGTTATAAGTATTGAATTTTTTTCAAAGTTTGATATTCATTGTGGAGATAAGATTTTATGATTGAATAATTTGATTAATAAAATTTTATGTATAAAAAATGTTATTGAGTAGAGAAATTTAGAAATAAATTTATTTCCTTGTTGTAATATCTTAAAATTATATTTATTAAAGACTTAATTTTGTTGAATTATATATAAATTTAAGTTCGTTAATTTAGTTAATGATAAATATTTTTTATTTGTTTAAAAATATTATTATAAAATAAGTTTTTAAATAAACTTGTAAGTTAAGTTAGACTTTTACAAATATTAGCTCAAACTTTAAAAAATAATTCATATAAAATAGATAAACTGGACTCAAATCTTAAATTCAAAGATCAAATCACACTAAAATCTTAGAAAGCTTAATTCAACTTATCCATTTCTAGCCTTACCCATAAGAAACTCCTATTAGTTTAATTTACATGATGTTATGCTTTTCTTTCTGCTGAATGAAGTTAAATTTGTTTTATTTATTTACTTTTAGAGTTCCTTGTCGAAATGAATATTTGTACAATGTTCTTCATAAATTAGAAGGAATTCTATTACTTAGTCTTCAAGTTATTTGAATGCCCTGCGATATGCTCTATTTGCTTTGTCAAAGAACCTGGACTCATGTTTATCCATCTACCAATGAAAATTGGATATGGATTAAATTGTAACCTATCTAACATAGGATAGAATCTAAGTCAAATTCAACAGTCAAACTAAGTGTTTGAGTTGTGAAAAAAAATGTTTTTTAATCGATTATTGTTATGATTAATTGTGTGAAATAAATGCTGTTTAAATATGTTAAATAAAAGTTAATTTTAAGATAATTTATTTTGTTTATGTTATTCAAAAGACTTTTTCTATAGAAAATTATAACAAATAAATCAAAGTATTTATAGTAACCAGTTTTATATTTAAATTAATCAGCTGTTGAGAAGAAAAAATAAATTGTTAACTTTTATGTATAAATTCTAAAAATAATATAATCTAAACATGCTATACAAGTCCATGCAAAAAATGATAATTAACTCGTTGAGTATAAGCTTAGAACTTTAACATTTTTGGCATTACCATGACTTAGTATAGAGATATAGAAATTATTAAAAACCCCATAGGGATAAAAGCTTCTACTTTTCTAATCAATGCCACGTATGGGCATCATAAATACCATTTATACGAACCATGTTTCTTAATCTCTTTCCCTACGAGGAACTACTTTGCATGCACTGTATCTGTCTCCTCTGTTAATCAAAGGTTAGGCAGGTAGGTATAGATGCCAGGTGGTCAATTATTCTTTATTATTTTTAAGAAAACATTTTCTGGAAATTATCACATGCATTAATATATGTTTACTAAATTCATAAATCAATTACAGTTAATTCAATACAAGGAACAAATTAAAAATTTAAATGTGAGATTGGTAAAATAAATTAATGACCACGCGAGAAAGGATATCATAAAAAGTTATTATATGTGAAAGAATATTAAAATAATATTTATTGTATAAAATAATTAAAGTTATTTAAACACATGCAAATAAAGAAATTAAAATAGTTAGTGAAAAGAAGTAAATAACATAATTTTTATTTAATAAAAAGAAAAAGCTTTACAGAAAATTATTGTAAAAAAATATGGTGATAAATAATATATTAAATTATTTTAACTTTTTATTAAATTTAATAGCATTGTCTGATTTATATAACTGACCTCACTTAATATTATAAGATTTGATTGTTAAGAAATCATTTCATTTAACAAAATTTTATTAAAAAAATTACTTTATGGAATATGCAAATGTCATTAAAATGACAATTAATTAAGAGAAAATACTATACTTAAACAAATAGAAAATACTTAATATATCAAAATTATTTAAAAATAATACATGTTTTATAATTATTTTCCCTTTTCTTAAAAAAATTATTAAATAAATCTCATAATTAATCGTTCTAGTGTTTTGAAGAGTAAATCAAATGCAAACACAAATGAACAATTGCTTGGTCATGTGTAAGATACTTGTTACCAAAACCTAAATTTAATGCACACAAGAATCTCTCATCAACTAAAGTTGCAGCATTGTTATTTGACTCAGCAAACAAGAAGCTTTGAAGGATTACTACTTCCAGGCAATGATCATAAATTGAATGGCCTAACACAAGACAAGTCCGTGTGGATAATTTTAGCCCTTAGTCTTCAGTCAAATAAACAATTTTGTCATATTAGCAATTTCGTTTTAAATTTTTCCAATATTACACGTAATATTTAAAATGAACTTTTCCAAGTTATACTTAATTTGTCTTTAATAATAAGAATTTAATTAATATATATATATTTTACGCTGTCATATAATTAAAAATTATTACTTTTTATAATAATTTTAATTGGCAGTCAATATAGTTTTTATATTAATTATTTGCCAAAATTAAGCTGTAATAATAATAATAATAAACATAAGCTTAATTATTTTAATTTGAAAATTGAAAATTCTATAAATCAGACGACACTAGATTTTCTGGTAAAAAATGAGAGACTTGAAAAGGAAATATAAGATAATATATGCTTAGAAATTTCTACGCATCTTATATAGTTGTCACCCATCTTTGACTTTGATTTGAACAACGGGTTTGAAAAAGTTAGAAAGAAAGAACATTTTGAAAAGAATAAGAAAATTAAAATGTCAAGTATCAGAAAATGCATATTCCTTTTCGCTTGCTAAGCTATATATAAGGAAGCACATGGAGCATCCATTTCATTCCATTGCAACACAACACAAACACTAACACAGACAATAATAGAAGCAAGAATGAGAAGAAGCTACATGGAACCTTCACGCCACAATCATCAAGCTTTTCCAAAGGAGCATGGAAAAGAAGAGAAGAAAGAGACTTCTCAGAGCCAGACAAAGAAGCTAGAGAGGATGCCAACAGAAGACATCAACGCTAGTGCTGATGCATTCATCAAGAATTTCAGGCACCATTTGATGCTTCAGAGGCTCGAATCCATAGAGAATCACAAGAAAATGCTTGCAAGGGATCAGTAGCAAGCTCATCAACATATCCTCAGTTAATTATAGTTATATATAAATAAATTATTAGTCGTATCTGCTCTTGCATGCGGCTATATTAATGTTATGTATGCATTATTTCATAACGTTGTTTTTCTTTCCACTTTTCTATGCCCAAAGCATAGTTTTACATCAAGGGATCATATGAGAAATTAAATAATGTTGATTCTTCCAGTCCCTGGCCCTCATTTGGCTTATGCATGTAATATATATTTGTGTAACGATTATTTTTCATAAAGAACTTTGATATATATATATGTGTGTAGGTTCCATTTCTTATTCATACCGTCATGTGCACTCTTTCTAAAGTGTTGTTTGAGAAAGGGAGAGGAAAAGAAACAATTTTTTTATTTTAAATAAATATATTTAAAATTAATATTTTTTAAAATAAATTAATATATTAATCAAACATTTATCATTACAAGTAAAATTAAAAAAAATTTATGATCGTACCTACAATTTCAGGACGATGGTGTGTCCCTCGGATCCAAACAAATTAGTATTGGACCAAACTCTGGGTTGTGTTTATTTTAGAATATGGGTTATCTATGGATTGCATATAGAAGGGACACCTGTAGGGGTATTATGCTTTTAAAATTTGTTTTTTGATACATATATGTACAGAAAAAATAAGTGGGAAAAATATAATTATATACAGTATTAAACTTTAATAATTTAAATAATATAATTATGTATACATAGATTTCTTTTTTAGTGCAAATCTCACTTCTTTACCTAAACAACTTTAAACTTATAATTTATTATGTAATAATTACTTATTTTAAAACAATTTCTCTTATTTAAATTATTAAAACTAATAATATATTTGACTTAACGTACCGGTAATTTTTGTATTTCATTTTTTAAATATACATATCTCAAAAATATAATTTAAATATTAAAAGAATATCTCCTCTAATGATTAAAGAAAAAACATGATCGTTTTCAAACAATTTCCACTAAAGTTGCTATCACATCAGCATTTGCTGTCAATGCCCAATTAAATGCTGGTAGATGATACAGTTCCGTTAATTGTTGTATGTAATACTATATATTATTTTTTTATTTATTTTACTTATACACACACATCCCAAAAATATATTTATAGTATAAAAAATACCCACAAATATCCATTTTTAGTCAGATAATGCTGTCATAGTCTTCCTGGACATTATAGTATTAATTTTCGACCAATTGAGCTGTGCAGAGGCAGATTTTAATTCAAGTATATCTTATATACTTTTAGATATATATGTAGGAAGCAATTTTCACAATTTAACATTTTTAAAATTTGTTAATAATAAAAAAACATAAAGTTTGTGACTTACATAAAAGAATAAAAATCAATTTATAAAATTAAAAAAGGTTATAAAAAGTAAATAAGATATGACAGAATTATTTAATGTCAGAGTTTGTAAAGTTGTCCCTAGTTAAACCAGGTACAATTAATTATTCAATTCGTGGGTCACTTGGACAAAAAAAGGTTACAATGCACGCACTTTACCAGAAATCACATTATTATTAAATTAGAAACAAATACCAGAAAGCAAACACCCCTGATAGACGCAAAATGGCAACTCAATTTTGGTGAGGAACAACAATTTAGTGAATGAACACAAAGGAAACAGAACAAAAGGAACAGCATGGTACAATGACAACTAGACAACACAAAAAAGACAGTAATTCCTCGTGATACATGAGAATTTTCAATGTTGTTATCCACAATAACAGAAGGCTCACAATTGGTGGACCATTTTCTGCATCTGCTGTTGATTCTGCATTATCCCAAGATTCACACGAGAGCATGATCTTGCCACCTCACCCACCAAGGGAATCACAGGAAGACTATCACAATTGCATATCTCAATCATAAAACCATCTGGGTCATGGAAAAACAATTGATCTACTTGGATCCCACCTTCCTCTACTGTTGCTCTCACATAATCTATTTCCATCTCCTTCAGCTTTTTCTCCACTGCTCCCATGCTCTCACACTGCTCAACCACAAATTACACACATAATAATAATATCTTCAAAACATAATTAATTTCCCACTCCTAGTTTATGACAGCTACGTAATTAACACTAAAAGACGCGTGCAAGTAATCGCAAAATGTCGCTATAGTAATAAGTTTGTTTGTGTGTATTTTGTCTCTTCTTCTCACTTATGAATGAGACCGAAATAGTTAGAAGTTCAGACAAATGTTCAAAGTGATAATGCCAACAATATTAGGCTGAAAGGGTCATCATTTTGTCTACCTTTTAACCTTGTCGTGTTCTATATCTACTTTCATCTCTAGATTGTTCTAGCGTTCTTTACTTCTCACCTAAAACATTTCATTAATTAATTAATCCATCAATGCAATTCTTTAATTTAGAAACATATCCACCTGCGAAACTAAATGATCAATGATGTGAAGTTTGATGACCATAACTGGATGCAAATTAATCTCACCTGAAAAGATATATGATTATCTTTTGGATTAATTTCCTTCTTCTTTGGCAAATTCTCTGGATTCTCAGCTTCTAGCAAGTGAATTCCAATACCATAGCCGAATAGCCTGCAAAGTTATACACCACATCAAAATTTTCTTCCTATCTAGGAAAACAAAGAAAAACAGTTTAAAAACGAAATTCTGTATGTTTTATCATGTTTATATGACCTTTTTTTTTAATTTTTAAACCCACAAGGCATCATTTATCAGTTGCAAAGATATATATATATATATATATATATATATATATATATATATATATTATATTTGCTTGTGATGATCATGTTTGTGAAATTACCATGCCCCATCAAAATCAAAAGAGCCAGGCCTCCTGATTGGGGAAAAACCAAGAACGTTCTGGTAAAAAAGCATTGATTCTTCCACTGATCGGCATATGAGGGAGATATGGTTCACAGACTTAAGGTGCAAAGGGTTTCCCACACTTTCCTTCATCGTCTCTTAAAAAAATTCAACTATAAACTAGAAGAAAATGCTAATCCGAAAAACAAAATTTAAAACTTTGAGAGAAAAACAATGTGGTTAGAAAAAGTTAAAGAAGAGAAGAAGGAGAAAATTCAAAGTAGGAAAAACACTGATCTAGCTAGAGAGATTGTCACGAAAGTAATGAGATGGGTACAGCTCTATATAGAAACCAAGAAGCCGCTGTTGTGCGCCACGTTTCCGTATACGTGTCAGATACGTATTTTGTCTGTCACATCAATTACACGTTGCTGACTAGGATTTTGAGTGTTATGTGGGGCCGTGACACGTGAGCTTCCATGTACAATATTTATCATGTTGCGCTTAGTGTCTTGAGTTGGACTATTGCAACCCGATTATTATTATTATTATAATTTATATGCCACAGCAATTAATTTCACTGTTGAAAATTACTTCACCTTTTGATTCTACGTATCTGTAATTTTATATGGATCAATGCAACTTCAAACAGAAATAACCATAAAGAATATTAAAATGAATGTATTTTCATTAATTGAATAATTAATTGACACAGGAAATAGATGGGAGGTAACAAATAGTAAATCAACACTCCAATTAATAAACTGTTTAGGATCTCCATTTAAAAATATGTTATACATATTACAAAATATAAAAGTAAACATATACACGATTTGCAGTTCAGTGAGTAAATTACACCAAATATTGATCCGTAAATAGAAAAATGTGTAATAATTATTACAGATTGTAGTAAAATATACATATGGCGTTTTCATGAACATCAATTTAAAAACTATATACTGTTTATATTTCTTTTTAAATTGTAATATGTCACTCGATGGGGATATAGTTCATTAATAAATTAAAAGGTAGTTTCACGAGTTTGATATTTATTATATTAATATTAATGTGTACGAACAATCACATCATTGACTCTATTTGATCTTCATGAATTTGGACTGCAATTATTCCAAAGGTGGCTGTGCATCCGAGTGGTCCATTCTAAATTGCTAGTGAGTTCCTGTTTCATATTTGTTGGATCGTCTATTCTGTTTCCTTTTAACTTATGTTTTTATTTTTCAAAAATATCATTATTTATTAGTTATTATTCTTTTAAAAATATTATATAAATGTTTGTAAGTAGTATAATTTAAAATATATATAGATATATATATTAATTTACTTTTTAAAATTTTTGGGAAATTAAATAACTCTTGTGCAGTCAAACTAAAATATTAAGTATACTTTTCAGAGGACTAAGATGATGAAGGCTGTTTTGCCATCCCAACCTGTCATCATTTTCCATTTTGCCACAATGTTCAAAGTTCAAACATACCAACCTATCTCATTTAGAACAATGTTATAATTTATATAATTAATGTTGATTTGCCAAGATTTTATCAATTTTGTTGCCGATCCATTTGCTGATAAATGGTAAGCATACCAGCATCGTTCTCTGAAAAAAGAAATTTCATACTTATTTAATAATTAACAAAGTTTTGCTAACATTATATAAATTATATTAAATTTTAGAAATATATAAATAAAAAATTAAAAGCATACTCTACTACTGAGTTGACTCCCTTGTTGCTATAAACGTGAATATTAAAGAATTTTCCTAGATAATATTGTGACATTTTTTTTAATTACAGCTCAAATAACCAGCATACAATAATTAAATTACGATCAAATACACGAGAAATTCGTCTATTAAATAGCATGATTTCCTTAAAAAAATTATTTTTTTTTAAAAAAATCATATAGCTTCTACACTATTCATTACAATATTTATATTTAATATTTATCTATCTCACTCTTTTACATTAAAAATCCCCATATATATAATGAGAGAGTTTTTTTTTAATCATATAATTATAAATAAAAAATTAAAATTATTTTTAATTATTACACGGTGTTTTACACATCAAATAACTTGCTAAATAGTCCTCAACATATGAAAAACAATGGGAAGAGAACGCATAGCTGCGGTTTTGTTTGACACATCACATCACATGAGTATACCTCAGTGTACAGTAAGAACAAGACAATAGCTTCCAAAGCTACGTATGAATAAATAATAGCTTTATTATTATTCTTACCAAACGTTATTTAAAACTATCTACCTACAATTAACAGTATTTAAATATAGTGATTTTCGTATTAGTATTGATTATGGAGTACACAGTAGATAAGCACCACAACACTACTTGATTAGCTCTGTTTATCGTTTAGTTTACTTCATGTGTGGGCTAAGAAAAAAGTCCTTCGTTATTTTATAAAATTTGTCGACTCATATTTAAGGTAGTTATGTTATTATTCAATAGTGGTTAAATATTACATTATTTTTAAAAAATATATAAATTTAAACAAAAAATTGTAATTATTGAAATTAAATTTAATATATGTTGGAAATTAAAACTTATTTTTATTTTTATTGACGGTCCTTTTTTAATATCTAGTATAAGAGTAATTATAAGGCAAGTTGATCTGTGGGTTTGGGAAATACCTAAGAACAAACGAAACTGTCCAAAAGGTATGTGAATCTTATTCATATTTTTTAACCTCATATGTTATTTAGTATATTCGTATATAATAAAATTTAAATTAACTAAAATATTTCAAATATGATTATTTATATATATGTCAAATAAAATGAAATAAATAAATCTATCATTTAACAAACCAAGTTTAAGTGATTAAAAAAATCTTGACACTCATTTATAGGCTTAACCCATATATATTATATATTATAAATGTAAAAATGCATGCATTTATTCATGTTTATTTATATATTGTTGCCCATTAAAAACTCAGCCCTTCTACACAAGTAACAATTGAAAAAAATAAAATAAAATTCTCCTACAACAAAAATTCATAGCAAACTTCATCTGATACTTATTAATTTAGAGCTTTTAATTGTTGTCTTAGTTTATAGATAGATAGTGTCTAGCTCACCCATATTCAACCTCAAAAGCTCATAAATAAAGGTATGCGAATCTTATCTATATATATTTTTAAAATGACGCCAGTTTTATTTTTATAATTAAAAATTAATTGCAAATCGCATTCACTCGTACGTGGCGATAATAATTACTACAAAAGCAAATTGAAATTAAAAATAAAGTTTAAGCCAATACGATACATGCACTGCTTTACATTCTTCATCATTATATATGTCAAAAAAGTGGCGTTCTAATTAACAAATCCAATTAGATATACAACTTTATTTGTTTACTAATTCATTCACATATAGTTGACTATATTAAACTCTTTCAAAGTGCATGGTTCGCAGCTGGTACTTGGTTCTTAATTATAAGTACTTATTATTAATTATACCTTAGTTGTCATTTTCATTTTGAAAATATAATGATGGTTTGAAACATGTTGCCTATTTTGATATCATACACATCGAAAACAACTATATACATGTTGCTGTTATTATATATAGTCGTCCCGTTCTCAACTTCTCATCTACACTTACCATTTTGTAAAAGATTTATATATGAATGTGAAGTTCAGCAAATGTTTCTTTGCTAGAATAAGCCATATCTACCTCCCTAATATGATGATGTGCCTACAACCAAATTAAAATGACGGAAAGGAGGTTACTCTTTTTTGTTTGAAAGTGAAGCATAAGTGCTTTTCATCGTCAATGTTAGGGATGAGAATCCCTCAAACATATATATGTTAGTGGCGACATTAATGTTTGCAATTGACCTTAACATGACCTAAGATTAGTAAACCGGTTAAAGTTTCTTGGAAAGTTTTATTGTCGTATGTGTGTGTGATCATCCTCATAATTTCTCCAGTTAGGAATATTGACATTAATATATACAACACAATACCATCTTATTGTTAAAATAATAATACTACTACACTAACACTGATGATCATTATTTCATCTAATAATATTCTATTATTATGATAAAGGATAAATAACTAATAATAATAATTTTTTATTAAATTTTATGGTTCTTTAGTTTTATTTGGTACATAAACGAGTGTTCTTTAATTTTTATGTTTTTCAAAATATTGGGCACCACAACTTTCATTAAGATATGTGTTAATCTATTTTTAAAAAAAATACAAAATAAAGAATGATTTACCCTTCAATATTTTATTTTGTAATTTTTACTTTGACAGCTTAATTTAGGTTTATTACTCCCCGTCAAGATTATTGGGTGGTTGTTTGTTTGTTACCATGATCAGGGTAAGTGTGATTTCGATCCATTGGTTTTGGAGATAAAAAAGGGATGAAAAGATGACATGACTCTCACTTAGACCATCTTTAATGATGTTACTTGGTCAAATTACTAAATTTTTATTCAAATCTTACAATATACATCACATATTTTTTAATCTTTTAAATTGATCAAATAACTTTTATTTCCAATAGTTTAATTTTTATAAGTTTATTAAATATGTTTCGTAAATTGTCCCACATTTTTTCATGTCATTTTGACATTATTTCTTTCTTGTATTTGATCAACGTTACTGAATGGTATCAATTCAATGTTGAAAACCCATTTTTATTTCATTTTTCTAACTTTTTTAACCCACGACAGTAGCATGCATAGAACCTTTTTAAATTTGCAAAATTCATGCCTTCATCCATCTACCCTTTCGTTTTTTCTCTTAATTTTCTAGCAAAGTTCACATTTTCTCGTCATCTCTTCCATATTGAACTCACTCTCTTCATTTTGTTGGTCAGGCCTGATTTTTTATTTTTATTTTTATTTAAGCAAAAGAGTATGCTATCTTGGAGACAATTCTATTTTAGGACTAATTGAGATTTTTGTGCCACCTATAAATAATGATACGACAAATTATTATTCCATCACTATATAACAAAAAAAAAATAATGATAAAGATTAAACACACAAATATCTATACTACATTTATGTAAAATTATCATTTTCTTATTATACTTCAACAATATCGCACTCCTAATAACTTCAAATATTTTGTTTGTTATTTTTAATATGAAGATTGAATCTAATATAAAAAAGGTACCTAATAATTAAACAAGAATATTAAGCTTAAATATATTTTTGTGTAATTTTTTATTATAATTCTTATAAAAGTTTTTATTTTAAATTTTGACGAATTAAAATGAATAATTTTTTTATAAAAACAATAGCAAGAAAAGAATTTAAACCTTATAAAGTATAAAATAAAGGGGGCAACAACCTGCATGGGACATCCAGTTTATGTTAGACCAGGCTATGTGAAAGCAAAATTGGATTAAAATTTTCAGAATCTATCCTACACAATATATCGGATATTTTTAGCAATAAATAAGCTTTTTATTTTGTTTTCTTTTTACATCATTTTTTTTAATCACATCACTCCTTTTCAAAAAAACAATTAAAAATATGTTAATTATTTGAAAAATTAAATTTAAAGATCAGAAAAGAGGAAGCATGATGCTAAAAGCAACTACTACCACATTCCAAGAAAAACAACATCCCCTTTTCCCAAAAATCTATGCACGAAAAACACTAGCCACAATTTTTTGTTCAATAATTAGGGCCACAGTACGGCCCAAGAAAGCTGTGGCAGTGTGGCCCAATTTGTCTGCCCTTTCCTTCAGCAGAAAAACAAATGGATTTGGTAGAACGTTTTATTGATTAGGGTTTCTATTTGTTTGGAGTGAATCGTTTGTTTGTATCAGTTGCCTCAGAGTGACACACAGAGCAATGGAAGCAATCACGGAGGGAGTGAACAACATCAACATTTCCGATTCTTTCAAGAAGAATCGCATTCAGGTCTCCAACACCAAAAAGCCCCTCTTTTTCTACGTTAATCTCGCTAAGGTAATCTTCAAAATCATTTCCCTTTCCATATTCAAGTTTCAAACTTGTGAAATTGTTCAGTTATGGGTCATCTTTAATTATTGCGTATACCTTCAATTTTGTTTAATTTTTTGTTACTTTGTTTTGTCGCATTATTGTTATTTATTTATTTATTGCAGAGGTATATGCAGCAGCATAATGAGGTTGAGCTCTCAGCACTAGGAATGGGTATCGCATCTTGGAACTAAATCCCTTTTCTTCTTTTTGTTTTTGCGCATTTTGTAATGGGGACTTTCCCCTTTAATCGTTGAGTTTTTTTAATTTAATTATTTCATGGATCACTTTAATTATGTTAATTAAAAATTGTAATAAACTGAAGAATAGTATATATTGGAACTATATTGAACTGTAGAATGTAGATGCTGCCTTTGATACGAATGTTGCATGTTGCGTGTTGCATATTGCATATTGCATATCAGTCTTCGTAAACATGATTTTCTTATAGGTAGTCTCTGTAAATGTTTTAAGGCCTTGGCCAGTTGAACAGGTGGTTAAGGTGTTATTTAGGTTTCTTTCGCTGCCTCTGTGACTCTGTCTTCCCTGAACATGGACAGAGTAAAGCTAGGTATACTCTTATTGTATTAGTCTGTTAGGATCTAGCATATTTATTGAAAAGGAAAAAAGAAATTCTGCTTCTGCCAATGATATAATATGTAAAAGAAATTGAGATTTGTGAACAAATAACATAACTTGTGCATTTAAGAAGCCATTTGAGATCTGATTCTGATAGGAAAACAGCTCCTGTCTATAAAATTTTATTTTGTATTGATGATGAAATTTAAACTCCCCTTGCAGTTTTAATCTGGGGTTTAAGTTTATTACATATACATTTCATGATTTATAGATTCATTCCGTTGAAGTTTGATAATGGCCAACCTATTTTCTTGGTGATATTTGTCCTATTTCTGATATCCTTTTTTTTTTATTGTCACAGCTATCGCTACAGTGGTTACTGTAGCTGAAATATTGAAAAATAATGGGCTTGCTGTTGAAAAGAGTGAGATTTTACGTTCTCTTTTTGAGTGAATTGTCTCCCTTTCGCCGCTCTCAAATTCTTGAACAATCAAATTTGATTCATGATGGAATCTTTTTTGTAGAAATCATGACATCAACAGTTGACATCAAAGATGATTCTAGAGGTAGACCAGTCCAAAAGGCCAAGGTAAGGATGAAACCACAATTCTTGCTGACTTTAGAATATGTATTTTATTAATCATTCCAACTTATGGCTTTGGATTCTGCTTTATGACTTACCTTGTAAGTACTACATGTTTGTATCATGTTTTAGATTGAAATATTATTGGGGAAGACTGCGAATTTCGATGAGCTGATGGCTGCCGCAGCTGCGGAGGAAGGTGAAAATGGAGATGTTGAGGAGCACACCGCATGAAGTTTATCAAAATTACACCTGTCTCGGGTGAAGATATGTACTCTTTAATGAATTGCATTTGTGTTATTAGTAGGTAGTGGACAAGCACAGAATTCATTATAGAGTGATCTGGTATGTTGAACTATGTAATTCCTTCATTTCTTTCCCATATAAATAGAGTTTTTTTGTGTGTTCACCTATGCTGGGTTCGGTTGGTCGTTTTTCATTGGAAAGGGTGGATTGGCACATTTAACTACTAAATTTTGAACTAGTTTTGGGATAATACAGCTCATAATATCAAATATTTACTGATCATAAACATTGCTAACTACGTACGAAGCCTTTGGTTTTGTGAATTTATTAGCTCAATATGGATCTTGCCAATGAGAAATATATGGACGGCAAAAGATCCATGATTTGTGGGGATTTTATTTGGCTCTCTTACATTTGAGGACCTAAATGCCTTTATGGTCTATGGTCCTAATAGTAGGAGGCATACTAAAATTAAAAGTTCTTTGAATATAAATGAAGATATTCATTGCATTTCGTATTCAAAATATTACTAGATTTTTAAAGCGATCAAATGGAAAAAGCGGAAGTAATTTGATAAAATAAATCAGCAATGGCTGTATATGTTTTAAGCCATTAACAATCATGTCATACTAGTTTTGTTTAACACAATTCCTAATACATTGTTTTGGCGTGTAGCTATCCACAATCGATTCCTATTTAAAGTTAGACCGTCAATTTTATGAAAAAACCAATTTCGAGACACATTTACTGACAACAATAATTTTTGCTCTGAGAGGAATCAATATTGTCGCATAATTGTTGTCAAGTCTCTCTTGAATGGTCACAAAAGGCCTGTTTGTCCACAGCGAATAATTGATTTTGCATGAAGTTAGAAAAAGTGTTATTATTCAATGTACTACATCTTAATGTCTGTGAAACACATTTTTAGTCGTTAACTTTACAACAGGATTGCTAATACAGAGACACGAACATGTCCGTACTATTTTTTTTCAACACTAAATTTGATTAACTAGAAGTCATGAGCTATCAACTAAAATGTTATGTCAAACTGACTAATTATTGTTACAAGAAGCCATTTATTATTATTATTATTAAGGCCATCCCTATTTTGCAAATAAGGACCGTGTAGGACACGGACGTTAATCTTGCTCAAAAGGGTGTTGTTTTTTAGGCATTGATCAAATAACTAATAAATATTTTTAGTATTTTACTAAAAAAATTATGATAAAAATACATATTATAATATTATAAATACTTTCTGATAAATTATTTTTGTATTTAATTTCTTAATACTATTGACAATTAAATTTTATTAAAAGGAGTAGAGAGATTAAAAAAACTTCAAAATAAATTATCAAAAGAGATTTGATTATAAAAGCATTTTTAAAAATTTAATTTTTTACTGAGTTGACTGGTGATTCATGTAATCTATTTTACTTATTGAAATAAAACTTAATTATTGTTTGCATACAATTTTTATTCAAATTCATTGCAATGTACAAAACTAAAAAGTATAGCGACCAAAAGAGTTGTATTTTATTTGGAAAAAAAAACAAAACAGAAGACCCAAATGTAATATGCTGCATACAGCGAAGCGATTTTTCACCGACATTCCATCGTCGTCGCAATCGTAGAGACAAACCGTTCTGTGATCAAATGGTCGTTTTTTCTGTGAAACCCTTATTCAGCCTTCTTGTCATCTCACTCTCACTTGTTCTCGTTCTCGCATTGCTATTCACTCCTTCACGTTTCTCCCAAAGTCAAATTTCTGGGGAACCCTCACTGTATGTTAACAATTTTCAATTCCCTTCTTTTCTAAGGATTGAATCTGCTAAAAAGTTTTGAACTTGGCAACTAGGCATTTTGAATATGGAATTTAGCATCTTGGGCAGTGACGTTTTTGGTTTTTGTTGCTGATCTCTGAAATGTGTTGTTCAGAGGGGAGGTGGATATATGGAGTGTTCGGAGACTCGTGGAATGGAAACCTTGCAATTGGTGGCTACAAGGTCACCTAACAGGTACTTTTCTCTTAATCATTTGATTCAGCTTTGGAGTGTAAAATTATGTTCTCTTGAATGAACTTTCGTGATTACTAGATTCATTTAGTGAAAATGAGTTCGGGATTGGTTTTTGCATTCATTTAGTAAGTCAGAGTCTCATAGGAAATAGTGATTAAACTTTATGAAATTACTTGAAATAACTCTACTTGTTTTGAATAATTGTAAGTTAGGACATAGGCTTGGTTTTTCATTGTATTGGAACTTGGAATTGGCAATGGATAGGATCAAATTGTTGAGGGTGAGGGTTGCTGATTGGCTTTTTATTTTCTGAATCAACCTTAATTGGCTTTCATTGCAGACAATTGCTTTCCTTTTTTTGTTTGTTGTTGAAATGGTGCAGCTCTACCATTAGAAACCAATGGATATATCAGAGTTGATTGCTATGGAGGCCTGAATCAGATGCGAAGAGATGTGAGTGCTTGAAGAAAATGTTCAATACTGTTTTGCTGCATTCTTAAAATTGAGATAAAATCTACAATGGTTGTTGCAGTTCTGTGATGGTGTGGGCGTTGCTCGACTCTTAAATGCAACCCTTGTCCTGCCAAAGTTTGAAGTGGCTGCATATTGGAATGAAACAAGGCAATTTTCCTTTCCATTTCTGTGGAACTGTTCTAATTGTAATATTTTATTAGAAATTTTCTTTATTGGTTGGTTAGTAAATTTTGTTGTTCTATCATCTGATCTATCTTATTCCAAGTTTCGATGTTCCACTTGCCTTAGTCCTGCTAAAATTACTTCTGAATACTCGATTCAAATTATAGTGGTTTTGCAGATGTATATGATGTAGACTATTTCATTCAACAAATGAATGGCTTTGTCAAAGTCGTGAAAGAGATACCACCAGAGATTGCATCAAAAGAACCCGTTCGAGTAGACTGTAGCAAACGAAAGGGGCAATTTGATTATGTTGAAAGTGTTCTTCCATCTTTGTTAAAGCACAAATACATTTCCATCACACCAGCAATGTCTCAAAGAAGAGACAGGTATGATTATGCATCTCACCTCCATCAATTGCGACGTGTTAACTGTCTCTTTCTTAGTTGAGACTGGATATTAATTGCTTTTAAAATATAAACATCTTGGATATCGTTGATTGAAATAATTTCATACTGAATAATTTGCTTCCAATTTATTTTTCTTTTCCCTTTCTCTGTATTTTGAGGAGGATTTACCTCATTATGTCAATCTTATAATGAGTAAATTCTTAGCATTTTTAGTATAACTTTTTACAAGCAAAATTATTTGTGACAGCATTTGTCTTCATCCATTGTCAAAGTTGTCAACATGATATATTGATATATATTATCTACTATTGCTATGAGCTTTTCCTTGAAGCTTGATCCACTTAATACTGGTGAGAATAATTCATTTGAGTTGCAATTGATACAATCAACTTCAGTCGTCATGAAGCTAGCTATAGCTTAAATTAGAGAATAAGATAGAAGGAATGCCATTCAGTAATCCAGAATGAATAAACTGCTATGGAAAATGGGAGCTATAAGATTATTTTGCTTGAACCTCCCCCCTCCCCCCTCCCCCCTCCCCCTCTTTATTTTTCAGTTATAATTGAGTTTGGTTGTTCTTTGACTTCCTTCTACCGTTGCAGAAACCCTTTGTATGCAAAAGCTGCTCTCTGTCAAGCTTGTTACAAGGCATTACGTCTCACCAGATCCTTGGAAATGAAAGCCTCTCAGCTCCTTGATGCAATACCTAAACCGTTTTTGTCTCTTCATCTTCGTTTTGAGCCAGACATGGTTGCATACAGCCAGTGCGAGTACCCAGGGCTTTCTCCTGCTTCCATCAAAGCCATAGAAGCCGCACAGGTGGACAGAAAACCATGGACTGGAGAATTGGCCCGCATTTGGAGACAACGGGGGAAATGTCCCCTTACACCTAATGAGACAACTTTAATACTTCAATCTCTTTCCATCTCACCAACCACAAATATATACTTGGCAGCTGGAGATGGTCTGATGGAAATTGAAGGGTTGACAGATACTTACACTAACATATTTACCAAGTCTAGCCTTCTCAGTGGGGAAGACTTCACAAGCATGCATGGCAATACAAAAGCTGCTTTGGATTATTATGTGTCTATTAACAGTGATTCATATATAGCTACATATTTTGGGAACATGGATAAGATGGTTGCAGCAATGAGAGCTTTCAAAGGTTTGTACAGAACACTATTTTTGAGCAGAAAAGGTTTTGCAGAATTAACCTCACAGGGTCTTGAGGGAAAGGAGTTGATGCAAGCCCTATGGAAGCTTCACAGAGATGATTTTGCCATGGGAAGAGGCTCTGCTCTACCCGAGTGTTTTTGCGAATTCAAGTTGTGATTTTGGGTCTGGGATTCATCACTTTTTACTTCTGGCATTATGCTGCATATGAAGTGCTAGTGTGTCACTTTTCAGAAAGGCACCCCTTAGCTTCTGTCAGCTTGTTTTTTCGTTTGTATTGATGTTATGTTTTATTTATTTATTAAACACTCTCACTAATGAATTTTTGGCACAATTAGTGTATGGACAGTAGTGGGCATACAATTATAAATACCCATCGTGTTATTGATCAAGTGGGCACACATGATCATTTCAAGTGCATGCATGTCTCTGAATGCCCTATTTTAGCTTCGTGGTTTTGCGTTTTCATGCTTTAGAATTTTCTTTCGTGTTCTTTGTTTAACTTAGAAATTACTAAATTCATTTATTTAAGCATTCTTTATCTGCCACCATTATACTTCATAACAAGATACCTGAAATTATGCTAAATATTTGAAGTATATACAAATGATTAGCAATTAAATATGACTTAAAAGAGGAATTTCTTTTAAAGTTTTTTCTTGATGTTAACTAACTATCCATTCTTTTTAAAACGTTGATATACTCTCTCGGCCTTATCTTTTGGGAAAAAAAACATATGTTAGCAAAATACAATTTCAATTTGTTAAAATATATTTTTTTAAAATAGTTTGATGACATATATCGGTCTCAAAGATAAGACACTCACTCTTAAATACGCATCATATGGTTTACCACTTTCACCATAACACCAATCACTTAGGCATATTTAGCTGCTAATTGCTTAATTAACTTCACTGTGATAACGAAAGTTGTTTCCCCGTCTTCCATTCGGCTGCAAGTGACTCAAGCCTTCAATTTTGTTGATAGAAACAGAGTATGAATGAGTAATCCATTCTGGTTAAGATGACACTAGAAGAGAAGGATGGGGAACCTTGAAGAAAGCTTGCTCGTCACAATGTTTGATTATATACACCAAGAAGATATGACCCATCCCTCGATTCCCAAAATACAACTTACAACATATGCACCCGCTTTGTGTGTTGGGCCATTTGATTTGGCGGGTGATGGTTCCCAAACAGGAGAATCGTGACGTTAAAAAGCTGGCAACTCTTGAAAGTGTAATAGTTTTTTTTTTTTTTTTGTTCTTTCTTCATTTTCCATTAAGATCGAGGGGAATAAGTTATCGCTAAGCGTATAGGGTCTAGATATTTCAAAATTAATAGAAAACCATACGAAATTATATATAGACATGAATTTGCCAACAAGTCCAGAGAGCATATATTAGGAAAATGACAAGTTTTCCATTTTTCATGACAAACTTTGTGATGTTAACCGTCGCTTATAATGACTTTTCCGTCCTCTATCATCAACAACCGGAAATATCAGCAAATTTATTGGCCTAGGATATTAAATAAGAAAAACTCAAGTTAATCCCTTCAAATACTTCCGTTCTTGTTTACCTATCCAAAAAAATTCAAGACAAAATTGTTAACTTTTTTAATAAACAAAATATTTACATTTATTGGATATTTCTAACAATAATCAATCTCTTTAATCTATTTTTTTTTTCTCTCTAAAAATAAATATAATCAAAGGCAATATATAAATTTCATCAATTACTGAGCTCTGTAAATTCTATCCTGTTATGAGTACTGAAAAGTGTTCTGCGAGGGTATCTTTCTAACATTTCTCTTCCTCTCAATCACCCCTAACCTAGCAATGGCATATCAAAAACCGATGAATAGAATTACACCAAACTCTAACAACAAATACTTGCAGTCGCAACATCACCATAAAAACACCATCCCTCGACTCTAAAAAACAACACAAAGCGATATTGCCAACCACAGTAGTGCCTCAAAAGAACAGTGATATCTAATCTGGCCCAGAAATTCAATCATAAATAATCGATGTGGGTGCGAGAGCGGGGAGAGGGGGCGGGGTGGTTAAATTCGTTCAATTCAACTTATAAAACAGCACGAATAATTATAGCAAGTGCCACTACTGAAAATGTTCAACGAATAGATGATTAACAATACATTTATAAGCTACGCTGACTCTATTTCGCATTTCTACATCTGAATAAAACGCGGATACAGGAGCATAAAAAAAAGTTGAATTACTGATACATCTCCTCAGTCTCACAGGGAGTCATTCAAATTGGCCAATATTCCGTACAATTTAAAGAATAACATCGTTGGTTAAATAGTGTGCCGAAACTCTCAAATTGATGAAATGCCGACTAATCCATCCCCGACAGCAATAAATCATTCGCATTCCACCTCCTAATTGTCTCGTAACTTCATCAGTTTGGCACTGCAAAAAATAAAAATGATGTTACATTTATATGACCTAGTTACAAACCTACTCGATAACAAAAAGAAAAATTTGTTTGGTAAATAATGTTACGCATAAAAAGAAGAAAACGGAATGGAACATAATAGACCGGAACTGGACCAATGAGGTCTGCATTCTGTTTGGTAAATTTAGAACTGAACAGGACCACGTGTTTTGTTTTGCATTTGACAATTTTTATTTAAAACATTAGTATCTTAAAGTTTTTTAGTTCATACAAGAATTGTTAAAGCATTTATTAAGATAAAAACTTTGGATGGATTATTTTAATTTATAAAATACATTTTATAAATTATTCCAAAAGAATTATCATATAATAATCAAATTTGAGAATTTCCCATCTGAGAATGAAAACAATAATAACTGTATAAGCCAATGGATAATCATAAGAAAAACACATTAATAATTATGAAACAGTTGTCAGGAGATATCAACAAAACTAACTGAAAGGTGTGAAACAAAATAACTAACGAAGAGCCTGAAAAAAATAAGAAGCTTATTAACTTGATGGAACCTCAAAATTTATTTCAGGGGATAACTAGGAATTTTGAATCATCAAAAATGTCTTCGTTGGCCCAGAATTGATATGGTTAAGTGATGGAGCAGTAATGGGTGATCGATATGTAAAAATATTTTAGTTTTATTTTTGCTAATGAGAAATAGATAATAAAGTCGAAACAAAATGTCCCAATTGTTAATTCTTATGCCTCATTGTGTTCGATTTTAAAACTAATACCAAACATAAGAGTAGAACTCGTATTATGTTGTGTTCTGACCTGTCTACCAAATGCTACTTCAGAGTTAATCAACTCAGAACCTGCTCTGCTTTAGACTCAAGTCTCAAATCAGAGTGTTTGAGAAAGTACTACTATATGCAAACATCAAACTTCTAATTCTGATAAACTTTGTGCATCTACTCAAATATGATTTAAGTCAAAACTAGTTAAGCATCCAGGAAAATCATCTTACTGTATGTAGAAGTGTCAATTTGTTCAGGAAGCTCCTTTATATCAACCTCAAACCTAGATTGCACCTGAAATCAGAGTTTAGATATTAGTTACTAAAAAACATTGCATGATGAAACATCCGTTTATTCCTCCATCCTCTTCTCAATAACAGCAGCACAAACAAACAACTCCTATATCTCTATGAAAGTGGAACTTAACCTGATTTAGAACTTCGGAGTCTGCGGTAGAGGACACAAATGTAATTGCAAGCCCCTTAGTGCCAAATCTACCAGCCCTTCCCACCTATCAATTCACATGTTGACAAAGCATCCAACAGTGGAAAGAACAGAGATCAATTACAAGCATGTCAGCACACCACAAACCCATGCCAGAAAATATATTTAAGAGAAAATAAATTTTATAATATGGATCCAGCAATTACCCTGTGCAAGTAAGTATCAGCAGAGTCAGGCATGTCATAGTTGATAACTATATTAACACGTTCTATATCAATCCCCCTTCCAACTAAGTCTGTTGCCACAAGAATCCTTTGCTTCCCTTCCTTGAAGCCCTTGTATCGTTTCAATCTGAACAGGGAAATGCATTCTATTGAGAATAAAAAGTTGTGAAACTGCAATTACTAGATAAAAATCAACATCCCTGCAAAAACACACTAAATGTGTAAATTATTCCAAAAGTGATAGGGTGACCTGATCTCACCCACCAAGTAATGCCAAACCAGTCTACCCCACTTGGAATTGACACTTACGAGGACCAGACCAATATTTACCGAGCCAAGGATAGGCACATTTTAACAGTTCTTTACAGGTAAAACAACCCAAAGGTTAAAAAAACTTCAAGCATATAAAAAATCAGCATAAAGCATTAAAAATGCATGAAAACTATGCATATACCACCAATTTCAAAATAATTTGTAAATACCTCTCTTCCTGTGACATAGCAGAATGTATGCAGATTGATGGGAAATTACATTCCACAAGCAACTTGTTCAACTCTGCAGCTCTGCTGACACTTTTGACAAAAATAACAACTTGGTTGAAGTCCAACGCATCAAGAAGATCATTCAATTTACGATTCTTCTCAGACTCTTGCAATTTGATGTAGTGCTGAAAAGGTGACCAATGAACAGAAATAAGCTAATGGACATAATTTGATTCAAAAAATTAACAAGAGGAGGGGAAAATGTTCATAAAACACACCTGGACAAGACCATGAAGAGTCAATTTGGCCTCATCATCCACATAAATTTCCATAGGCTGAACAAAAAAGATCATCAATGAGAGGATAAAGATAACTTTAATTAAAGAAAACAGATATATAGATTTCAGTGATTTTGATTCATAAAACAGTGATTGCAGTAACGTTTAACAAAGGACAAAGAGTTCAAAACTTATTGCAAATATAACTACAGAAAAAACAAAAATGCTTCAAAAAGTTAACGATTTTGATGGAAAAAAGGGCAGCAATGCTATTCACCAATAATAGCAACATCACATTAAGCGGAACAATGAAAACCATCCACCCATATTAAGTAAAAGAAATCACCACATAAATATAATATTACATCTTGCATAAATTTCTTGCAAACAGGTCTGATCTCTTTGCTGAGTGTAGCTGAAAACATCATCACTTGCTTATCATGTGGAGTCAATTTGAAAATCTCTTGGACATCTCTTCTCATATCTGTGGAGGACATACATACAGAAGATATGTTAAGAAATAAAAAATGCAGATGTTGCATAGTTTGAAAATGCAACACCACAAATACACAAATTTACAGAGAGAATGGAGAAAGAGACCAAGTGATTCAAGCATCTTGTCACACTCATCAAGTATAAAATGCCTCACATTCTTTAAACCTAGGTCCTTGTCTCTAGCCAGAGCAAGAATCCTCCCAGGTGTTCCAACAACAATGTGAGGACATTCATTCTTGAGCAATTCTTTGTGAACCTTGATATTGACACCACCATAAAAAACAGCAACCTTTATATCAGGAAGATAAGTGCTGAATCTCTTAAATTCATGGCAAATCTGAACAAATTCAACAAAAAAAGAAGCTTCTGTTAAAGTACACATGCACACAAATGTTATTCAGTTAGTGTTTGGAAACACAAGTAAAACAGTTCAGATATATTATTATATCCAAATTAATGTACGCATACCTGATAGGCAAGTTCTCTTGTGTGGCAAAGAACAAGAGCTGCAACTTGACCAGGAACAGGATCAATTTGCTGAAGAGTTGAAAGAACAAAAACAGCAGTCTTTCCCATTCCAGATTTTGCTTGGCAAATGACATCCATTCCTAAAATTGCTTGAGGGATGCATTCGTGTTGCACTAATGAAGAAGCAAACAAAATTGTAGTGGACGAATCCTCAGTAAGTATATATGATCTGCCAGATCCTTTTAATGTAAAGGTTTACCAACCAATTTTCGTGACGTATTCATAAGCTATTAAGGATTACCTGAAAATTTCAGGGGGAAAAAACATCAGAGAAAATCATAATAATGAAAAGAGACTAGGATAAATAAATAAAATAGTTATCAATTCAAGTTTTGAACAACAGTACATTTTTTAATAGCAGCCGCAATTGTGGTGCTCTCATAGTGGGTGCGATATTAGAGTGAGGCTTTTTTGACAACCCATTTTTGCCATCAAAATAGCAGCATTGGAGAGGGGGTGTTTAGGGACAAAGTTGAGATTTCCCTGTCCTTTTTAAGAATTTAAAAAAGCCACAATTGGATTGAGTTTCCCATGCTTTTATCTATGGCACAATACTCACACTGTACACCCACCCATTTCCAGCACTATTTCTCGCAACAATTACATTCCATTTTGTTTTCTACTTTGAACCCTGAATACCTCCACTCTGAACGCTCAACCTCCTCTGTTCTTTTCTCTTAGAAACACCCATTCTCACTTTTTAAGATAAGGCTTGAAATTTGAACTCTGAATCTGCACTGAACACCCCACTTAGTAGAATACAGCTTTGTTGTTGTTTAAGATGCATTTGAAACATGAATATGTTGTGAATTTTGTTCGTTTCCTTGAGTTTTATTGTTGTTTACTGGTATGTTTTGCTTAAAACCTATGACCCTTTATTGTATAAATATGTCATGAAGGTTGAGTATTTTTTTTAAAAATTTAGCATTTATATGTATAAATTATTTTAAAATTTGGAACATCATCCATCAATATCGCTATACAGTTTTTAGGGTAGCAGCTACACACTACTATCCAAGATTTTTGATAAATAATGAGATAAACAAGCAAGAAATTCTCCAGTAGATGAATATGATAAGATGAATAAATGTGTCTGGAATCTGGATTAACTTCTGAGATCAAAAAAGCCTTTTATGATAACTCCGAAAAAAGATTTCAAGGAAAAAGAGGCAATTATTTCCTCCCAAGAAACCAAACAAGCATGCCCTAAATTGTACAATGATCAGTAAGCCACACCCTAGAAAAATATACACTTGAGACACCAATGAATTCAACATAGCACAAAATATATTGAGAATGGTAACAAAAAGTACAAAATATCAGGATCAATAGCATTGGCAATGGAACCAACTAAGAGCACAGGTAAGCAGGCCATCTAGAATTACTAGAAAGAAAAATACAACTTAATGAACGCCCAACACAAGACAAGTTTATATAAACTATTTGATGATCCATCTATATTAGAGTCATGCAATGACAGTATAGCTAAAACTTGCCTTCGGATGGATGCTCAAACCCCGAATCTACAATGGCTCGAAGAAGCTCTGGTTTCAACAGGAAGTCTCTAAATCCCGAACTATGGATCCCAACATAACCCCTGCACCACAAAATTTATACACAATATGAGTAAAGGGGTAACATCTAAGTTTCCCTATAAAACCCAATCAAATAAATATTTAATTACAAAGAGTTGCATTGATATGTCACAAGAATCTTAAAGCCAAACATTAATAAACATGTAGAAATAGCATACAAGACCCTCTCCAATACGCATGATATAGAACAATTTTTATCAGAATTCAGCACCACAAAAGCAAGCCCATGAAGCACAAACATACTATATCCTACTAACTTTAACCTTTATAGCTATACGTGGTATCACAACCTAATTTACGAATTTTATGAATTAGCATTCTCATAGCAACATATTTTGATTTTATTTTTTTTACTTTCTAAAATAAGTGGATAAGATAAAGGATATGGAAACTAACTTCTTGCCAGCTTCAGCAGCGGGTTTTGCAGAATCGGGGGCCTTTTCATCTTCTTCTTCGTAGTCGATGAGCTCTTCCTCGTAAGCCTCTGTGTCCTTCAATTCACCCATTCTACTTCTGTTGGTTAGGGTTAGAGTCTTCAGTTTCAGTTCGAGAGAATCATAGAGAGTGAATTGAATTGGTTTAACAGAGAGAGAGAGAGAGAGAGTATATAGTAGCTGACCTTAGATCACGCGAACAATTTAGAGGCTTCTTCAAAATGAAAAGTAAACCCTAGATCTGGTTTTGGGTTTAAGGCAGAGAAACAGTGAGAAACGGCTTCAGAGCCAATGACTCAGAAGATATAGTGCGTTCAACTCTTGAATAGACCAAATTGCCCATGCACTTTCCCTGCCGTACGACTTTAGGAACGATAGGTTCAAAAAATAATTATTGAAAAATTTGTTAATCAGTGCCCTTAATGAATAAAAATAAAATTATTTTATTAGAAAATTTAAAAATACTTCTCTCCATTAGTTTAAAGATGTCTTAACGTCGCTTTTAAGAAAATTTTATTATTTCTTAATTTCTTGATCAATGTCATTAACAAAACTACTAAAAGAATTGTTAACTTTTTTTTTTATATTGACTCTCAAATCTCCTCTTGGTTCAAATTTTCATAAACAAGAGGGGTCCTTTCCTTTAGTTTTGCAATTGTTATGGGCTATAATTAAAACTAATTTATAAATTAACTTCTATTTTTTTAAATTACATTTAATATTTTTATGAGTGTTTTATATATTTAAATTCATAATATTATAACATTATTAATAAAAATTACTATTTATTGAATTGTATTTTTATAGCAATATTAAGAACTAAAATGTAATGAAATATTAGTACACTGGTTAAAGTATAACTTTTTTTAATGTTTACAAACTAATTCATAAATAAATATTAATCATAGATATTTAATGTGTATTTTAATTAAAATTAAATAACTTACAGTACAATTATTCTTAGACTTAATGTTAATAGCGTTGTACTGAACTCATAAGTTCAATTTCATACATCTGTAAGAAATTGTTTGAAAGAGCATTTTTTATTTTAAATAATTATATTTTAATTTAATGTTTTTAAAAATAATATAAAATTAATTAATTATTATTATAAATAATACATGATTCTTTTAATTTAAAAAAAATTATTGTCTTTTCTTTTCTTTTTCTCTTTCAAAATTTTCTCACAAACACCCCCTAAAATGTATTCTCAGTTCATTGAAATGGTATCAAAATGAAATGTCTTTAACCAAGCCTGGAAACTCCTCATTCAATAAAATTAAGTATTGTTTTTTTGGTACTGTAGAGAATTAGGCTTTGCCACTGAAAAGCTTCATAGACTCTCCAATCCTTAGCTAACAACTGCCCAACATTCATGAAGATGGAGCAGTACTTAGGAAACTTGGGAGTGCCCTTCAAAATCCATAAAATAAGTATTGAATGAAAACATGGTTGATATAGCAAACAATATGCAAGTGATAAAAAGGAAGGCAAAGAAAAGCCAAATTATGATAAAAAAAAATAAAAATGATGATTCTAGTTTCTCTAAACAGAAAAACATCATATATAGAACAAGTTTCCACGTGTGTGATTTATTCATTTGGCTTCCTCTTCTACAATTCATTTATGATATTCCTGTTACCAGTTACACCATCTGGAATTGTTGTTTTACCAAAATATCAGGTTTATTCTACTAAGTATTGTTATTTAGTTTGTTAATCTTTCTTGCACTAACAATACAGAATGAGAACTGAGTAGAGTCCATGACAATTTACATTCACCATGATTCAAAATTTCAAATAAAAGGGTTCAACTTCAACTTAGCGATACCAAGGTTCATTCCTAGTTTCAGAATCTATGACAGAGTGCTCTTAGATAAAGCAATTCATGTAAGCAAACATAGATACCTTATAATTAATTACCCTAATTAATCAAGCTTAATCTTGTATTTCTGAAAGAGTGAAAGTTTTTGAAACTGCTGGTTTTAACACAAACAAAATGACGAAAGTCCCTCCTTCACATAGTTTCAGAAACCTACTACAACTACCCCATTCCATCAAAACCAAGCTAAACCCATTTCGCATCCAATCAAAATAACAGGAATCGATTAGCAAAATTCAATTTTTAGATATCAGCATGAGAAATTCGAGCTGTTGGAAACGAATTGAAGAAATTGATGGGGTTCCAGTATAACTGAGAAGCGCTGAGAAAAAATAAGAGTAAATATTGTCTCTCAATATACAAGCTTCAATCCTTTTAATTTATGATTTTACAAAAATTTTACTTTAATTTCTAACGTATGGTACTTCAACACTTAAATGTCCTCAAATGTTTTATTAACGGTATGTTTAATTGTTTATTATTGACTTTCCATTTTAACAAATGTGTTAGTATTGATTCATCTGTGTGCTGCAAGATATGACTAGAATCTTTAGTTTTATTTAAAAATTATTATTTCATTATTTTATAATTGAATGAAAAAAATTGAAAGAAGAACTTTCTTTTTTATAATAATTTTATCATTATCTCTTGAAGAGAATGCATGTGATTTAGACTAAAAAATAAATAAAAAATAATTGATTTCACCTCTTATCTTCGCATTGAAGAGAAACAAAAAGAAACAAGATGATTATCATTCCATTTCATGATGTTTTATTACATTTTCGTTCTATTTTATTGTTGGGAGTAAAATTGGTTTTCGACAAAGACCTTTTTGTTGTTTACAAGTGAACTTGCTGACAAAATATGCATAAAGTCAACTAGTAATTTCAGGACAAAATGTTAAATGCAATTTCATTCAATTAAATTGGTGTAGTACGATCAACAAGTACGAGTAAGCCAATAGTGTGAAACAAATTCGTCAACAAAAAATTACTGCTAGCAATGTGAGACAATTTTGTTCACTGCAGATTTGTTATCAATAGTGTACGATAAATTTATCAACTGAAAAATTGTTGTCGATGATCAAAGACAAATCTATCGATCAAAATTTTGTCGTCGACCATATGAGACAATTTTGTTAACCAAAAATTCATTGCCGACAATAGAGGATCAACCCAAAATTGATTGAAAAAATTGTCAATCACACTTTGCATGTTTTTCAATAGAAAAAAATATGTTACTGTAACAAGGTAAGTGAGTGGTTACTACAGCAAAAACATGATTACACGAGCATATTGATCTATGCCGACTAAATCAATGTGTCCATTTCATTGTTGTTGGGACAATCTACTCTGCAAGAGATTAGAATGGCAATTTTGGTGTTATAATACTAACATGAAAACTACTAGAACTTTAAATATCAAGTGAACTTAATGTCAGTGTTGTTACCAGCAGTGAGTGACAATTACCAAAAATAAATAAATAAAGATCGAAGCCTTCCATAGATCATGGTCCTTCTATCCATACTACTCGAATGTAACTATTCAAGATTTATACTTTGAATTGAAAATTATAAACAATTGTTTAAGAGTTTGAATTTTGAATTCAAATTTATAAACAACTATTAAGGGTTATTTTAGGCCTATCAACTAAAAATATATCTATCACATTCATAATTATAAATAATATAACGATAAACTTATACTGAAAATAGACATTATTAATTAGTAAATAGGTAACATTAAACACCGCTGGTACAGTGGTAAGTACATCGAAGCTGTAGTGCTTATGAAAGATCAACATAGCTTCACTTCACTTGTGTACTTCTTTTACACTTCCCATAAGTTTTAAATAAATTGCTAACTATCTCTTCAACATTATCATATGGACAGCTCATACAATAAGACAAACAAATTAGAAGCAGCAGCATCTTTCCACAGTAGTGCTCATTCGAAGTCAATTTAATCTTCCATGTTCTTGTTAGAAACACAAGTGCCATTACCTATGGAGCCTATAAAATCTCTACCACATGCACTTTGTTACTCCAAAATTCATTAATTTCCATTCAATGATGGGATGTTTCAGTCTTACACCCTTTATAGAATACAGATGAATCTCTTTTTCCATTCTCCTCTGCCATGCTTTGACATCACCCCATAAATTAATACGGGGTTCAATTCTTCATTGTCTTTCTTAAACTATTTTTTTAAGTAAGGGATTGAGGATTTTACTCCCAAACTGCAAATCATGACCAATTTAATTTCTTCATGCCTAATAAAACTTCCAATCTGGTAGAATTTTGCAAAAATTTGAAATGGTAGAATAGTATAATGCATGTTATGATCAACTCATCATTTTAAAACTACTCCAAACAATAAGAATAATAATTAAATATAATCATTTTAAAATAAATTAGATGTTAAAATCTTCTCTGTCGAAAATATTTTTTTTGGCAATAGTTATAATTGTCGGCAGGAATTTTCAATGTGAAAATTGATTATCTAGCTAATGATGATGGGATCACGAATCTTTCATCTGTCGATATCAATTTAAATTCCATCAATTATTAGCTTTCATAGTTATTAAAGAACCAAAGCCACGTCGTAGTCTCCGAAATTAGCATATGTTTTGATATGGGTACTTTAATTAGCAATGTTTCTTTGATTTTGACAAAGCATATGCATAAATACTTTGGGGTGCTTCTACACGGTCGTTAGATGTGATAGAGATATATATATATATATACAAGCATTATATACTAAATAATTTATATAAATGTATGGGTGTGGATAATCATGTTCCCCGGAATATATTCATAAATTGAAAAATAAAAATAAATGAACATGAAACATATTTAATATTCCAAAAAGGTTTAAGAATTATTTATTGATTTATTTTTGCAAAATAAATTAATAAAATGTTAGAATTATTTTTCTATTTCTCACACGTTAACAAAACAATAGGATCATGCCAAACGATAATTGCTAATATGTCGAGGGTCGACATCTATTGATGAAGTCACAACTACTTTTGTCGTGTTTTCTCTTTTACAAATTACGGAACAATCGTACACAGTTCCTGTTAGGTTTGGAAGAACATGAATCTTTGCTATTAGCTTTTGGAGATAATGAGTTGTGTTTTAAACGAAACTATGAGATGCTTGAGTCATAAAACATCGTATCCCTGCTGTGAGATTTCATTATAAAATATGAAATTTTTAAATTTTATTTATTGTTGATTTAAAGTTAATTATGCATAATAAATACTTTAATTTAATTTAATTATCCTTCGTTTCTGCTAGCAGGACGCGTTTATGTACGAGCTAGTGTGTGTACATTGTATTCTAGAGCTGCATAGGCCCCGGCTGCATAGTAAATTTATGTACGAGCTAAAC